CCTGCAGTCACAATACTCCAGCCCTATGTACTGGGTTGGAGCAGCTATCGTGTTCTTGTCATTCTTGGTTGTGCAGCACGAAAGCAAGCCCCAGGACGATCTCACCGCTACTGATGGAGCAGGCCGGTCCTTCTCGGGTGAGTATAACAGCATTCCTGTTGAAGAAGAGGAAATGCGTTAGTTTGAGTTTTGGACGGTTTTTGTAATTATCGCTACACATTGGTTGTAGCTTGTTCACATAACAATTCCGGGTACCCTCTCCAGCTACCCTTAGCTACCTAGCGGAAGGGCTGGTATTCCCAACATAGATTATAGAATTATTCAGCAGCATTCTCATTAACTCTACTTCTGCGCATGCATTTTGGCCGACCTCCCCGCAAATAGTGTCATCCAATTGTTGATGGGCGATTTGCCGATTCCTATTTCAACTCAAAAGAGTCACAAATGTGATCTCTCACATTTGAGAATGCAGGGTTTCAGCCAAGACTGGCCAAAAGCTTGGTTTGACCAAGACAAGCTTTGTGATATATAGTCACACCTTGAAGCTATATATGTGTAACATTCGAAGATATATCTAGAACAGTTACAAATCTAAACTGACAAAATTGAATAGTGGGGTTTTTTCATAACGAGTTTGGATATATATATATACCTACATATACCTACATATACACCGGAATTAGTGCGCCACGTTTGTTTACAGCATGAATGGCAAATCACCCATAACCAACATTGAATAGCTGAGGTTTGTCCATCGAACAGGAATCCTACGGCAGGAAAGCAGTCACACCACGAGGGTCGAATATCTTCCCATCGAGCCGTTTGGAATAGCCGAAAATGACTCTGAAGAGGTCCGGGCCCAGACCATACTCTAAATAAAAGAAAGAAACCCCAAAAGATTGTAGGTTTCCAATAGTCAGATACAAAAATCCTAGTGCAAAATTCATTACCGTAACATCGTGTGGCGCGTTGGAAATCCTCCCGATGCTTTTTATTGGGCCCTATTGGGGCACCCATAAAAGTTCTCACGAGAGCCTGCGCCACTGCGCCAGTCTTCATTCATTGGACTCCTTAATTGCATAGCCCCGAGGCATTAGATGGATCAAATGCACACGGTTAGTGTTTCGTCGAATGAGCTATATTATGTAAACAGGATGTACATCTGGGAGCATTGAATATAATTCTCTTGCTGAAAAGGGATGTTGGACGTAATGTTTCTCATCTGTATTATGCATTATGCACTAAAGTACTACGGCCCGAAGCGATATGATACATAATAGGATAGGTGCTCAATATAGACGCTGGAATGGAAGAAGACAGACAACGCATAAGAAGAGAATGTCAGACTCGACAGTGAAAAACATGAATGGCAAGGAGAATGTATCGCCTCGATGAAAGAAATCAATAGAGAAGGGTATTGGAGAAATGGAAAGTAGGAAAAAAGCTGGGTAGCTTCGTGATGAAAAAAGAAAAATCCCTTTGCCCACTGAATGTGTACGAAGGTACTAACGCCAATCGTTCTTGAAGACCCAAAGCTCGCCATGAGACGAGTAGTCAAAATGAAATCATCAACCTGGGTATATTGAAAGAAAAAAAAGGTAAAGGTAAGAAATGAAGAAAGGGGATCGCTGAGATGTAGGGCATATGGAGGGGCATGTGGGATGAAGAGAATAAGTAGAGTAATGAAACAGGCTCTACTCCGTAGCGCGAGAGGCGTTACACAGAAGTGCCCAGGCCCGGATCTAATCTCCTGCGGGCAGCGAGAATGCTTTTCAAAGAGCCCAGCCAGCGCGCGAGGGACTCCTCCTCTGGAGCGCAAAGTCGATAGGTCTTTTCCTCGGCGATGATCTGCATGCAGAACGTCTTTGATCTCGACAAAGGGTCCACTTCTGCGGCATCAAATACTTGTGACATGGGGATGATCTTGATAGCAGCGTACTCCGATTCATCCTTGTAGAAGGCCAGACTCTTGGGTCGAAGCACAACCCAGAGTCGTTTCCACTGGCGCACGGTCCCTTGGATGCGCAGCCCCTGCAGGTACCCCTGACAGATGACCCGCTCTGGGTCACGCAGGATGCCCAGATCTGTTTGTTTGTTGGTGTCTCGTGGTAGAGATGCTGACGGCCGGGGTCCTGTTTTATCCTCTGGTGCTGAAACAGACAATGAATGGATGGAGGGCATAGATCGTAGGTGACTGTTGCGTGTTGGTGCAGGTCCATCGGAGAACTCGGAAAATGAAGTCATTTCGTTGCCGGAGTAATCCTGGATGTAAGGGAGTCTCTGGGCATTTTTGCTGCGTGGGGATAATGCATGGCGTGGCTCGGGAGAGCTGGCACGGCCAGTGTGATCGAAATCGGAGTGATCGGTTGTCTCGTCAACGAGCTGTTTGTGGATGGTGGGGGCATCGCGCATTTTGCTCAAAGCCAGGAAAGCTTGCTCGTCCTCGTCGCCCGGGGTCTCGGCGCGAATGCGATCGATCCAGTCTTCAGCGTCGCGTGCATTCAGGGCTTCGAAGCGGTAATTCGTAGATGGAGTAAAGACACCGAAAACATGTCGCCGGGTCGATCGCGGAGACTTGACAGGTGCGACGGCGGTCACTTCAGATAGGGAAATGGAGACTCGAAGGCGGGTGGTTTCCTCGTCTTTGTATACAGAAAGGAGGTTCGGTCGGAGGACGAGGTAGGCTGCTTTCCATGAGGCGCGAAAGACATGTTTGTGCTTGACTCGGCGACAGACTCTTCCCGTCTTCAAGACTCGATCGAATTCGAAGCTTCCATTTTCGTTGACTGGCGAAAAGGGATCTAAATTTCCACTGTTGTGAGGGCCTCGGAAATGAGAGGAGGGGCCAGATTCTGGAACTTTAATCGCGGGTCTGCCCTCGGAGAATGAGGGCCTTGTCAGCACTGTATTCATTTTGCTTAGGAGAGGTTCAGTAGAAGGGAAGAAATAAAAAAATAGGGGGGAACCCCACGGTGGTGACTCCATATAGTTTATTGTCATGCGGAGTTGTGATGATGGGGGGGGATGACGGGGGATGATCTTGGCCGGAACCAAGCCTTTTGACCCTTCCAGATGTCGGCTTTTGGACAGGCAAGTTAGGATCTACAATGTGCATGGGAAATTATATGACTTTGATATGCAAGTAGTGATTATATTGTAACTAGAATATATTTTTGCTCTTGGAAGTCTGTTTTTCCTAGGAGTAACCACACATACAAGCAAAGTAAGCTTTGTATAGTCACATACCTAGGTAGTCCTAACTATAACTGTCCTATGTACTATGTACACGAGGACATATGTATGTACTGTAGGAGTGGTAGGCGAAATATAGGAGAAGTATCCCGTGAAGTGAGATAGGAGGCGATATAACAACGGCAATGTGTTCAATATGAAGACTTGAGCCGTGCCAGGGTCCAGACCCTTAGTTGAGACCCATCGATGATAATTAAATTTGCAAGTTGAAATTAAATTTGCAATTCAATTGAAAAGTGAATTACATAAATTACAATACCGTATTACGTCACGTGTATGTAGATCTTATGTATGAGATTGGCAGGACCCTGAATGGGGAATGACACGTAGTATGTACCCAATACCTGTTTGAACGCTCCAACTAATATGAAATATCATGTATCAGATACTTCAGCAACTCAATAATAGGCACATACTACAACAGTTATAAGAGGCTGAATGCGAACAGATGATAGGGTCAGACGTCCCTAAGAATCATTAGACACTATTTTCGGATTTTAACGGCCAGAGAAAGTTTGGGCCCTCGATCGACATGCGCTAATTCTACAGATTGTATTGGTTACGGAGTACGGAGTACATAGAGACAAGTGAGACATCCTAGGACGGCTCTGACTGAAGTTATCTGGATAAACTTTGGAATAAGGACCATTTGAACCAACTGATACATTCTAGAAAAACCAAGCATCCATGCCCGCAGTCATCGCCTATAGTATAGTATAATATATTATATGTATCATTGCCCCGTAGGGCCGAACTAGTAGATCAAGTGGACTAGGTACAATCAGCTGTACCATCAGATATTCTTTTGGGATCCAGGTACAAGTTTGTACAAAGTACAAAGTACACAAGCACAAGCATAGTCCCAGCAGATGGGATCAAAATGATCGTACAGAAGCTTTTTTTGATTAGCTTGAGGGGGCTATGGTTTAAAATCACCTGGCCCCCTAGACCACGCCATGAGAAGCCAATCACGGTTCCGGTAAAAGGACAAAGGGGATAAGAGTATCAAAACCACGTAAGCCTCACATATAGAGGATATAACCATGACCAACACTTAAAAAGAAGAAGTAATGGAGGTAGATATTTGAATGATACAAGGATATATCTTGGAAATACTATTAAGCAAAGAAGCACCGGGGTAGTACAATCGCACAAAAAGTGAAAAGAATACAATTCAATACCATACAATACTGGTTATAGCGCCACTAAACCGTAACTAGGGGTAAAATAACCGTCTTAGGGTGACAACTGAGAGGCCACCGGACTTCGCCAAGACCAGGGAGGCGCAAGCAACATTTGGAACCCTTCCCATCTTCCAATTCCCCATCCCGTCTTCTCTCTCCCATCATCCTCGTCCTGTTTTGATGTCCCCGATCTCTCCTCTGTGTACCTTGCTGTTCACAGTTGCCCGCGTTACTCCCGACGCTCTCCCCATCTATCTACCGTGGGACTGAGAAAGTTGGGGGACGAAAGGAGGCATTCCTCCGGCCACTCGTTTTGCTGTCATTTTTCCCCATTTTCACTTCTCGAGATCTCTTGACTTTCCGATCTTCCTGTGAGCCATACAATCTGAATTCCGTTTGATCGTGTGCTCATCACTTTTTTTTTTCCCCGTCCAAGACGCATATCTCTTCTGAACACACCTCCGACACAATTTCGCCGCTATCTTCCTAACGGCCCTGTGCTGTCGCTTGGGCCTGACAGCTGACCTCTACCATTATTTGGGTGATCTCACCACAATCGCACTCATGAGCTTCATCCAACGCATCACGAAACGGCTGCCCAGTGCGCCGAGTCTGCCGTTGGAAGATGCTCCCAACGAAAAAGGCCACCATCCTAGATTCGCCTTTTTCCGGCGGAGGATTCGCCTAAAGGGCAACTCATCTATTTCTATACCCCTGGGTCTTGTTTTACTATTTCCATGCCTTGTAATTGTGCTTATTCTGCTTCTCTTTGTCCGACACCCTGCCTCTCCTGGGGGATCTTAATTCCAGCAGGCACTCCGCCTTCTATCAGGTTAGTATCTCCCTCTCCATCGGTGGTGCGTGCGATAACTAACCTACTGCGCTTTATAGAAAAATCAGCGAAAAGCATGATAAAGTCTTTGCTACTGGCTGTATGCCTATTGAGCCCGATCAAATCGCAAAGGCCCCTCGCGCCAACGCCGCCTTCGTCGTCCTTGCTAGAAATAAGGAGTTGGATGGCGTGATCCAGTCGCTCAAGTCGATTGAGAGACACTTCAACCGGTGGTGGCAATACCCCTATGTTTTCCTCAACGATGGTGACTTCGACGAGGATTTCAAGGCAACGGTGAAGAACTACACCAACGCGGAGGTTGAATTCGGCAAGATTGACAACAGCATGTGGGGATTCCCCGATTGGGTTGACCATGATGTTGCTAAAGAGGGCATCAAGAAGCAGGGTGATGCTGCCATCATGTACGGTGGAATGGAAAGCTACCACCACATGTGCCGATTCTACTCTGGGTCAGTTGTCAATGCCAGATTTATGAGATGTGGATTACAAAGCTAACTCTGTGATAGACACTTCTACAAGCACCCTCTCCTGATGAAGTACGAGTGGTACTGGCGTTTGGAGCCCGAGATCAAGTACTTCTGCGACATCACTTAGTAAGATACTGACTGTGGCATGATTTTCTGGCCAATTTGCTGACTTGTTATTTTCAGTGATCCGTTCCTCAAGATGGCCGAGGCAAACAAGACCTATGGCTTCACAATTGCAGTGAAAGAGCTTCGCGAGACCGTCCCCAACATATTCCGTTATGCCGCTGCTTACAAGCGCAAGAACAACCTCAAGTCCAAGGGTCTGTGGGAAATGTTCCTAGAGCAGCCAGAGCAACCAGAGACTCCCGAGGCCAAGCAGGACAAGCTGCCAGATGAGATTCTGCAGACCGACCCCGGTGACAACAATCTGAAGGACGTGGACCCGGAAGCCATGGAAGGCGAGAGCTACAACATGTGCCATTTCTGGAGCAATTTCGAGATTGCCCGTCTTGATTGGTTCCGCAGCAAGGAGTATGAGGACTTCTTCACCATGATGGACAGAAGTGGAGGATTTTGGAATGAGCGGGTATGTTATATGTCTTTAAACTCTGCCAGGGGATCTTTGCTGACTGTAGTACTAGTGGGGTGATGCTCCTATTCACTCTCTCGCCGCCGGTGCTCTCCTCGCGCCTAGCGATATTCATTACTTCCGTGACTTTGGCTACCGGCACACCACCATTCAGCATTGCCCGGCCAACGCTCCGGCCCGCCAACTCACCCGTATCCCTTACCTCGAGAAGACTACCGATGACGAAAAAAAACGGATCGAGGAAGACGAGTACTGGGCGAACCCTGACCAAGTCAAGGAGAACGGTGTTGGTTGCCGATGCCGCTGCGACACTGACATTGTCGATGTCGAGGGAAAGCAAGGCAGCTGTCTTAACGAATGGGTGGATGTGGCTGGTGGCTGGGCCTCGCCATAGATCCTGACTCTGATGCCGTAGTGCTCAGTGCTCGCCACGTCTTCCTGCGTGTCCTTCTCCCCTGTCTATTTATTCGGCTGCGTGTATCTCTTGGGCCCGCCCTTGGGAGTTTCCAGCTGGAGCCTGCATGTTAAGTTGGTCATGGGGTTTCCTTTCTGGGCGGCGTTCAACGGATCTGAGCTTTTTTTATTATCGGAAGATGGTGTCACCATTTCCATCATCACTGTTGACACATTCATCAAGCATGCTGTGCCACTGGGACTGACTGTTGTGATTTATCTCTTGGTTGTATTTGGAAGAAGACGTGTGCGCGTCGTCGGCAGTGGAACATTGGTCCCGTACCTTGTGGGATGTCCGAGGCCGTCCTGAATGGTCTCGGACAAGCTTTATATCCAATGTTTTCTTTAGATTTCATTGCTATATCCTCTGTTCTACCAAGAGCACATCTTCGTCTCAGTGGTAGGAGACCATTGATTCGGGGGCCGGGAGCATCACCCAAAGCAAATCCCGCCGTCTATTTGACGTCCCTTCGCCTCTTTTCTTTTGCCTTCCTATCGGCCACTTCTCCCCAGCTGCTTTTCCCCTTTCCTATCCCCGTGTGCGCAGTTTTTGTGGTTTGTCTTCCAGCATGCATTCATGAAATGTACATACCTTTCCTCTCTCCCCACCCATCCTTGAATCCGTGGCATACATGCACGGGTTGTTTTCTCGCATTGCCCACCCTTCCACCCTTGACCCTCGCAAATACCAGATCGAGCATGGTTGTCTATAGAGTATGGAATAATCACCAGGTCAATTACGTGAAGAATGATATCAGTATAATGCACTTTATTTCTTCGGATTTTACTGTGGCTTGGATTTTTTTATTTAGAATAGAGGCGTTGTGGTTTTCAACTGTGCTACTCACAGCTTGGACTGAATTGTATCATTTCCTCAAGACTTCTTATTAAGATGGGCATCGCATCTACATTCCCAATCTACATCGCTCTTATACACAGAACAGATGGTGGTAGCATAACAAAGTTAGACTATCTTCATAACCAAAGTAACACGTAGGACGACACTCATCTGCAGCCGAATCCAAGTTCATTCTGACCGAATTGTTCGTAATAATTCTTTAACACAACACCTTTTCATCTTAAGGCTGCATTTCTGTTGGAAATAGACCCGAAGGATGCAGGGAAGCTCCCACACACTAGGACAATACCCCAAAGCTTCTTAACCGGCAACCTACTGCCACGCGTTTGCCTTCATATAATTAATTCATCATACCCTCGACCTGTGCAGACCCATTCGCCTTCTCCAAATCAAATGTATCCTGGTGAAGCTGGTTCAAATAATTCAGAGGTCTCTATAAAGATATATATGAACTCATTTCCCAGCAAGCACTACCAAGTGACTTGCTATTCTATTTAACATGCCTACAATTGATTCTAGCCGACTTGGTTGAGAACATGTGAAGCCATCGTCTTCAAAGGTTCCAAGAATCATCGCAACAAGCTCCTTTACTTCAGTCAGCCGACTCAAGTCTCTCCGCAGCGTGTCTAGCACCATTCCATAGTCCAAGAAACGGGCTGCAGTGCCTGGGCCTGTTCCTGGCGAAAGAAGACCGACCATTCGTGCACGAGTGGTAGTAAGGTCAAGAGTGGTAGTAAGGTCAAGCTTCATGTCCAGCATCGCGATATTCTCGAGTAGGACATCCAGAAGCATTGCCAATATCGGCACATACTCGTCCTGAAATCTATTCTTGGCATTAAGTAGGTGTCGTGCTTTCTGAGGCGTGAGAATCTTTGGCTGATCCAGCGTGGTGAGTTTCCCATTCAACAACTGGAAATTCCTCCGATACACGTTTTCCATTTCGGCTGCCTTTTGACCAAGTTCAACCGCGGCCATGTAAACGTCTTCTATCTGGGAAGAAGCGAATTTCGGCTTTTCCAATATGCCTATCCGATAGGTTTCCAGTTTACTGCGTATTGAAGTATTCGTCAAATGACCCACTGCCCTCAAACTGTCGGTAATGTCTTGGCCGCTGCACAACGCAATCACAGTATCCCCTCCCGGATGCTTTTGCATAAATGAGCTTGCGTCGTATACACTCCCCTTGGCCGAGAACCAATAACCAGTTTCTTCAGAATTATGTTTGATGAGCTCGGATACAAAGACTTTGTCCGAGCTGGGTTCGGTATCCAGGTTGTGCTCATCTGGGTCGAGACATCTTCGTTCCAGGCGTGCCTTTTCTAATTCTTGATCGACCTCATGCCAGGGCGCTGTCTCTCGCTTGTGACCTAGACCATTGATTGTTGTGCTTCGCCCAATTCTAAACGAGACAGCAAGAAAGCCGAACACCTTTCGCCGATGGAATCCCAGTAAACCGTCATTGCCGTGATATGAGGATGTAAAGGTTTTCCAGAGGTCCATTAACTCTCTATCCTTGGACGAAGCAACATATTCCGAGACTGACACTTCCATCATGGCCTTGAGAAACTGCCGCCAATGGATAGGATACGTCGCTCGAACAATTTGCGCTTCTTGGCCGATACCGGTGAGATATTCAAATCGTCCGGTAAATTCATCCATCATGTGAAAGAATGGATGTGCTGTACCTGCCGCTCCGACCACGTCTTTCACCCAAGGGATTCCCAAATTCCCTATGGTGAGCGTCCACAAGACCGGATCAATATGCGATTTGTGTGCTCGGCTCGTATTGAGCTTACTGAGAATCCGGGTGATTTGTTTGATGAGTGAATGGAGACTTCGTATTGCGTCTTTGAGGGAGGAGACATCTTTCACCATGACAGATCTCTGGGCCTCGATGATTTGATGCAGAATTGGTATCGTCTTGGCATTTATTTCAATCATTATGCCAATGAATGTGTGTTCTTCTTTCGTACCGACAGTTGGAATCAGCAACTCCAAGTTCTCGAGCGTCACTCCACTATGTGACGAACTGGTCGATGTGAAATTAGCTACCATTCCGTCAACGTAGGTGAGAGCCGGGGCTGGTCGTCCAAGACGTTTGCACACCACCGTCCACGGGATCTCAAGCGATGGAGGCAGTATATCACTATGGCCGTCGTATTTCAGTGAGAGAGGCTCGTTCCCTTCCATGCGGACAAACACATGGGCTGTCATTCCAAGGATGGTGGCGGCCCGTTGGAGATATATGTCTGGCAAAGCTTCGGGAGATGCATCAAGCAGTGGAATCTTGGTAACAGTATCTCGGACGGTCTGTGTTTGGATTAGGTGAGGTAGGTCGGAAACAAGTTGGTCCCATGCTGCATGGGAAGGCGGAAGTGCCTTCATTGTTTTGAGAGGTGAGAATCCTGCCTCTTTGGATAGGAAGCCGGCGTTTTCGTGTCCATTGCGACGGTTTGTCCGTTCTGCCTCTTCGATTATTCTCTCGCAGGGTGGTGAGGTAGACCGTGTCTATAGAATGTAAGCACATGAATGTTCATACATTACTACAATAAGGTGCACACGTTACCTTCAATGTCAGTAATCGTAGGCAAACAGAGAGGAAAATAACCCCAAGGGCTAAGTTAACCATGTAGGACGACGACGAATCATCTTGAGAGTTCTTGAAGATTGTACTAGAGTTTTGTAGTATTGTGGATATTTTACTGACGGCGAACATCATAAGTTGCTGTGCAATAACTATGGGAATGGCATCAAGTTTACAATATATTCGACACAGTTCATACTCCCTTCACCGAGACCAAACCAAACACCTTCTTGGGCACCTTCTTGGGCATCAAGATATTCCTCCATGCTACGAATCCATGCCTTAGCATGACGCCACATAGCGCTCCTAGTGGCCAGCGGCTAATAGAGTGGTTGCGGATGTGATGAAGAAAGCAATATGAGCTAGGACTACGAATGTACTGATCAGGAATATGGGCTATACAGTAGTGCTTACTGGTCCCTCACATGTGCATGATACTAGTTATTCCGCACGGAGTGCGGAGTACTATATTAAAGCTTTCCTAGCGCCGAGCTAGGATGATAGCGCTAAGTCAGGGTAAAAGTGGAGGGAAAAGGACGTTAGTATTAATTAACTAGTTAGTTAACTAGTACTCCGTACACACCGACGTACGTATGTCACTTGAGACAATCACACGTAATACGCCGATATTATTCCGCTTGGACAGGGGTTATATTCCATCCGTGAAAGTACGGACGGAGTACGGAGTACGGAGTACTGAGATGGTATTCTCGCTATTATCTTCCAAGGCTATCGTGAAGTTAAAGGTCAAGGCAGAATATTGGCACCGTCAGCGTAGATGTTTTGTACATATTGTAGTTCGCCACATTCACATTGTCACAAATCGTACGAAGTACTCCGTACACTTGTGTATAACGAGAGAGTGAGACAGGGAACAAGGGTCCTCTACAACTTAGCGAACTCCGCCCCAATTTGGTTAAGCATGGCCAGATGATCCTTGCTGTAAGTGTCACCATTTTTGGTGATCACTTCACGCACCCAAGGCCCACGAGAGTTAAACAAAGCCTTGAAAGGCAGGGCCCGCATAACGAGGCCATAGGTGCATGCAAGTGGGTCAACTACGATCGGTTCGCCAGTCTCCTCAGACAAGCCAGCCTTGATGTCAAATGACCATAGCAACTGTGCGACGACGACCCAGATAACATTGCGGGCAAAATACCGTCCAGGACAGGTCCGCCTTCCATAGCCAAAGGCAGCAGCGGGAAGGTCCTTGAGGGTTTTGCCGTCCTCACTGAGCCAACGATCCGGTATGAAATCGTCGGGGTCTGGGCCGAACACGGCCTCTTCTCGGGAAATTGCCCACACGTTGGGTATAATAACAGATCCTTTGGGAATGGTGTATCCATTGTAAGTGGACTCTTCCTTGTTCAAGTGAGGGACGCCCTCGGGGCCAGCGGGTCGCCAACGGAATATCTCTTCAACGATCGCGGTGATGTACGGCAGGTTGGGTTTGTCATCTGGGCATGGGAGACGGTCGTGTCCGACAACATCATCCAGCTCCTTGCGTGCCTTAGCGACAAAGCCCTGATCTTGTGTGATGCAAGCTACCACAAACCAGATCAAGCTGTCCGTCGTGCCGTCCAGCGCGGCGTCGATCATGGTACCGAGCTCAAAGGCTAGCTCATTCAAGGGCATATCGAGGTTATCCTTTTCGACAGTCTTTTTGAGATGTTTTGATATATTCCATGCATCGGACTCCTGGCCCCGCCGGAAGTTTTCGTCGCGCAGATCATACTTAGTCGTGTAGTGGTTCTCAGCCTTTGCCTGCCATGGAGCTAAGAAGCTGGGCAAATTATTAAGAACAGGGAACTGGTCAACGATGTGTGCCCCAACCTGGATAAACTCGGAGAACTCCTCGTTGAGTTTCACAACGGTGCGAAGTACTGGGTCGTTGGGGTCTTTGACGCGGAAGCCATACAGCAACGTATGGATGATGCTAGCGACAGCGCGCTGGAAATGTCCTTGAACCTCAGCACTAACACCACCCGCGTTCTCCAGGAGATCTTGCATCAATTGTTGTGATTCCAGAGTCTGGAAGGGAAGGTAAGCGGCTGCCGGCGTCGCGTTTAACACGGAAACCTGTAACCTCTGATGTTGTCGGAATTGATCGGTGTAATTCATCATGAGAATATTGAGTCCTTTCAAGGCCAACTCAGTTGCCAACTGCAATTTCCTATTAGCTCATTGTTACACATCCAAGTCGAGGTGTTTGGGGCCTTGCAAAAAGACGAGGTCTGTCTGAAAATATCGCTCCACGCTTCGCTAGCAGTTCATGAGCTACTTCAGATGTAGACAAAATAATGACGGGCTGCCCAAGCATGTTGACATGAACAATGGGTCCATACTGTTTACTCCATTCGCGATATGTCTGCCAGCCGTGGGACTTGGGAGCTTGGTGGACATTGCCAATTATCGGCAATGGCTTGGGACCTGGCGGAAGGGGCAGAGATGATGTTGATTTACGGCGTGTGACAATATAAACGCCTACTAGTAGCCCGGCGATGACTATGAATGTCGCTAGATGCATGGTTGAAATGTTAAGAATGAATACCCAGATCTAGAGTGTCGGCGACGGAAATGGGTTTTAACTACCCTGAATGGGTTGTGGGAAGAGAAACCAAAGGTTATCAAAGCAGGCAATAAGACAATTATGGCTCCGGTGCCTATTTTGCTACCTATTTTGCTACCTATTTTGGCGAGCTTTTTAGAATCCTAGTAAGTAGTATGAATTCATAGGGGAGAATTGGCGTAATTAATTGTTGAAAACTTATACAGGGGTTCAATGTAAGCCGCCTAATCCTTTCATCTCCGTACAGTCAAGGGTCTGATTGAATAGATTAAGGTAATCAGGATATTCATTGGATGAGGATGGAATGTCTCTTCGGACCACCTTCCAAATCCAGGACACTCCGGTGAGCCTGGGAACTACCTAACTACAACATACGACATAACTAGTTAACTAGTTAACTATACAACATACGAAGTACGAAGTACAAAGATTAGCAGTTCAAAGCTCAAAGGATCAGAGCGTTGAAACGCGGCTCGTGCGTCGTCGATCGTTACATCCGGAGGATCGTAGATAATTAACTACAACATAGTTACCTAGGTAGTTACTTGACACGTGCATTGTATATCGCGTTGTTTCTGTACTGAAGACGGGTAAGACAGCCCCCCTTGGAAGAATCAAGATAGTATTTCAAAATACATAATATATTACACGTATTGTTGGTCCTTCAACACCTTACGCTCGTACGGTGGTTTCCCCGTGTCAGCCAACTCGTCTAGTTCAACGTATTCATGTGCCCGGACCTCTGTGTGATCCGAGTTTGAGGTACTGGTTGCTCCCAGATTAGTTGTGGACTCCGAAAGCTTCGACTTAGTATATGATGAGATTAGCAGTCCAAAGCGGCTGCGCAAGAATCCTGCATACTTGGTCCAGAATACATGAATGGCAGACGTACAGCTGACCATGAGGACTACAGCGCTTTCAATCACACTAATTATGCGCTTGTCAGTGAGGGACTCGGAGGAGGTTGGGTTAGGGCCCAGGGCGGTGGTGACCTGGGGGGGGGGTTGACCAACTTACGTGACAAGCAAGGCATTGGCAAAGTTGGTAGACGATTCCGTGGACTGCGCTTCCTGGAAATACAACCCCAATGCGCTAGCTGCGATGGCGCTATTGAAGGATCCCGGTTAGAAAATTCGCTCAAGGCAATAGGGAAGAAATAGCCGAGCTTACAGAAGGCCCGTAGCAAAGACAAATGCCACTCCAATTTTTCTGCGAAGTGGCATCTTAAGATTCACGATAATTGGAATCGGGAGGATGAATGCAATGACGTCGATGGCGAGCGATATAGACCCACGGGCAATGGTCGCCTCTGTGAGGGCACCAACGCATGAGAACAAGAATGGAGGGGTTGGTTCGTGAAGATCCGGACTGCAGGAGATGCCAGCATACAACAGCGTGATCACGCCGCCCAGAGTCCCGATGACGATGAGAAATATACAGGTCCAGCGCAACCAATCCTTGATTCCAAAGATTCGGATGAGCATGAAAAGCAGAGGCAACTTTGCGCTGTAAATTGAACTGTTGCCCGAGGCGATTCCAACTGCAACAAGCTGCGAGGAGAATATTAGCAAACAGCCTAAGGCAAGGGGATATAACCTGTATAGAAATTATCGTGGCCATACCCTTGTAAGGTGCTCAATTGTTATATCATCAGGGTTCGAGTTCAAAACTATTTTGAACTTGGTCAGTCCTTCATATATGGGCTCATATCAGGATAAGTAAAACCCCTTACCATCAAACAGCAAGGAGAAGGTGACAGAATTCCATATCAGGAACAGGAGCGCGAGCACGCTTAAGTCTACCAAGGTAAGCTTGGCTAGCCATGGACACTCCCACCGGAACCAGAATGGTTATACGTACAGTCATCAATGTAGAGCTTTCGAAGGTGGTTGAAATTAGTCCAAAGCCGGAGTGCAATAAGGCTGCCAGAAAGTGCACATAGAGCGCTCGCCAATCCCACGAAGACAGGGGGCTTCAAGGCGGTTGGTTGTACAATGGCCGCAATAGGGTTCATGCCTTCCATTTTATTGATTTAACCAACGACGTCAAACATATACACATAAATCACTGGTCGTTGGAAGATTGCAATGGGTGGTCTCTTAGGGAGGCCGAATTGCACAAGAAAGGGGATTGATTAGCCCCATGTCTAGAGCGTCATTCGCAATATCGACTGTCACGATCGACAATTATCACATGCTTCATCAATCGTTCTTTGTTCTTCTTTCTTTCTTTGCTTTCTTTGTTTGATGGAGTGCTACTATGCCTAATTGGACATACCTACTAAGCCTATTTGGGAAAGAGTATTGTTTCTTTGTTTGCAGAGATCCAGCTATATCAACCCCTCTGGATCTCTCTCTGCCTTCTTCTCTTTTTCCCCCATCTTTGCTTTTCTAGTTTGAATGCACTCTTTCTCTCAAAGACCTGGCACGTAACATCGACATCCATGGATAGTGAGGGGGGTTATCTAATATTGGTACTTAACCGACCCCACTCTTTTTCCAAGCAAAAAAAAGGGGACCCCCAAATGCAAGTGTATCTTTTACTAGGCGAGCCATATAAAACGTACATACAAAATGCTGATTTTTAGTACTACAAAAGTCTTTGAAAGCTTACTATAACCTAGCATATAAAACTATCCGCTCTATTTAAATACTATATTTGATTTTCAGCCTAGGTTTTAGGGAGCCCTCTTAAAGTATTACGATTTGAAGTTTTGGCCTACTATCGCGCCGAACATAAGATATTTGACTACTAAGGCGTCCCGGAAACTTGCCCTTTAAATTTAATAGAAGTATTAAGGTAGTATTATAACATTACTGATACACTTAAAATAGAAGGTCTTTATGTAATTTGGTCGAGAAAAACGAGTATCTATGTATGTACCTTTTATATGGCTCGCCTAGTAAAAGATACACTTGCATTTGGGGGTGGTTTTGTGTTTGGGTGTCAGACCCTCGCTTGCGAGGGTCCCTTTTTTTGCTTGGAAAAGAGGTGGGGCCGGTTACGACCTACCTTTTCTCTTCTTTTCGCTATGATTTATACCCTGGTTCAGGGCTAGGCAAGTTTTAGTAAGGGTGTATCATTTTGATACAATAGGTGGTTTTATATCCATGTATGTAAATAACCACATAAGCGCTACTACGTGCTTTGTACTCCGTATGCTATTGTTTAATATATAACATGCATATACTCCGCATACCTGCAGATTGCGCGTAACTACATATGGACTCCATAGTTGGTAATTCATCCTTTCCCCCGGGGCCCTGCATATGTAGTATGAAAATGACGATTCGTCACCTTAAGTGAAACCGAGGCATATTCCTAATTAAAACGCCCTATTTACTAGTGTTAGCGTAGGGGCGAAAGATTAGGCACTAAAGGCACCCTGGGATGTAATTCAATACACAATATTGCGCAGGCACATTATTGAATTTATATACATTTTCATCTTGTTCTGTCAATGGTCTGCTAGTGGCGTTGATATTATTATTCTCCGCAACTTACCTATTACCCTTTAAAGTCTTCCACGTGGCGCAACGGGTGAAGGTGTGGCTTATATCGGACTGTAGAATAATTGGATGTAGCAAAGATCTTATGTATTTTGTCTTGTGATTGCCTGTATCTTTATGCCAACGGCAGCTGTGTTATATGCACCTACCAAGCGCTTATCTCCACTGCTTGAAACTCTACATACTTGGAAGTTCCCTGTCAACGGTCTGAAGAGGCGATCATAGTTACAGGTAGTTTGAAATCACAAGTCATCTGTCTACACCACATCTCGGGTTGATTTCCGAGTAGCAGCCCAATCTTATGAGCCCCACCGGCCAAATATATACTTCGGGTATGTAACGTCTATCCTAGAGTTGATAATAACAATAACAGTCACAAATTTGATGTCTTATCCTAGACCAGAATAAACTAGACGCTTGGTCGTACCTGAAAAGTCACCAATTGGCCCAACCAACGCCAACACACGACAACTGCAATCAGGCCTACCATGTGTATGGTTTCTGCTCCTGCTCCAGCTCCCATAAATGATGGGATCAGAAGAAACTATATTAGCGAGGCCAATCGGCAACTCACATGTCTTTCGAAAGCCATTGGACAAGAAGATGTCACGCGAGAGAAGCTGTTGCACGCCTTGAGGTTTTCCGGTGGTGAATGGTGTCAAAAGGCCATACCACAGAAGCTGAACACATCGGCCTGGGTCTCCGACGTGAGCAATGATCACTCACCTTTTGAGTATTCATTGGCTCTATGCCAAGCGACTGGAGCACCTGAGCTGCGATTCTTAATCGAAGCTCAGCCCGAGGAAAGCAGCTTAACCGCCCTCCAAGAGAGAACCTCGCGCTTGACCGACGACATCGCGACAGAGTACGGCCCCACAAAGGTCTCCCTGGACCGTCTGGACCTCGTTCGAGATCTGTTTCTCCCCTCAGTTGCTGAGGGTAACCTAGCCTCATGGCACAGCTTCGCTGCCTCAAATACACTGGAAAAGTGGAAGATTTACCTGAATCCATTAGCCACCGGACGCCAAAACGCTTTCAATGTCACCCGGAAGGCTCTGGAGCGCTTGGGGTTGGCCAGCTCATGGAAATTATTGGAGAGCATCATGACTGGCAACGACTATCCCATCTACTTCTCGCTTGGCTTGTCACAGAATGCAGACGACGCTGAAGTCAAGATATATGTTGCACACAGCGGCGCCTCTGCAACACAAATCGCGCAAAAACATGTTAAAATGGATCCCAATTCCAGCGTCCGTGCTATCGAACTGTTCTACTCGATTATGGCGGGTGGATCGCTGGGGCCGTACCTACGAAAACCGGGGCTATCCTGTTTCCATTTCAAGAACAAAGATCCATCCAGGCCGGCGGCCCGTACAGTTCTCTACCCAATAGACAGCTACGCTGCAAATGATGCCGAAGCGCAGCAGCGCATCGAAACGTATATGGATGCCATTTCTGCGCCTCGGCTCTACCGAGAGAGGTATAGAAATGCCATCAGTGCTGTACAGCGCCGGCCGTTGGAGACTGGTCGTGGCATACATAGCTGGGTGAGTATGAAGGAGAAGTTGGACGGTACGCGGTCCAACACTTTTTATCTCTCAGCTGAGCTGTACGGGTGTCTTGGTGAGGTCGGCCCTTCTGGTGGCCGCTGAAACACATTTTCAGGTTGCAGAGTTGGTTCGGGTAGTTTACGAAATCTACGAAATATCATCAGTCAAGCACTTTCCATTCCACTGTATACATTCTATACAATCCTGTTGTCTCAGTGAGCTTGTGTTTTCATCTCCCAGGAGATTCCATCGATCCGTCAGAAAATGTCCGGGTCACTGGATCAGCCCTACAGTAGCGACCACTTTCGCCTTCCATGTCGGACACGCATGGTACGAAGACGTATAGTTAGAGGCACTATGGTTCACTTACAATACATAATGCATTTATCATCTCTGCAAGTCGCCGGATCCTATCGTTATTTGAGCCAGTATACAGTCTTGTTCAGGAAGGGGCTTATGCATGGAAACAATTTATCCAAAGAAGAAAAGAGCGAAACGTTAGAAAGATTGGGTACAAGACGTCAAAGGGCTGTGGTCGTAAGTGTCAATGTGAAGGGGTAGGGGTACATGAAGGGTAATAGAAGGTGACATTAGATGCTCAGAAACAGACTGAGCCCATCGCGGCCCAGCAACCACCAGCATATTTTGAACTTGTACATAATATACATCGAGATCAAATCTAGTATGTGGCCGGGGTCAGACAGGAACATTTTTGAGCACGTATCGGCAGTTACGCCGCAGGTCCACTGGGCTAGCTTTGACAAAGCCCACTTCAGATCAAACTCGAATGACCAGTCTTGAATATCCTCGGTCCATGATAGGACTGGAGCAAGCTCAGAACCGGAGGGTGATATAGGAGAGAGCTTATGGCCCGAGTCGGTATCAGACTCGGCGTCGGCTTCTGAATTGGTTTCGGATGTAATAGAGCGATTTCTCTGCTTCTTCTTTGTGCTTGACTTAGATATTGATGAGTGGAGCTTGAAGAGCTTGACGAATACCTGCACTCGAGAGTGGGGAAGATGACTGAATCCCCAGCTTGCGGGGGACATCCTGAATGTCATTTCCACGCGTTCGTTGGGTGATATGTGGGCACTGGCATGGGCTTTATACTCCACACTTGGCATAGTGAGGCAGGGGCATTGGCATTGCGATGGAGGCTCAGGGACTTTAGGAGTGGCTGTGACAATCTCAGAATGGCCGTTGTCTGAGACCGTATGCAAAGGTGTCCACCCATCTTGTGTTGCCGCTTTTTGATTTGCGTTCCAACCCAGTAGTAGCTGAACTATCTCATGATTGCCGTTATAGGACGCTAGTCTGAGTGGTGTCCATCCTCCTTTAGCTGACGTAGTGGCATATGCACCCGCTGTAAGAAGCAATTTGGTTAAATCGGCATATCCGGCTGCTGAAGTAAAGTGGAGTGGCGTCCATCCATCATCATCGACGGTCATGACATTGGCTCCTGCGTCAAGAAGAACCTGGGTTGTCTTCAAATCACCTCGGTAACACGCGACTGTCAGAACTGTCCAACCCAAGAAGACCTGCTCGTTGGGTGTGAACCCTTTTTTCTCTATCAGGTACCGCACCGTCTCTGGCAGGCGAACCAACACTGCATAGAATAAAGGACTTTCTGACATGTTTCTGCTTCCCACATTCATTATCTTCAAGGTTTTATCATTTTCGTCCATCCAGTGTCTCCAATAATCCCATGTTGGATTGCTTGAATTAAAAAATGCATTTATCTGTTCCACCGTTTTGCTGTCATTCAGATCGTTCACTGCGGAGTATTCATACCAATGGCCAGCTGCATAATCTAGGAATGACCCAAAGATCTGATCATCGTGCAGAGGAGAACTGCTCGACCAGACCTTTGGGATATTCACATAGCATAGGCACATCCTGGAGAAAAAGATACTTTGGATTGACTCGGTAGATGATTGGAAGGTTGGAATGGTCAAATCGAGGGGCATGTTGCGTAGAAGGTACTCCTTCACTGAAAAATGTGCAAGATGTACGGTCTTCAATCCAATATGCAGTTCAGATTGGGAGGTTCGAATTTCAAGGAGAGATCCACAGAGATTGACCATCTCACTATCAATATAATCTTTATCAATGGTATCTGGCATCTCATCGAGTAGCAGTTCATTTTTCCTTTCATCGATAAGCAGGGCTTCTGTGAGCTCTCGGATAGTCAGTGGTCGAAAAGCAAATGCCGTCCAACGCAACAAGGCAAAGGCCCGAGCTCGTTCTCTTTCGGGGAATCTTGCCATCCTCATCCAATTCCGTTCGTATAGGTGTTCCAGTCCGGCTGGAGTCTTGTCGATTGCATCCTCCAACTGCTTTTGGTTTTTCCAACTGCGGAGAGAACCTTCCTGCATCTTAAGCCAGAGAAATTGTCCATTGCATCCAGCGGCCATTTTCTGCGAAATATCGGACTTCGTCGCTTCGGTCTTGTGAGGAAGTCGTTTTTCCACGATGCTCATTGAATACAACTCTATATCCGAGCTGACATCTTCAAGAGAGATCTTATGTTCAAACATGTTAGTCCCATCGATAGGGCTGGTGAGGCCATGTCTGATTTCAGGTTCGTTGCGACTAACGACCAGGATTCGGGTGGCTGTGCCCTTGGTCGCCCTCGTGATTGTCTCCAGAAACACAGTGACCGAATCGTCTTCTCCTCCTGTCCAAGTACATTCATCTAAGCCATCCAGAGCAAATGTACATCCATGGATAGCTTGAGAAATTTCTTGGAGAAGCTTGATGATATCTGCACGAGTTGCTGTTTGGCTGCATTGCCTTGTCCATCTTTCATGGATTAGCCTAAACGCGGTTGGGTGAGATGCCATTTGGGAGATCCATGACCGTATCGCCACAAAGGGATCAGCCCGAGTCTCAAAATCGGAGGAAAAGAAGAAATGAGCAGTAGGCTCTTCGATTGTGTCGGAGAGATGCTTGATCAGTCTGGCACAGAGGGTAGACTTTCCGAACCCTGCAGGCCCATTGATCCACAGAAGCTTTGCTGCACCTACAGCAGAAAAGTCGGATGAAGACCAGTTGATAAATGATTCTTCGGTCAGAATCCAGTCGCAGGTGCCGTCCAATCTTTTCTCGGTAAAATCACCAAAGAGTTCATTCGGAGAGTGGCGGCCCATCAGCCATTTTTCCACGTCCCGTCTTGTTTCGGCTTCGCTAATTAGACAAAGGCCAAGACCTGGAAGTGCCATGGGACCAACCTTCAATCTCTTCCCTAAATTTATTGAATATCCGTTTAACCTCGGCAATCCAAGTTTCTTTGTTTCCTAGATATGCTATTAGGGATATATCAATTAAGGGGGTGATAAAATTCCGCTTACCATCTGTATCACCAAAGGTATTTCCACAACTGCTAGGTCCAGTCAATGGAACCAATATATACAGTCGATCCACTAGCTGGCCAAATTGTTCGACCTGGGCTATGCGTTTTGCCTTGTCTCTCATTGCCCACCCAAGCCTCCGTCTCGTTGATTCAGTTGGATGGACATTGACTTTGAAGGAGATTCCACTTTTTGCAGGCCGGGCATCAGGCCCTAAAAATGTGGACGGGAACCTGATTTCCGATTCACTTCCAATGTCACGTATTACCGACAAAAGTCCTTCGACCGTTGCCAAGGTTCGTGGATCATTGAGAGTCTCGTGATGGTAATCTAACAAATCTTTTTGGCCAACTCCCACTGCCTGGCCCCATTTTTCAAAACGAAGCTTATCGGCCTCAAATCGAGCTGCTAGTGCGCGCGACTCGTTGCTGAAGTCCTTCCAAGAGTCGAACCTTTCCAGGACATCCAAGCAAGAGCTGAAGAGCCCCGCCAGTCCTATAATTCCAACGGCCAATCCGACTGGTTCCATTTTGTCGTTCCTTTTTGAGACTACTTCCCACACTGAGAGGTGTATCAACTGCAATATTGTAAAAAGCCGGCCGGCTACAATTAGATTTTATTCTCAAACCCAGCACTGCCCGATGGCCACTTGGGTAGCAGCGGCTTTGTGTTGACTCCCCAAGGCTGAACTCTCATGCAACCGTCATGGTCGCCATTTCAATAGACCACTAATAAGAAGCCTGTCAGACTGGTGTTGGAAAATTGGATATTGAGCTGAGCACCGCCACAGATGGCGGGGTAATTTCCTCCCCAATGTCAGCTTTAGTCCTGTCGTATTCCCGATGCTGACGTGGCCACAAGGCTGCGATTATGAGTCCTTCAGGTAGAGATCTGCTTCCTGTTGGTTACTGCACCGACAGCTGGGCCAAGGAGGCCAACAGTAAATAGAATCCATCGAAGTACCACCACCTATAGATGAGCCTCGCCCATCATTGTCTCCTCCGCCCACATGAGATCGTAAAATAGGCATCCGATTTGATGGTAATAACTCGATTCCAGTAGGGCAGAGCTCTGGACGCACCAACGATATTTCTATTATGCTAGAGCTATCGAAGCGTTACGATTCCCATTCCCAGTACAAATTCCTTGGTTTCTATAAGAAATCCGTCATTCCCTTAGGTGGCCGGTTAAGCATCCCTATCCGCTAAGATTGACCGCCGCTTAATACTTTACTAATATCGTATTGGATAACGCCACAAAATGTGTCAGCTAGCTAGCTTACCACATTATCGCCTAGTCGAATGTCTGCCTTGCTGCTTGGTACACCTCCCCGTTACCGACCATCAGACCGAACCGGATAGAGTGGAAACTCGAGAGCAACATCGCTACCGTTACAGCTGATATATTGCCATATGTACCACTAGGTAAACAGGCAATAACGATGATTTGATCCCTGATATTTCCTAGAATATACGTATTTTGGTCTGTCCGCGGGCGGGGTAGACTCGGGTGTATTGCGTCCAACATTAGCTTTGCGGCTGCAAACTCCAGTGTAATCTTCATGGGATAAAGGGGCCCTGGCTGCCATGATGGGATATATGATGGTTGGATTTTGAAAGCGAATAGCTTATTGTGACTCACTGAGTTCATGTGAATATGAGACAAACAAAGGTGTTATGGAGCCCAAATTCTGGGAATCAGTGCCAGTGTTCATTAGAGGAGGCGGGGTTAGCCGGTGAAATAATTGCGGAGCGGAGCGAAGCAATATGTTTCATAAGGGCCTCGCACGTCACGTGATCTGGATTTTATTACATGGGCTCAAAATCCACAGAATCTATGCGGTAAAAACTGATCGCTAAGAAACGGCAGAATCCAAGCCGGCAGAATATATATAGTCACGTGGTTCTTCGGTCACGTGACTGTATTTGACGTGATCCTAATTATGGAACCCGCTGTCGATTCCTCTTACTACTTCCTCACGCTAACTCTGGATTTCTTTTCGCCTGAATCCATTTCTTCCCCTGATGCCATGACAGCCATGTTTCCCGAAGCTCTTTCACCCGTACCCCGCATGCCTGACGTCATGACAGCGCTCCCATCTGGTGTCGTAACTCGCATATTTAGCCGCCTGGAAGATGTTCATCTCGAAGCTGAGAAGATCGCAGAGAAACTTGAAGAAGATGAGGAAGAAAACGGAAACCAGTTCCTCCGAGCGACTCTTTGAGGACCATGATTGCCTCAAGGGCGTGAACTACCGGTTTGAGTTTGAAGGTGATACAGGTATTTTACGCGTGATACCAGGGTATCGCCACGAATATACCACCACGGGACTCCAACAGCAAGTCATTTTACAACTAGCTAGTATAGGACTAAATCGGCAGTATCGTTGGGGCGGAGCGACGCCATATAATTCTCTATCGCGGAACAAAGAGGGAGACCAAGTATTCAGCCCCTCTACACGTTGGCCATCGAGCACTAGCTTACAATGGCCTACCGTGGTTGTTGAAACGGGTGTATCCGAGAGCCTGCGAAGACTACGACAAGATGCTAAATGGTGGTTCGGGGCCTCTAATGGAGATGTACGCATGGTGATTATCATATCTATCAAGAAGACCGCCGTACATTTCGAACAATGGCAGCTCGCTCCACCCAACGCCCCTCGACCCCTAACCAGAGCCTATATTAATAGCCTCCGCCAGCATTCTAATAACGTGCCACCCCTCCTCCAACAGCCGTTCAATATACAGCAGCCATATTCATACGCTGAAGTGGATGTGACTAAAACCACAGTCGATGGTGCCCCAATGACAATACCATATTGTGCTCTATTCGACGTTCCTGTCCGACCCCCTAACATGCAAGATGTTGTGCTTGGTGCAGAAGACTTCCGTTTCATCACTGCAGTCAACTTCTCTTGATTTCTACTAAAGTAAATTGAATTTGAACTGAATCTGAACTGAATCTGAACTGAATCTGAATTGAATCTGAGTTGAATTTGAAGAAAATTGACAGATCTCTTGTAGGGGTGAGTGAATCTCTATAGGGTAGAAGACTATTGCAGGTAAGTCATACAAATGATACATACTAGTTAAATTGTAGATTGTTACCTGGTGGAAAAAATGGCTATCTAGTAACTACATATGTAGGTAGTATGTTGTATACAAATTAAAATTAGCGTATATGTTTCAAAAAGGTGAGGTAATCACCAATGACAAAAGTTATGTGCCGGTGGTATACTTAGTCGCCCGTACCGGAAGAAGGGGAGGCACTGGCTGTTGAGAGGTCTACTTGGGGGATTAGGATCAGGTACTAAGTACTCCGATATAATGGGCAAGTTTTCTATAGCTGGAATCTCGGTACTATTCAGGTAGCGGGCGAGCACAAATTACCTAGGTAGATATCTAGTGCTGAGAAGTCTAGCTATCAATAGCAATGGAAGAAAATAAACTCGTTATCATTTATCTCGTCTACTATGGTACTGAATACCCGTCTTTATTATGTTATGCTTTTTTTATATGATAATACGAATTCCCACCATCATCCCAAAAAACCAGGTTGCGAAGATAAGCGTGCTTGTGATGAAGATTCGTTGCCGTACCTGCTGCCAAGCCTTTTCCCCGCTATCCCGTCCGCTATCCCATCGCTATCCCAAATCTTCACTCCAGTCCTCGCGATCACATCCTGGGTACACTCGGCAATATTTCTTTAGGCTCAAAGAACCTCCGGTCCATTCTGCCCAGTTCCATTCGTGGTTCCGATGACAACACAACAATCCCCTTTCCAATGCCACTTTCCCGGGTGTGGCCTAAGCTATCGACGGAAAGAACATCTGACCCGACATGCTAAAAGCCACTCTCAAACAAATAGTTTCGAATGCTCCTTTTGTGATCGCGTCTTTTCCAGGAATGACACGCTACGGCAGCATGTCCGCACTCATCACAAAACCAAAAAGCTACAATACTCCCGGGCAATTCAAGCCTGTACCTACTGTCGCTCACGGCGATCAAAATGCGACGGACAGTCTCCCTGCGGCGCGTGCTTCAAGCAGGAAATTCAATGTTTATATACCCAAAACTCACGAGGCCGGCCATTGGAACAAAATCGGCCTCGAGATCCCCTCAAAAGCCCCATACCTTCGGTAGAATCGGACGATGAATTCTATTCTCCTCCGACGGAATCAGCGGGCCCTATACAGCGTTCAGAGACTATTGAACATAGTCCATGTAGAGTTGCGCCATTTGTCCAGGCTTATTTCGACAAATTTCACCCAAAATGGCCATTCTTGCACCCAGCGACGTTCGATCCCGACAACGAGTTACCTTTTCTTGCCCAGTCAGTGGTGATGATGGGCGCGTGGGCAATGATGGAAAGCCATACACAACAGACCGCAAAGGACCTACATCAAAGACTGACCTTGTCGATATACGAGCAAAGAGTTAGTTTAGTCTTTCCTTCTATTTCTCCACATTTTACTAAAGAGCCACTTAGGGAAAATGGGACATATCGAATCACCACGACGGACCATACTCGCAACACCGTGGAATATCCCCATCTTGTCCCACACCCTGGCCGATGGCAACATATCAAGGAATCCTGTTACACCTCATCTTCTCCCTCCTCCTCAACCACGACCAGTTAGATCTGGAATTGACTCAAGTACTCCCCGAGATCCCCTCTCAGCTTCTCATTTCCCTCGTGCGCACCTGTTTGGAGCAGCGCATGTTCTTCTATCCCTCAATATTGGCCCAATTCAGACCAGGAGTTGACCCCGATGTCTTCATTTGGCTTGGTATCGAGGAAGTCAAGCGTTTTGACTTGTCATTGTACAGAGTATGTAGGCATGCCCGGACATGCAACACCAAACCCTTGGAAGACGCGTCGGATTTCGGCCCCCGGCGTGGACCACGATCACCGGGTGGAAGCCTTCTTTCTCTGACAGACCTGCAATTTGCGGTGCCGGACAGTGATGAGCTCTGGCATGCTACTTCGGATTTGGCCGCTAAAATCACAGGAAACGAAGCTGCCTATACCAATGAGAATATTGAAGACAATTGGATTTCTCAGACTGCACGAGTTTTGCAGCCTCGTGATCAACAATTTCAGTGGATATAATAATATTTAATTGAAAGGACGCTGCCGTGTACATATATACATCTTCGACTTGCGAAACTGAACGTTGATAGTGGGTAGATGTCATAGGATGTAGCTGAGTGTTTGTCGCCTTGGAGGATAGTGTGAGAATAAATACAGCCGATTTTATCACTAGACCATAAGAAAAACCAAGGTTTCCATTTAGGGCCTATGGAGGCCATAACCCAGTCTGACAGATTGTTTCCAACTCTGGGATAGCGATAGCACTAGTGGGATACCGATATCCCGTCGCTATCCCATCGGTATCCCATTGGGGCTGCGGGTTGGCATCCCATCGCTATCCCAGTGGAATCTTGGTGGGACAGGCGGTATCCCATCTTGTTCCCGGATTGTAAATCCTAGGTCTACTTTCATCCCATTTAGATTATTTACGCATAGGTTTAGTCATGGAGTTGATTTAATAGTTCGCTTTCCGGTTGATCAAATTTCTTATAAAATGGCACCGTATCCAATAATCTAAAGAACCTCCATATCTCTCGCAATCTTTCTCTACAGAGTAGCAACGTTTAACTTGCATATTTTGCACGACCAATTGCAATGACTGAACATCTCAAAGGAGATGATGGTGAATCGGGGACCCAGCCCGTTCTGAAGGAGGCCCATACCCCCAGCTCTATCATGTCCCAGCTCAGTACGAAGGACGCCCGGTCTTCTGATATGGAGGAGAAAGATGAAGTGCGAGCCATCACCGGATTCAAGGTTTGCAAGATTTACCCCGAGTTGGCCTTCTCAGAACTAATATGGGAAACACCAGTGGATTTTGGTTGTGACTGCTATCTTATCCAGCCATATGCTCTTCGCTCTCGACAATACAATCGTGGCTAATATTCAACCAGTCAGTACTTTGCCTCACGTTTACAGGCAGGCAGCGCTAACTTTCCTGGATTATCAGGCCATTGTAGCGCAATTCAATGAGGCTGATCAGATTTCATGGCTCTCTGTCGGGTAGGTCTCCTATCATATCCGGGTTAACATATATCATATTTCTCACATCGATTCTCCTTGCAGATTTACTCTTTGCTCGTCTGCAACCGTGCTTCCTTGGTCTAAGGTCTACGCGACTTACAATGCTAAGTGGCTTTACATCGGGGTAAGTCAATGAGGCCCGATTATCCCATCCGATATAGAAAATCTCTGATCATTGTTTAGTGCGTCGTCCTGTTTATGGCAGGTTCTGCTCTGTGTGGAGGTGCGCCAAATATGAACGCTATGATTGTTGGTAGAGCAATGGCTGGCGCTGGAGTAAGTAAATATTTTCCTAGTTAGATCCTTCAACCCTAAACACTAACGAAATTCTCAGGGAAGTGGCATGTACTTCGGTGTCTTGACGCAATTGTCCGTTAATACGACAGTATCTGAACGTCCCTTCTATATTGGATTGACGTACGTGACCCACTAGTTGGCTTGTATATATGATATATGCTGATCAACCTCCCTTCTGGATAGTGCTGTCTCGTGGGGTATCGGAACAGTGACTGGTCCGGCCATTGGAGGCGCATTCGCTGAAAGTGCCGCCACTTGGCGTTGGGTGGGTTCTCAGCAATCTGAGGATATAAAGTCGTATTGTATTAACCATTCCTAGGCCTTCTACATCAATCTTGTGATTGGAGCAGTCTTCGCTCCGGTGTATCTCCTTCTCTTGCCTTCATTCGAGCCCCTCCCAAATTCCACTGCTAAGGAAAAGGCAATGAATATCGACTGGGTGGGCAGCGTCCTTTTTATTGGTGCCTTAACAACCTTGATCATGGGCATTGACTTTGGAGGTGTGGAATGGAAATGGGGCAGCGGCCAGTCAATTGCGCTCTTTGTGGTGTCCGGGGTGCTCTTCGTCATGTTTGGAGTACAGCAGACCTTCTTCATCTTTTGCAATGAGCAAACACGACTGTTCCCAATTCACTTTCTCAAGAGACGCTCTCTGCTGCTTTTGTTCATTCTCAACAGTGAGTCAAGCCCTCTACGGATTTCCTTTCTTGCGCTCCACTAATCCATACTCTCTATCTAGCAAGTGCCAGCAGTGGGTTATTTATTGCGGTTTATTACATCCCGTTGTTTTTCCAGTTCACACAGGTCAGGATAGCCACTTTGATATTTATGCATAAGGTATAGGAGCTAACAGTATTACAGGGGGATACGGCCGTCTATACGTCGTTGCGCCTTCTTCCTTTCGTATTGGTTCTTATCTTCACGATCATTGCCAACGGCCATATGATGTCCAAGTTCGGTTACTATATTCCATGGTACTTCTTCGGTGCCGCTTTCGAGCTTATTGCCGCTGTGTTGATGTGTATGTTGCCTGGAAATCTACCCTTGTTCCCACTGGGACGTATAGACTTGGTGCTAATTGAGACTCGAATTTAGATCGCGTCAAGGCCGATACCTCTGCTAGCGCAATCTATGGATACACAGCCCTGATGGCGTTAGGCGTAGGTGCCTACAATCAGGCAGGTTATAGTGTGGTACAGGCAAAGGTACCGAAAGCTGAGATCCCATGGGCCTTGGGCTATATGATGGTTTGTAAGTGAAGCCCAGTTCCTAAGTCTCTTCTTTGTCTTAGGGCTAATTTCAAATAAACCAGCCCAATTGGGAGGCATAGTCTTAGCCTTGGGCATGGCTGGTGCTATTTTCGTCAACAAGACAACAAAGGAACTTCTACAGTTGCTCCCAAATGCCAACCCTGCTGATGTCAAGAATTCCATTGCGGGAACGTCTAGTGGATTCTTCAAGACCTTGACGAAGTCACAACAGACCGCAGCTCTTGATATTATTGTTTCGGCCATCGATGATGTGTAAGTCTTTCTTTCTTGAACAACCTATTCTTCGACTGCGCTTAGTGACTCACTCAATTGCTAACCTTTTCTTCCTAGCTATGTTCTTTTAATCGTTGCCGGTGCGCTCGGTGTCCTCCTCCTCTCTCCTCTTGAAGGTGGGTTTTCTCTACCATGGTCTATTACCACGCCACTGACATTCTTTTCTATCTAGCGTGAAAGATTGTTCATGGAAGCGGCAGCAGGTGGAGCCTAGAACTTATATTTTAGGCTCAAGGAGGAGATTTATTTGCTGCCATGAGCGAAAGGTTGAATGTTCCTAGGGAAGGAGTAACACGCGAAAAACAGGTGAAAAAAGACATATAATAATACACACAATACACACAAGAAAACGTACAAAAGGACAAGCCTGGTCATTCTCAAACATTCGTACGGCGCCGTTTACGGCGAGTGGAAGCCGCGCGTGAAGGGACAGGGTTGTCTGTCTCCTCCTCTGGTTCTTGAATGGGAGGCTGCGGCAAGAGCATGCTATCATTCACTCCATTTGGTTTTGAGGTTTGTTGACGACAAGCTCGATTGCATTCTGCAAGCACATCGACGCGTCATTCCACTGTGAGTTCGTGAGGCATTCAATACTGAGGGACTTCAGCAAATAGGAGTAGAAGTAGAGGTCCTTCTTTTCTTTGGAAAAAGTGGTCCAATAAACGGAGATTGTAATCGATTGTCGAGTTACGGTAGCTGAACGGACCCTTACAACGCCGTCGATCCTTTATTAGCAGTACTACCTGCACCTCAATAGCATACTATCAATCAGATCAGATAGGAATTCCTCCGGTATAGTATCCTAGGCCTCCTAACCCATACTATGAAGCTTTGATAAAGGAAAAGTGCTAATCCCCATAATTTCTCTTGATATAATCCTTTATCTAGTTGTATACCTTAATAGGGTTTAAATCAGGTAAAAAGGTGGGCTATTCTATCACAATAACCCTAAGCTCCTCGAGGAAATTAAGAGTCTCTTTAGTAGTATACCTAGAAGTATTATCGTATATAACAATCAGATCTTACTCCCTTCTTAGACGGAAGAAGCCTTCTATTATAATATAATATAGGATCCACTATATAGGTATAGGGACTTCTAAAGCGAATTGAATCTGAAGTGAATCTAAATTCAATATGGATTGAATCTGAATTATTGGTATGGCTTATTGGTAGGTGATTTCGAAATTTTCTAGTCGAAGTCCAACCGTGAAGTCTGGGTACAGCGGAATTGTGTTGGGCGGTTATTTCTGGTCGAAATTGCAAAGGGATAACGCATTCGCTCATAAACTGGGCTTCAGCTGCGGCATGTGTTCTTGAATCGAGTATAATGCCACCCAGATTGATGAGGGAGGGGCCAATGGCCGTTTGGGTGGTCAATTCGTTTCCTGGGACACGCAGACATTGATCAAACATGTCAGTTGTATATCGGGGTCTGTCTTCCTTTGTTCTGGTCCTCCAGGACGTTGATTATTGCTTCGTATTCAGTTGGCTCCTTAGATTCAAATATTCCTCTTTCTGTCAGCTCATAGCGGCATTGCCGAGATTTGTAGGTCACACTTTTGGTCGACCGACCTGACCTGGCTGAGCCGGGTGATTGTGTACGAGTGGCGCTCGCAAAGCTGGCTGACTGTCTGACATTCTGGGGTGGTAGGAGTGGCTGTCGACTTCAGAGCTGATTTCCTGGGCTTGGGAATCTCGGGATTGGGTATTGGGTGCTCTGACGTGACGAGCGAGTTTTCTGTAAGTGGAATCTCTATACTGTTCGGGTAGCGGGCGAGAACAAAGTTCAAAGTTCTCTCCGACCTCACTGGAACTTGACGATATTACGCTGCCATGGTGGGAAAGAGTACAATCCCAGGTTGGTTTTTTTTTTTTTTTTTTTTTTTTGAGTTGCTTCCATGTAGACTTTAACATGGACGATATAACTAGATAGTTAACTAGATAGTTATGCGGCGATCATGGTGGGTCATAGTTGAGCTCGACCTTCATCAAGTATAGAACAAGTCAAATATAGAACAAGTATAAAACAACTTTGGAAGTATAGAACAAGAAATAGAACAAGTACAATATTGTATAAGAATAGTTATTTATGAAATAAACAGTTGGAGTACAGTTGGAGTTGGGAGGTGCATCGAAGAGGGGCAAACAAAGGACCTTATGTTGTGCTGGTACCTAGTACTTCTATCACCACAGGTATCACCGTACAACACCCAAGTACCCTGTACTACCCCCTCCCTCCCCGGCGATTACTGTCACCTTGGGTCATCCATTCCAAATGTTCTTATCGCAATCCCCTTCATCAACTTCCACTTCTACGTTTCAGTTCTCTTTTATACTCTTTATCTTCATTACTGTGCTTCTTTGCCCTTCCAACCTTCTCACGTCTTTTGCCTAACCTTCTCACGCCTTTTGCCCAGGTATGCCCTTACTTTCCAGTCACGCACCTGACCATCCTGACCATCCTGACCCTCCGGCTCCCCGCAGACCCACCTTATCACTCTATTTGGGCATTCTGAGTCTCTGCCTAGGACTCTCTGCCTAAGACTCCCAGTATCTTCCGACCCTCCCTTTTCTATTCTATTTCCCTACTCTTTATCTCCGTCTCTGCTTCTAACTCTGGCTTATTTTTTTTTGGACCTTCTCCCTACGGCTTGGGCTATCCCTAAGCTCCTGTTTCCGCGGCACCCCGTGTGCTCTATGAAGTTTACGTCGACGAAATGACTGACGATCCAGACTCGCCTCATAGGCGTTCCCTCCGTGCACAGACTGCTTCTAGTCTACAATATCCGACTCTTCCACCCCTGACAGCTTCTGTCGAGGAGTGGTTGTCCCGTTCACGGCCTACCAATATGACGTCAGATCAACTTTCTGATCATTCACCCAAAACCCTGAGTGATAGCTGGGCAACTCTGAGTGTGTCTGATATACGCTCAGAAGATGGCAGCCACTCCGAACAAACCGATACAGGCTCGTTGATCGACCAGGCCAGCCCTGACGACGTTGCAAGCCTCGACGAACGCTACAGCGGGAGCGAGGCCGAGGCCGAGGCACAGGATGAAGACAACCAAGAGGATGATGGGATAGACAGAGATGAAGTGCAGTGCACTGAATCAGTCTCCCAGGAGCTGCCTGCCCTCTTTGCTGCCAGACGAACCACTATCGATGACAGCACCACAACCACGAAGCCCTCCTTCCCCCACACCAGTGATTCGATCGAATTTGTGGAGCCTGAGAAGTGGCCCGAGATCGAGAGAGTGGAGCTCAAGCATACTATCCGCATCTTCGAGGGTGCCGCAGCCTCAGAATTGAAGAGCCGACTGCCCTACAATTCAACCGACTCCATCCTCATGGCTACGGTTCAACAGACCATGACGAAACAGAGCCTCGACCTGGATAAACCTTTCCGTGTGCTCTATGTCGGACAACCAGGGTTCCGAAACATTATTCTCGACAAGATTGGCGATGTTCTGGTATCAAGCTCATGTGCTGGTTCAGAGACCAGCTCGGCCGAATCTTCCCGATATCATGTCGTACCAACCTCATTTGGCACTGGGGCTGTCCCCAACTTTGCGGAACTTCTCCCGATTCATGTTCAGCTGGTGGTTGACGAATGTCTGGAAGCCACGGCCGATCCCCACGCGGATCGACCCAGTACACTTCACCTGAAGTTTAAGAATCGACCTGTCTGCACCTCAGCTTGGAATGGGTCTGACTACCATGTAGCATCTGCAACAGATTGGACTTTACCAGATGTGGCAATTCTCTTTGTCTCCGGCCTCGATGATGCAGCAGCCGTCAAGGCCCAGCGCCTTGCCCATATGTTCCTAGAACGTCATGGAGTCCCGGCGATGGTGATTTCAGAGGAGCCACTGTGGAAGATGGCCGGAGAGGTGATCCCCCTTAACCACAACAGTCTGCACACATGTTTGGAATCCCGCCATCCAATTTCCGGGGAGACCGCAGTCCTCCGACGGTACCCTATCGATTTGAAGACTTTTGAGAGCATCACGCCTGGTCAGTTGAATCGAAACCTGGCTTCCCTCGTTGGCTTGTATCCAAGGAAGGCACATAAAGTCACTGCCGATACTCCCAAGCCTCTTCAAAGGCATATATTTGCGGATCTCGAGAAGTATCCTGGCAATTGGCTCCCGCCTTCGTATGCCACACGGGCCCGAGAGCTGGCTCCCACGCTACGTCTGGTTACTTTGACTCTCATTTCGGCCATTGCCATATCTATTGGGTATGCGGCCGTTAGAGTCTTCGTCGTCTTTCTATTGCAATGCTTTGCCGGATCGGCTTTGTCCAATGCATCCTTCCCAGCGGCTTCCCATGTCCCTCCCGCCTCTGTTCTGACTCTGGATCGAGTGGTACAAACCTCAATCTCAACACGGCCGTCAACTCCTATGCGGGTATCATATGTACCTTCTTGGGGAAATTCAATCTCCGAAGATGTCAACGTGCCAACTATTTCTACCGCGAAATCATCGGGAGCGACAAACGAGTTTGAGTTTCAGGTTATTGGAGACTGCCATGTTATCATCAAACCCCCACACAAGTTCGCGTCGTCCAAGAAACAGCCACAATTCGATGTTAGAGTTCACCGAGAGAACAAACCTCTTACATACGAGCTGTCTCAGCTGTTTGATGGGGTCTATACACTGAAGTTGAACCGTGAGGATGCGCACGGGCTGATCAACTTGACGATCACAACCAAATCAAAACAGCCAATCAACCAGACCATGGCTGTTGACTTCGGAACTCCGTGGCTGAAGATCGCAAACTGGAAACGCGCAGCACAGGGAATTTCTTCGCAATTTGCTAAGGAGATGCATACGGCTCAGACTGGCTTGACTGAGGTATGCGGTCGCCTCTCCACCGACTTACAGGTGATCATGGGAGATGTGGTGAAGAGAACCCATCTCTTGCGCCGCGATGCCGAAAACCTACGCCGTGAGAGTCTGGATGCACGCGATGCCGTTTTATCACGGTCGAAACAACTTTCAGCAGTCTTGGCTCGCAATACTATCCAGCGGTTCCAAAGTGTTTCTTCTGTGCTGCAAATGCGATCTAGTCGCGTGAACAAGGAAACCAAGGGCCTTGTTTATGATGCATGGAGTCGAATTGGGAAGTCAGCGACGAAGATTGACCTTCGCAGTATGATGGATCGAGTGCGCAACGTTAAGAGATGCAATGCGCTGGATCGGGCTCAATCGCGTGCTCGACATGTTATGGGATTACGGCCCGGCAAATCTGGGACTTGCTCAACCCGTGGCTCGAAATGATGAACGAACTTCCTTTATGACTTTGTATTTGCTTTTTTTTTCTCCTTATTAATGAGTTGGCTGGGGACTGGCTTTTGTTTATGGCGATCAGGATTGGGGGGGTAGCAACTGTACTGGAAATGGGGGGTTTCACGCGAACTATTCAGTCGGCGCAATGGTATCTCTTATTTAAATCATACTCCAACTTTGGCCTTATCTGACAGTACCCACTGAAATAGAATCTTTATTTCTTTTCTTTTCTTTGATGTGTGTTTCTGTTGCATGTAGTTCACATTTATATGGAGTACACTATTGGCAGACGAGAGCGGTGGCGGGTTCTGCCAGATATGGGACTAAGTATTAATTTTTCCCCCTCATCGCCGCTTTCTCTGATCAACAAACACTATCTCTTACTGAAATTCCACTCTATCTCCTGTGGATATCTGCCATCTCTCTTTTTATCCTTTTAAACCGATCCGCTTGAACCCCTCGTCATCATGTCTGACATCACCGAGACCAAGCCCGACCCCGCCATCTCTGCCTCCGAGACTAAGCCTGAGGAGACCACCCCCGCCACCGGCGAGGGTGAGCAGTCTACCACCGAGGCCGTTGCCGAGACTGCTACTGAGACCGCTGAGAAGGATGCCGACACCTCCAAGGATTCCACCGTGAAGACCTCTGACAGCATGTTCTCCATGTTTGGTGGCGGTCCCAAGAAGGAGAAGAAGGAGGAGGCCGAGGAGCCTACTGATGAGCCCTCCGGTTCTTCCAAGGCCCAGAAGGCCACCGATGAGGTGAGTTTTATACATCTGATGCTGGCGACATGGGCGGTTGTTGTTGGACGCGTCTACGATGGGGGCGGGGTCTTGTGCCCCTTTCTCCCGATAGTGGGGTCGTCGCAAATAAGCCAAACTATGCATACTATGCCAGTGCCCATGATTATTTTAGCTCCGCGCATAATACTAACCATGTTATTTCAATGCAGGAGGAAGTCGAGGAGTCCACCGATGTCCACTTCGAGCCCGTCATTCACCTGACCGAGAAGGTTGAGACCAAGACCAACGAGGAGCTTGAGGAGCAGTCCTTCAAGATGCGCGCCAAGCTCTTCAAGTTCGACCGGGAGTCGAAGGAGTGGAAGGAGCGTGGTACTGGTGATGTCCGCCTGTTGAAGCACAAGGAGAACCAGAAGACCCGCCTCGTCATGCGCCGCGATAAGACCCTCAAGGTCTGCGCCAACCACTACAGTAAGATTACTGCCCGGTCATATTTTCCGAAGGTCCAATGCTAATATATGTTTCCAGTCGTTCCCGACATGAAGCTGAGCGCCAATGTCGGCAGTGACCGCAGCTGGGTCTGGAACGCCGCCGCCGATGTCTCCGAGGGTGAGCCCGAAGCTCAGACCCTGGCCATCCGTTTCGCCAACAGCGAGAGTGAGTGGTTTTTATGCCAACCTGATGTCGATCCGATTACTAACCATGGTTTTAGACGCCAACGCCTTCAAGGATGCTTTCGAGACCGCCCAGGTTGAGAACGAGAAGCTCTTCAACGCTGAAGAGTAAACGACTCTTCTTCTCTCATTTTGCTAAACTCTTCGAGGATGAGGATACCCCATTACCGTGCACTTGGCATTCCAAGGCATTTGGGTGCATCGTCCCGGAGCTTGCTCTTGAAAAATCACCACAATCTTCGCCCCTTTCACACCGTTTCACCCAATCATCATCCCCAAATTCATCCCGTTCCCACCCCATCCCCTACGACGCGACGAGCGAGGCAGCAGTTATGAAGATGCTCCTCGCATAGCTATTGCGAGCCATGCAGTCTACGAAATGGAGGGCAGTTCCCTAACGTCGGTGGTTCGAAAGTAGATAGACATTTCCCCATCCAATATACCTGCACATCAACCCCATACACACCCTGAAGATATCCAAAGAAAGAAAACAAAAACCAAGGAATAAAAGTAATGATGAGTATGCCTAAACAAAATAAACAAGTTAAACAAGTGTATGCCTAAAAGAATACCCAGATTTTACAATTTTTCAAATAAAATAAACAAAGAAGAAAAAGCCTGTAGCTCATATTTTCTTTTCGAGTGCTCAAAGACATAATGATTGCAGATTGCAGGTTGCAGAACAATGCTAGGACTTAAAATAAAATTGTTTATAGCTGTATCTCTCATTTGATCTCAACAGTCTCAAGTCTTTGAAAAAATATATGTATATAAAAAAGAAGTAAATAGCGTAGAAAGTGAGAGAGTGGTCAAGTTGAACATAGTGGGCAAACCTGAGGATATAGCCCACTCTCTGACCTCGAGCTTAATTCACCACTTCATCGAATTGCCTTGAGAATATATCCAAAGACCCAACACTATATATGAGTTCTCGCTGCCTATTTACATTGAGGTATTGCCTACATATATGTGTGTAGTTAGTGATTTCTCATGCTCACACCCCCGATAGACCGCGCAAACTTGTCTCCGAGACGCCCACCTCTCCGCACGTCAACGTCCCCTTTCGGCCTCAAACCCTTAGAACCTCACGATCCTCTCAAGTGACGACCCGAGGTCACCAATAAAATAACCATGCCTGACGTGAGTATACTGTCCCCTCATCAACTATCGCGAACTTGCATCTATACTCTAGCACTGTGGGTTTGTCGCTGTGGCCGACACAGCCCAAACCTGGTCTTTTCTCTGTTTCCAGCACAATTAAGCTTGCATACACTAACGCTTTTCCTCAATAGGTCAAACGCACTGTCCGTCTCATCACTGAGCAGAACATTATGTATGCGCACCCCTTCCCCCCTCTGTCTACCTCTACATTCAGCTTCCCTCCCTTCGCAAAACCTCGGCCTGAGAAGAGCGCCTGGAGCTACTGTCTCCCCCCACAGTCTCCTTTCGACGCTATGTCCTGTAGCTTGCAGGATACAAGATTGATATGGGCTCAAGGATGAAGGGAAGCGCGCTTTGCACACCACTCTTCTCTTCGGATCCCAACACCCATCCCTACACATACACACACAAAACACGCTGCATTAGACACATTGGCTGACTTGGGCTTTCTTCCCACACTGCAGAGATAAGCCATCGGAAGTCGAAGGTTTCCCGCAACGATCTTGGCATATTGAGGTCTGGATCGTGAACGAGAAGGGCGCTTTGGTTCCCGCGAACCTCTTCGACAAGGTCACCTACCACCTGCACCCCAGTTTCGGCGAACGCGCCACACAGGGTATGTTTTGGTCCCTATTGGTGTTTTTTGGATTTGGTCTTGGCGACGCCTGGGTTCTCTATTTTCCAGAATCCCACGGCCATCAAGATTCGGTCGGACAGTGCTCTCTGTGTGGACTGGTTTTCCGATTGGAGGCTAACGTGGGATAATTTCGAATAGTCTTCAAGCAGCCGCCGTTCCGCATTCAGGAGGAAGGATGGGGTGAGTTCGATATGTCCATCGAGCTGACGGCCGACAAGTCGTACACCATTCAACATGACCTGAACTTCGCCCAGACCCGTTATGAATCTAAGCATGTGCTCGTGAGTTTGATTTTGAAATTCCCCTGGTTCGAGAGAAGGTAATGGTGTGCTGATCGATGGCGCGTTCTTTTCGCTCGTGTAGACGTTCAAGAACCCCAAGCCTGCTTTGATGGCCGCGCTGCGCGAGTCCGGTCCCGTCCCCGGTGACGAGAATGGTATCAAGCACAAACGCCCTGCTGGTGGTGAGGAGAGTGCCAAGAAGAAGAAGCGCACAGATAAGAATGTGAGTTGTTTCTGGGGTGTGGGGTTTTAAGGTTGGCGCTGCAGGACTAACGCGCGCTCAAGGTCGACATGGACAAGCTTGCCGACGGGCTGCAGAAGTTGAACGAGGACGACCTTCTCCAGGTTGTGCAGATGGTTCATGACAACAAGGCGGCGGACTCATACACAAAGAACGATGTTGAGCGTAAGTTTCCTATCTATCCTCAAGATATGAGAAAAGGAAATCATGGCTTGCTTGACGTTTACTCTGATCAAAACGCTAACTTCTCCTCGTTCATTTCGACAGTCGGAGAATTCCACGTGGACTTGTACACTCTCCCCGAGGTGTTGATCAAAATGCTCTGGGATTTCACGGCGGATCGCGGAGCCTTGTAAAGGACCATCGAGCAAGCGGAATAGGGAAGAGAAACCAGGGCGTGGGAGTGTCTATTCTGTTTTCTTCTCATTTTCTTCTCATTTCTCGGGTCTTGGCTTCTTTCTCTCTGGTGCTATGTATCCTCGGTCTCTCTCCACGGCCATACGTCTAGTTACTTTCTCATGTTTTTTTCTGTCTTTGGGGAGTTAGCGGACTACCGAAGGAAATTGGATGGCTCTTTTTTTCATTTCTTTTGTGCTTTCGCTGGTTCCAAAATGCGTATTCTTTTCTCTTGCTCTCGCTCTCGGGGAGGGATGTGATGGATGTGATGGATTCGATACTTTCACTCTCTCTCTTGCTTGCGGAAGACGGGTGGGATTTGGATTGGGGGAGGAACCTCGTAAATGGGTTCCTTTCGATTGATGATTTGCACTAGATACTATGGATTTTATACCAATATCGAAACTCATCGCTTTTTGTCTCCGTCTACAAAGATGTATCATCAGTACAGACAGATAGATATACCTTGCGTATAGGATCGTGGGACTGTGGATGTCTACATGCCAGGTTTTCTCGGGCAGTAATCCTAGGACTAACTAGTGTAGACATCCGTCTTAAGCTACACGTCTGAAACTTGGAATGTTATCGAGTAACTAACTAGGTAGAAACATGTATTCCGTGGGACCGCCAATAGCTATGGAGCCCAAATGCTCAGCCATGACTTTACCGAAGGGCTCGCACGAGAACTGGTGTTTGATCTGGTGGGCATCGAGTATATGGTATGACTTTCAGCAACTGGGTAATGCTGATGTCTCTCCATAAGTGTGCAAGCACCATGTGATTCAGGACCTCTCCAACTGCGCTGTCTCATGGGGGCTACGGTGAGATGGCGGTCGAGAGGTCTGAAAGGGTTGAGAGGAAGAAGAGAAGAAGAAGAAGAGAGGAGGTGGGAGGGGGGTGGGAGGCCTTTTATACCCTCAAGCACATGCGTACCTTCCCAATCTGGACAGCCGTTTGCTCCTGCCTTTTTTGCTTGTAGCAGGTGACCATGCGGAACCCTACCTACTTCACATGTTTGTTGCAAATGCAAATTCAGGGCTCACTTCAAGGAGATTACCAATGAGAAACAAGATATAGCAAGGAAAGTAATAACAGCATGGGATATCTCGAGTAAATCAACATCAAGCCCGGTTCCAGCCGGGTTGGAAATAGTAGGGACATAATCAGACAAGGAGAGAAAAGAATCGCAAACGTGTCCAATGGGACACGGCAAGATAGTAACCAGACTATCGATCAACCAAGTCCAAATCCATCCACCCCATTCTAGTGAACAACGCCATTTCAAGATATGCTCTTGGGAATTTTTTCCATGTAGTATTGCATCCAATGTCAAAGAGAGATGTAGGAGAGTGTTTGGGAGGAAAAAAAAAAAAAAAAAAAAAAAAGGAGGGACAAGTCAACTCATGCAGAGATCACGAGAGGGAAGAACCAAGACGCCTTGCTGCTATGTCAGTAAATGTGGACGGCTGAAAACATAATAGCCAAGAAAGTATCATAGGACTCGGTGTCTATAATCGTCAAGAATTAGCATACAGTCCAGTAGGAAATGAACAAGAGCTTGGGAGTACACACAGCTTCAACAAGTCCTCAAGACTGTCAGCACTGCAGCTACGACCACGAGGAATGTTCCGCAGGACATCGACGATAGTAGCAAAGACGTCGCCGCCACGGTATGCCAACAGGGCAGGGGCCGTGATGTGATCCATCTCCGCGATGGCTTGGTGCATCTTCACGAAGCGGACAGTTTGTTGTCGGCGAGCGATAGTAACAAGACATTCTTCGACAATAGCACTGTCATCAAACTATAAAACCAAACAAGACAAGTTAGCAACTCCAACCCCGCAATTACATCCCAGAGGACCCAATTCCACACATACCTCGTTATCATAGATACAGACAACAACAACGGTGTCAGATGTCACTTTCTCAATAGCATCAAGGTATCCCACTGCATCAACGGTCTCAACCGATCCATACCGTCTACCCCGCGGACTGGGACGACGATTATCCCGGCCCTGCAGCTCATGCATACGCGATTGACGCCACTTTCGCAGGAAGCGGGCTTCGTCGTCGTCCTCGCTGGCGGAGGACTGGTCGCCGGGTGCGAGGGGTGCGTCATCACGAGTGGACTTTGAACTGAAGGAGGGGCTGTTGTTGGAGTCTAGCCCCGCAACACTAAGGAGAGTGCGACGGAAGGACTTCTTTCTTGCGCGCTCGAAAGCCTGGGCATCGGCAATAACGCCCTTGGGACCTGTGTTGGCTTCGTAGACGGTGTTTGGGATGTGGTAGTTTGTGTTGGCGGTGCGGGAGGAGACCATGTCTGCGTCGTCGTCGTCTTCGTCGGAGGAGTCGAGTGTTTGGCGGGAGCGGAGGCGGGAGGATGGTTCGTCGTCGGAGAAGTGCGGGTCTGAGTCGAGGTGATCTTCGGGGTGAGAGGTGAAGCGTGAACGGTTACTGTTCACCAGCTGGTTGAATTCTTCTTGGGCGGACATATTGAAAGAGAGGGCAACGGGGCGGTTTTAGGTAAGAGGGGGATTTAAGTTGGGAGATGATCGGACACTGGTATGTTTTGGGATCGACTAGGATCCAGGATCGAGAATATGCAGATATTCGAAGATTGCCCCTGAAGTTGAAACGGAGGTGAGGCTGAGGTTGGAAAGAGATCGTCGTGAAAGGTCATGGAAGTCATGAAACAGTGAGGTCCCCCCTTTTTCTTCGTATTTCAGGCTCCACATTGGAACATCCGAGCCCTGGAGATATTAAAGGTCAATGCAAATTGTTGAGATTGTTCTTTGTTTTGGAAAATAAATGTATGATTATTCTTAATATCATACAATATTCTTCCGTGTAGCATATTGTATGCAACATACAACATTATGTTGTACGGAGTACTCCGTACATATATCTTATATCTTATATTCTATATCTTATATATCACATATATAGAAAAAGCAAAAAATCGAGGCTATACTTAGCGTACTTGGCACCTTTCAGTCGCCTTAAATAGCCTTACATATAGGTCAATGGCATTTATCCTTGTCCTTTCTGAAACGAACCTCTACTAATGGCATTCAGTACAACTCCCGATCCCATGTGACGTGTCTACGGCGAAGTATCTACTTTAAGGTAGCCCCCATTCGACTATGTAGATCTTTATGTCTCCACCAAGGAATATTCCAAGGCTAGATGTTTCTATTTTTTCTCGAGCCGCAGTATCTTCGTATTCCCAGTTTAGTTTGATATGTAAGGGTGAAATTTGTCTCGGTAAATAGCGTGGATACTTATTATAAGGAGAACCACAGGGCTGATTCCGTTTGTGTTCTTATTTCGAGTGTCAAGAGTACCCTCTAACTCCAAGTTTTCCCTTCAATTATCGACTAACTCCCTCTAGTATCAGAGGTCGATTCTCCTACCCGTCGGTGTGTCTTCCCTTGTTTCATGTTTCACTTCAGACGTTCCAAGGCTGTCCCAGGTTCGGTGAGCTACATGTTAGGCATCAATGTCCACTTGGGTGAGAATGAGGCCGGGGCAACTGATTTAGATTGACATGCGGATATGCGGACATGCGGGCATGCGGGCATGCGTGACATACTCCTAGCCACTACTCCTGGCTGTGTCGTTCGTAGTCCGATATATGTGGAATCGAAGGTCAGAAATAAGTATACTACCTGCTCCATCCTCCCAACTGATTACCCAGAGACTACCCCCTCGAGGTTGGCCCGGGAGGCATGGCACGTTCTACTCTACGGCTGGACCGAGGTCCAAGACTGTGTATGCATGCCCTGGGTCTGATACTGGCCACGCTCACATTTTGCAGAGAACCAAGCCAGGCAAGAAACAGCATGCTGCCCGAGACTATCACCTTCAGTCGGTACAGGAAACGAAAGATGGATCGAGTTTGAAAAAAAAGTTCACAAATGGAAATTGGAGTTGCTCGAACCATTATCAAAATCCGACACCAAAAGAATCCCAGAGCAAGAGATTCCAACGCAAAGACAGTTAAGTACAACAGACTCTTTCTTTAGAGGAGACACAAATAAGGGGGAGATAGGAGGGAAGAAAGGATAAATGAGAAGAGAGAATAATAAGGCAACGCAGAGGCATACATTGGCGAAAGAAATCCTGGCCAGAATCCGGCAACCAGGTCCTTCTTTTAGACTTCGCCAACAAAATACATGTCGAAACCAATGTGGAGGAAACCCAGAACGAAATGGTAAACTGAAGGGGGGATAAAGAAATTCAAAAAAAAAAAAAAAAAAAAGAGAAGGGGGAAAGGGTGTCACCGAGAAGTCAAAGGGGAAATCAGGGGACCAGAGAAGAGGGCGACGGTGGAATTGTCTTATGGATCGACTCGTTCCAGCATTTCCTTCCGCTGGCAGTCACTGTACATCCATCGACAACCCAGGAACTAGTCGTGCTCTCGTCATGTCCAAACAAGTATTGTGTCATCGCTATCGTTTGTTCGCTCACCTCCACCTCCATCACCTTCCGTATCGTATGCGACGACGATGTCTGCGCCGCGGGTAGTGTATTATCGTGAGAACCCAAGGGATTCCCCGGTAATTGATTATTATCGTACAATGGCGGAGATTCGAACCATCGAGCCTAAAAAATTTCGAAGAAGAGCATTGCAGAATGATCGACACGGGGTATCTTGCGTTTTGTTTTTGTTGGTTTACCAGGCCCAGACCTTGAGCTGTACGGGAGAAAATCGGAGGTTAGTAGATGCATTTGAATGAACTGCAGGGGGGAAAAAAACACTTACAAGGGAATCCCAAGATCCAGTGCACAGACTGATGCCATCATTGCTGACACCGAGGCAGCTCACGCGGTTCTCGTGGCCGCTCAATGAACCAACCTTGTCGCCACGCAGAACATCCCATACCTAAATTATGGATTAGCATTTTATCACACTGTTATAAAAAGGAAGGAAAAAAAACAAGGCTCGACGTACCTTGCACTCGAAATCGTCGTAACCTGCGAACAATAACCGGCCGGAGACTGAGAATGCAACGGAAGTGATACCGCACAGAACTTGGTCGCTCTAGAGCAAGAAATTCAAAAGTCAGTTTCTGTTAATCAAATCAGTGTCTCGAGTAAAAGATAATTACCTGGTAGGTGTTAAGCTCGCGGTCGGCACGAATATCGAACAAACGGCAGGAAGTGTCATCGGAACCAGTACCGAAGGCGTTGCCGTCGGGGAAGAACTGAACGGCATTGATGTCGGACTCGTGTCCGGCGAATGTTTGGACGGACTTGCCGGTACGGATATCCCAGAGCTTGGCGAAAGCATCGCATGCACCGGAAACAAAGATGTTCTGGTTGGTCGGGTTGATGCTGATCGACATCACGTCACCCAGGTGGTCGGCGAACTCGGTAACCTTGGTTCCAGATTCGATATCCCATAGCATACAAGTCATATCGCCGGAGGAGGTGATGATGCGGCGGTCGTTGATGAATCGACAGCAGGAGAGATATCCCGAGTGTCCGGAGAGCTCGCGCGCGACACGAGTCGGGCCTTCGCGCGATGAGAGGTTATAAATCGAACAAATATTGTCGAGACCACCGCAAGCAACGTAGTTTCCGCTCGGGGCGTAGGCACAAGTCATGACCCAAGATGAGCGCAAGGGAATCGCATGGACCTTATTTGTGGTGTAAGCATCCCAGATGATGAGCTTGCCGTCCTGTGAAGCCGAAACTAGATGGCGCCGGTCGGTGGACCAGTGCATGGCATAAATCTTAGCGAGGTGACCTTTCAGTGTACGCCGAGGCTTCATTCCAATTCGTGGTAGGGCATCGGTCTGGTTCTGCGCGACTTGACGGACTAGACGGACAGGGAAAAAGTCAGCAGGGTAATTCAAATCTCCTAGAACGATGTAGCTGGCAACATGCTGGGAGAGAAAAAAAAAAAAGAGGAAACCCTCAAAACATAACAATGGGTGATGGGGGAGGGGGGAGTCGCACGGGAGGTATCGGCCAGCTCATCCTTTCTGCGCTTGATCTTGTCCTTCAACCCCTCGGCTTCGCGCCTGGCCGCAGTGATCTTGGCCTGCATCTGTTCGCCGCTCATATCGGCCATTTTATCGAAACGGTACCCCGGAGAAAAACAATTTTGATCAGATTGGTTGAGTTGAGGGGAAGGGTAGAGAGGGGGCTGAATGGGAGTGGAGTGAAGCAGAAAGAGAATCGAAAGGCGGAAGTTAAAGCGCCTTAGGCTTGGATCATAATATGGATAACCAAAAGTAAAGAAGAGAAAAGAGAAGGGGAAAAGAGCCAACGGGAACAAAAAGAACAAACCAAGAAGAGAGAGAGAGAGGGAGGGAGAAGAAGAGAGGAACAGGGGGTGAAGACCGAGGAGGGAGAGGGAGGTCAGTGTATTACTAGTGGTAATGACCTTGAAATAAGAAGGGTACCTCAACTTACTATCAATTTATACGAGGCCAGAAGTACTTTCTTTTTTTCTTCTTCTCTAACATTGCAAATAAAATCATTGAACACTCCATACATACTATATGTATAGTCCATCTTCAAATGATTTTCGATCCTTCAAGTTCTTTGTTTCCCCAAATCCCCATAAAGTGGAGTTGGTTTCCTGTATCTTCTGGTTGGCTACAATACACCTTCAATACACGCACATCGCTTTCTCCGGGTACCTGATGCCGGTTTCTTTTTTATTGATATTCGAGCCAAAGCCGACGTACATGCGCATATCTAACTATGTACAGAGTACTCCCTAGTTAGGCATTTATGTACTTATGTACTTGGATTCAAGTCCAAAAGAGAGAAAAGAAAGAAAAGAAAAAAAAAAAAGACAACCTCCTGAACCCTCATATTAGGAGATGAGAAATTGTGGCGTTCAGGATCGGCTTATGTTGTAGGTGCTAGGACCACTAGCCCCAAGACTGAAGACACAGTTGTAAATCCAATCAAGTTGGATAGCGGCAAATAATCTTGATTTGAAGTGTTGAGATTTAACTGCCGGCGGCTCTTGAAAAAAACCTAGTTATATGATGACTCTGACATATCTAGTGCAGTACGCCATACATTCTTCACGAGCTAAATCAACACCCTTGCGTCCCCCTTTCCGTTCACATAGAGGTGATTTTTAGGGAGCTAACGGAGATTGGACTATCCTGCATGTCCATTCTAGGTATAATGTCAGTTTATTACTCTGTTAAACTCTCTATATGAAGAAAAATACACTATATTCCATACATGAGTCTAAATTCTTACATTGAAACTAATATATCTACTCCGTATGAATTGCCCTGATCCCCCTCCGATCCCAAACTCCCAATCTATGCATGCTTAAACAATAATATATACTATATAACTACATACCTACAGGTCCAAGCTTCACACCTGGTGCGTTCGTTCAAGCGCACGGCCCTGTGGCTGACCCATTGTCTTGGTCTGCAATACTCCGTACCTCCGGATCTATTGGCTATTCAAGTGGTTCAAATCACTCTTTATTGGATATAATCCTAGGGATATATGCAAATGGCGTCTACTGGCATCAACTAGCGAAGTATACACAGCATTGACCCTACTCTAGAGCGTGCCGTTCGGCTTCAATACCCGTTCCGGCGGGTCCAACCGTTTCCAGTACATTGGTAAGCGGATTTCATCTAAATGAAATAATTGGAAGAGCAAGGATTTTCTTTTTGTTTTTTTTTTCCTCCAAACAATCCGACACCTGCCCACTTGGTCTGTCTTGGCCCCTTTTCTTTTTACTCCGGCCCGGGGGGAATCATTCGGCTTACTCTTGGTCTCTCGTCGATCATTATTTGAGATACTGCAAAGTTGATTTTGGAAAATCGGCTCGATATACGGGGGCAATTTTCTCTGCATTGGATATAACATTAGTCATCTACGTCGTATACATCCATATAACTATAGGGACAAGATGCCCTTGTCAATGAATGTCCACGTGCTCTATACTCTCCAGGCATACATCACAGGTCCTGCCAAGACATCCACTCGGGATCTTCAATATGGCGTCTGTCATGCAATGTTCATCGGAGATTGGTAATGAGATTACTCCGTGATTACAACATAAATATATATATATTAAAGCACGAATGGGCAATTGAGCCAGTATAGTGGGATCCCGAACCTCCTCTCTTGGTAAAAGTCCATTGGTCTTAAAGCCATGATTACCTGTCGGACTAGGATGGGTTAATCTGTACGTACAGTCATGATCCAAATAATCGACCAGAGGGGTGACCTCGTCTCAGCTCGGGGCTGCAAGGCACGCGCCAACGCCGAGATTATCAAGATGATCAAAGTCTAATAGATTATTTGAGGCATGGCGCATACTAGGATAGGAGTTTGGAACAGATCTCAACGTACAGCGTTGATATCCCAACTGTTATATCCTGACTCATATCCTCAGTAAGAAAACTACACAACATTATAAGCAAGCACCCATAGGCAAAGAAAGCAAATAATCTCGAGTATGAGAGACCGTCAATGTATGTGTCACCGTTCCCACGCCCTCAGCTTCAGGGATGGGCTTCAGCCCAACTCAAACAGAACCAGTTATAGTTTATATCATGTCATCATATCACACGATACAACCGAATCCCTGCACTGGATATTCCGATTCGAGAACGACATGATGGTGATTATCTCAGAAACGGTTCCCGAGACAACCATGGGGCTCTGCTGACGAAGACCAGCTTCTGGCCTGTGCACATAGATGGCCGCCGCCAGGTTCCAACTTTTTCTTGTTTCTTAAGGAGTGGATGATGCATGTCAATATCACGTGCATTGTAAATCGCCTTAGATCTACTCCCGAGTAAATGGCGCCTCTCTGGTTACTCAAATGGCGGGTGATCGGAAGTCGAGGTATGACGAATGTGTATAAGCTTCAAAGGGCACATTGTCGGTGTCAGAACGAGACTGTGGTCACAGGTTCAGCTGGCAGTTTTAACTCCTTACACAGAAGTGTACCGATGGCGTGATAAAACAATGTCTCAAAGGTAGTTGTAGTCGTCAACTATGAAATAAAGAATTTGCATATCAACAGATGTTGGAAGACACGTTACAATGGACCCCAGACTGTGCATTATGTCCCAGGAGGAAATGGAAAGCTAATGCAGTCCACTCGTTGGAAAGGTCCTAAGAATGGGCATATCTTTGCAATGCCGTAGACACCAAAGGCGCCTTTTATCGCCTTGGTATATACCTAAAAAGACCACCAAAAGACATGATAAGGCCGCATAACTATATATCATTAGTACATTTAAATACATATTTTTGAGCTGCTCCTTAGCAATAGAGCTGCCTCTATCCTTGTTGCTGTACTACAGCAATAACTTCGGCTTTATTTGTAGAAAGGGAACTACATACGATGGATCGAGCTGTTCCCTTTCTATAGACAGGACGGTCAGAAGTATGCATAACCAAGGCACAAGTGGGCCTCGTTAGTGCTACTCCGTAGAAGAACTTCTATAGTGTAACTATAGTTATAGGCATCTTTCTAAGTCGATCTAAGACCCCTGCCGATGGTAAACCGACTACCAGTTCAATGGATTTCTTATCCTGAAATTTTTTAATGTGACTCAGCACTAAATGTCAAGGAACTTTAGAGCCGACCTAGTTGATGGGGGCTGGGCTTGGAGCAGATGTCTACAATGTGTAATCCCTACCCTATCTAATGGACGTAGCCACCCACTATTGTTTGCTACACTCCGAGGATAAAACGAGCAAACTTGAAACTACAGAAAAGGTTCGAGGTCCAAACAGGCCGGATTTCGTAGTTCGCAGGTGTTCTAATATTAGTTCGTCCGTGCGCACAGTTGCAAGCGCGTGTAAGCCCTGTCGAGATGTGATAGAGGCACTTGGGGGCCAATGCTATCACTTGTGCGGGGATATTCGATTGGTCCTCGACAAGTTCCTGACAATTGTCCGTTGCTAAGTTTAAACACATTCTCAAAATAAACTACTCCGTTTGAGAGCTGATGAAACAACGTCAGGGAGTATCAAGAAGGTTCCACTCGCAATATTATTACACATGATAGGGTGTAGACATCAGGGGTCAGAAGGTCCAGGCCAGACGGAATATTTTGAAGATTCTGTTTGACGGGCCGTTTCCACGAAATCCATTTAGACTATTCAAAAATGGGTCATTTATATATATTGTAGGGTCAATAGTGACGGAACGTATATCATACTCTGAAGATGCACAATGAGCAGCTTCAACATACAATAAGCATTTAGATTCTTTCTTTGATTTTAAGACTCGGTCGTTTAGTCATTTTAGGCTGTTGACGTTGACGAAATTTAGTTGTAACATAACTCATTTCTGATGTCGAATCACACTTGTTATGATAATTCTAGGGATAGCCACTATAAACGGCCTGCTTCATCTGTGGAGAACTCAGGCTGAACTTCTTCGAGTTAGGACAATAGACCGAAGCTATTCAAATAGTTCATCGGGGTTATTGGTGGATTGCGATGGTCACTGCTCAAGATCTACAGCATCCGCTTGGTCATGCCGGTCTGTAGAGGGTTTGGGAACGAGCGTCACGTACAATATATGTTGCACATAGTCTGACCTGACAGAAATCAATCGATCTTGTGGCAAGGAGGTAATGGTATGCAAAGCAGATTTTGATGTTTGTCAAGTGGCAACTCCGAGGTCGGTACCCAATGTGACAGAGGGGGTCGAGGACAGATGAAGATGAAGATGAAGAGATTTGCAGAGTATAAAAAACAAAAGAAGAATAAAATTGTACCCCGTACACAAAATCTAGATAAATCACTAAAACAATAAGGGAGTAAAAAAGGGAGAAGAAAGGGTACAAACCCCCAAGGTGGCGCCGAAATACTTGTTGGGTACAACCCATATTTGGTAATATTAAGGAGGCACCTGACGCTCTCTCTCTCTCTCTCTCTCTCTCTCTCTCCGCTTTTGCCTTCGCAAAAGCCTTCCTCTTCTCTTCCCCCTCCATCGACAATCCCCCATCATATCTATCGAATACTGCCGTAGACGCATCTATCGTCTTGCATATTGCATTTGGTCTCTCTTTCATATCCCCTTTTCTTCAAAAGTCTCACCCTCTTGAGTCTGAGTCTGAGTCTGACTCTTGGTTACCCTTTCGCCCCCTTCTGGTCATTGGGTATTTCTTCTCTCCGATATCCCCCAAAACCCCCATCACCTCTTCATCCACCTGATGTCTTTGGATTGATTCCTCTCAGTGCGAGTTCCTGATCCGCAGAGGGCATCATCCTATTTTGGGCTGGATTCTACAATATCGTCAAGGTCCTCATCTTTTTGCATTCGATCCATTCATTTCTTGATGAAATCTTGCATCGGTCGACACTACATTTAACCTCCCATTCTTTCATCACATTCCCGTTGTCATTCATTCATCATGCGGGAAGTCAATTTTAGTATTCCCAATGTGAATAAGGCCTCGGTCAACATCACCACCACCCTCTATGACCGTCGTGCCCTTGATTGCACATCGACTTTGCCGCTCATAAACTCTCTCAACCATCTTGCATACCTCACAACCTCGTCCGCTCGGATTCGAGACATCCTCACCGTCGATGGCGGCATCGAGCGACTGATATGCATCCTCAAGGAAGGTCGCAGCAATGATTTGTTGGAAATGTGGAAATGGAGCCTCGCTTTCCAATGTGTTGTCAATATCGGCGTTCGGGGCTCTGAGAGTGTGAGGACAAGAGTGGTGGAAGCCGACATGGTCCCCGTCATTGCCACCTTTCTGAACAACTACATCAAAGTGGTGGACAAGGTGCGATCGCGCAGCGATCTTGAATCCGAGAAGCAGGCGTCTTCTAAGCAGTCAAAGCCTAGCGGCAGCCGAGATATCCCTATGAATGCAGATACCCACACCGAGTCACACCCACAGGTCGAGTTGCACCAACCGCGTCGACAAGCCCCTCCGCCGAGTATCGAAATCCCCCAGCCTTTCTACCAAGACAGCCAACCCACCGACTCCGATGCCATGGATATCACATCTCCTCCTCGTGTCCCCATGACATCCCCCCGGAGCGCGGTACATTTGTCCAAGAAGCCCGTAACCACCGGTTGAACGATGGGCCGTTCCCACGTGCTACCAATCGCCTGCGGTCAATGCAACCTCTTGCCACGGCAGTCCCCTCAATGGACACCACGGATGGATTCAGATTACGTCCTGTGCGCGACGCCGAGCGTCTTCCTAGCATGCTCCCCGGTCTGCAGACTGGGATTGTCTCGCAACCCGACTCTCCGACTACCCCAAGTGGCCCCCTCCACTCACAACCTCGCAGCCTTCCCCAAACTATTGCTGCCCGTCAACGTCCTTTGATCCGCCAGCAGCAGTCAGCGTCCGGTGAATCGGATGATGCCAACGGCGAAGATTCGACCATGGGAGATGATAGCACTATGGGACAGCCCGCTGAAACCATCGTTGGACTCCCGAACCGGATGGAACTTGACGGTGTCGACGAACGGGAAACAACGATGCTAGACGGTGTCTCTAACACTCATGATCTGACCGTCACTGACCCCTCCGAGGAAGATGGCCCGGAGGTGGAGACTTTCAACATCACTCATCGTTCGACTGTCGACGGAAGCATCATTAATAACGGCAACACACAGGCCAATGGCGGACTCGGTCTCTCTCCTACCCAAGCCACCAACAATCCTAACTCTCCTACCCTCCCTGCTAGCCCGTACGCCATGTACCTTCGTGACCGCCCCGCAGCCCAGGGAGTCTTGACAACCATGCCTCGTGACGAGGATGTCCTGATGTCCCTTCAGCTGCTGGCATATGTCTCTAAATACTGCTACCTCCGATCATACTTCCAGTCGTCCCACCTTGTCCCCAAGTTGAATATTGATCGCGAACTCCATCTTTTGGACGAGAACACCGACCCCTCTTCGCCAATCGATGTGTGTGAGGAGGAAGACGAGTATTTGATTCCAGACGATTTCAACATCTTCCCCCTGGTGGAGAAGTTTACTGTTCGACATCACACCAAGGACATGCAATACTGGGCATGCGTGGTCATGAGAAACCTCTGCCGTAAGGATGAGGCGAGAGGTGGTATCCGCCAATGCGCCTATTACAAGTGTGGCAAGTGGGAAGAGTTCCAACGTCAGTTCGCCAAGTGTCGGCGTTGCCGTCGCACCAAATACTGCAGCAAAGATTGCCAGAAGTCCGCCTGGGTATACCACCGGCACTGGTGCCATACGACCCCTTGATACGACCCGATGACCCCAGAGGGGTTTCATTTTGATTTCCATGCATACCGACTCGCATAGCATCATATCCGTCTTGCGTATCCCTTCCATTCTGTTCCAAGGTTTCTCCCATGCATGGCATTTCAGAATCTGGCGGCGTTTCCATTTCGACCCGAAGATACCTTTTACATGTCTAGCCTTTTCATATTCCCTTTCTCGCACAGCTTGTCTTCATCTTGGTTCATTGACGTGGGGTCGTCATTTGCAAGCCCTATTTTCATTGCTCATATCCACATTTGACCATTTCTCATGACTGTATATCTGATTCTAACCACATCATCGGCAATACTCCCTTTTGCCTTTTTTTTTTAAGTTTTTTTTTGGGCCATTATGTTTTCTCTCATACCTAATTGCGCTGTCACGAGTTTCCTATGTTAGTAGATGGGCATCATTGCCGACAACTTGGGCCGTGTTATGGTCATCTGGAGCATTTCATTCTGGTGCACATCCCATCTATGATTCTGATTTATGTCCTGGGGGGGAACCTGTTTTTCCTATGTTTGCACTATGCCACAACGGCACCGGCGTTTTACAATTTATTCCCAGTCTCACGAATGACTCTGTTTACATCTACTTAATGATCTGTAAGCGTAGATGGTAGTCCAGGCTTAGCAGAGCGCCAAATATTGAAGATCTCTCTGATCCTATCCTCACCCTCACTCCTTAGTAAACCCATACGTAGCCTCCAATCTTGACATAAGATGTTCATGCGCCGTCAAAGGTCTCTTCCCAGGCACCAAATGCCCTGCTCCACCCCCAAACCCAACCTTCCCATCGGCAGCAACACCCCCCAGTCCGCTCCCGATGCGCAGCAACAATCGCACTAGGAACAGGCACCAACTCCGTTTCATTGACAGGATGACAGAAATAAACCAGCGTATACCGATCCTGCGGATTCGGGCTCTGCTGCTCAGCAAGCGGGAAAACAACACGGTGCACCGTTGACTTCAGCAGTCCATCCGTCCAGTAACTCAGCAAATCGCCGATATTCACCAAGATCGGCGGGAACGGATACTGCTCGGCCTCGGCTGCGGTGCCGGGCACAATGGGAACGGGCGCCCAGCTGCCTTCCGGGGTTAGGATTTCTAGGCCTGGCTGGCCGGGCCGCTGGAAGAGAAGCGTGATGCTGCCGTAGTCCGAGTGCGCGCCGGCTCGCACGTCCTTGTCGTGCTTGTAGGATGCGGTTTCTGATGAGAAGATTGATGGGTACCACAGGTACCGTAGGATACTTCCTGTCGGGCCTGTGTTTGGGTCGTGGCGGGTTGTGAAGAAGTCTTCTTGGATCTGGTTTGGGTGGTTAGTATACATTTGTATATTTTGGATGAGTTACGTACCTCTAGACCTAGGGCTAGCAGAGTCAAGATTCGGGTGCAGGTTTTGTTGCAGATCTCGGCAAAGCCATTGATCTCTGCTTCGTGAGGGGTTAGTGACGGCGGCAGAGGCTGTTGGGCTTTGCCGTCTTTGAAGTCGCCGAAGTTCATGGCTCTGGTTGGGTGGTCAGTTCATGGTTGTAAGCTTTTCAAGGCTGGTAGATGTGGGTATTTCATACTCTTTGTAGTCCCCAGTCTATTTAACATATCCAGTGTTAGTCTTCGTACTCTATGCCAGGGAATTGGTGAGTTAGAGCCATTACTTACGCGCTGATGCTCCGGGTCGAGGGTCTCTATATGCATTCCTGACCAGCCACGGTTCTATAGATGTTGGCGTTAGATCATATGTGTTTGTTCATTTCCTAAGTCTTATTACGAACATTAGGCTGGATCCGACATATCTGTTTCTCCTCTGCGGGAGACGAAAAGAACTTCTTTGACTATAGGCATGGTCAGATGCTGTACATATGGGAACCAATCAATTGAAGTGTATGTCTTACCAATCCGAACCCACGGTCCACATCCTCCACGGTGAAGTCGATGCCTTTGCTGTTGACATATAGGAAACCATATTTTGCAGCGGCATCCAACATGGCCTTCCCCACGGCGGGGTCATGGGGATCAGAGATGTCAATGACAGGAAGCTCAATTGGGACTGTGGTGTCTGCCATTTTGGAGAGTAGATATGTAGGAATGGGTTGTTCGGAAGCTAGGGTCCAAAGGTTGGAGTGAATATATAGTTGAGGATGGGGTTGAAACTACTGTTAGTGCCCATGTGATTGGCAACACGCGTATCTATATATCAATGATAATCAAATCGGGTTCAACCAATCCAATCAGTCGTTTAATAGCCGGCCCCAGTCAGTGATTTTTGGGTTAGCCTCGGACTCAGGCGATATCCGACTTGAATGAACTTTTTGGACTTCCAAGCTTGGAGACCTCCCCCATGTGTGATTTCCCCCGCTTATACATCTGCTCGGGGTTCGAGTGAGGATTGATTTAGATACTCAGTAAGAGAATAACTACGTATATCGTACATACCTAGGTAGTTCGGAACATCTAATATAGTCTCCATAATACACTGTGGATTTGTGGATTTGTGGGACTGTTTTGTTTCTATTTAAACACCTATTGGAGATGACTTCATTATAAGTTGTACATTCTTCAATAGAACACAGATAAACAGGTATCTGAGTAGCTGAGCATGGAATAACCAAGTCAAATACAAATCAAACATAATACCAAAAAAAAAAACCCCTCAAATTCCAAACAGAAGTGGTTGAAACAAGCGAAGAGCAAACTGATGTGAGATGCATTAAAGGCAAAAAAACAGAAGGGCCAACTCCAACTCCGCCTTCCCCCCTCGTGATCTCCCTCTCCCCCATTCCGGAAACCCAAACAATCCCAGCTCCAATTCATCATATTCCTAACGGAGCTTTTGATCTGCTCTTATCTTAGATTTAACCTCTTGTTCCCCACCTTCGGGCTTTGATGCCCGGCGTTGCCGTGCTTTCAGCCCGTGACAGACAAGCTCCAGAACCATGCCGAGTACGCAATACCACAGCTCCACAATCCGCAATCGCATCAGCTAACCTTCTATCTCCATGACTAGTCCGTCCTCTCGATGAATGGGTCATCGGCCGCACCCAGTCCTTGCCCCTTTCCGCGTTGAAGGGCGCCGTTGTCGGCATAGATGCGTCCCACTACATCAACCAACACCTCGTGAACCAGTCAACCCGGGAAGCGCTGCTAGGCGCACTAGGCGGATTCCCGTTCGCCTTGAGGACCAACATCGAGAAGGAATTGCAGACTTTCAAGAACCTGGGAGTTGCTACCATCTTCGTCTTTAATGGATTGGACTTCGGCAAGAAAGAGCACCGTACCCAGCCCGCGGCGTCGCGTTCATTCGAACAAGCTTGGGACCTTTACGACCAGCAACAAGCAGACCAGGTGGTTGATGCCTTCAGCAGTGCTGGTATGATATCCCACTATCTTTATTACGAACTCTCCCCAGTCTCCCCAGTCACGGACCCGTCGAGCCCTTGTCATTACTATTTCGCACAGCGAACCTTCCCATTACCCGCTGACAAAACCAAACCCTCAGGCACCCCGCCCCCGGAGACCCTGTTCAAGTTCCTGCAGCGGATTTTGGCCCAGAACGGAGTGGAATTCATCGTAGCACCATACAGCGCCGCGGCTCAGGTGAGTGTCTACCCTATGCGCCATGGTTGGATTGTTCAGTGCTAACCAACTTCTCCGAACAGCTCTCCTACCTCGCCCGTGGTAGCAACCCTGTGCTCGATGCTGTTTTTGCCCCCTCAGAAGCCCTCTTGTTTGACCTTGACAAGCTGGTCACCCGTATCGACACCGAGCCCGCGCAATTCTTCTGGATCACGAAGCAAACCTGCCAGGAGGAGCTGGGTCGGCTTTCCAATGAACAATTCCTGGAGTTCTGTTTATTACTGGGATCCCCCTTCCTCCGTTCCCTCCCACTTTTCGAGAACCCTGCTTACCCCGGCAAAAGCCCCACCGTCCGTGATGCGTTGCCGATGTTCAATGCTGCCGGACGCAGTGCATTGACACTTTGTGCCCAATTTGAAGAGGATCGCCGTATGCAGGAGCTCCAATACGCGGATCTGTATAAGCGAGCGTATATGATTGTGAAGCACCATGTCTACGTTGACGTGGACGGTCGGGTCGGTCCCATGGATCCAGAGAATACCTCGTCGGATATGCATGAGCTTATTGGGCAACGCCTCCCGGAGGAGCTGTACTTTTATCTTTCTAAAGGTATCATTGGAGCTGATGTACCCAATTTCCTCACAACTGGCGAAGTTCGCATCTCGCTACCACTGGGTACCGAAGACACCGAGATTTACCGCCAGCTCGTTGGTGATATTTTGACACCGGTCCGCACTCAGTCTATTTGCCTTCTAGCAAACTCGCTTCATCGATTCTACCAAACGAAAGTCATTCGGATCCGCCCGTGGTTCGATGAGAGCTCGGAGCGGTCAATCAACCTTAAGGGTATCCCATCAGTCAAGGACACTATCCATCCCTGGAAGATCCACGGAGACCAATTCCCCGAAAGTATCAAGAAGCTCCAGGCGCCGTGTGGATCCTTTAAATTTGCCGTCCAGAGCTTAACCGATTCCGACTTTGTGTCCAAGTCATTTGCTAATAAAGAAACACCTGTGAGTTTTGCCCATAGATTTGACGTTGCTTACGATAACTAACAGCTTCCGAAGGTCCTTTCATCGCAGGAGGATATCTTATCTAATGTGACGTGGCGCTTCCTGCAACTGCGTGGATACGTCGACGACAAGCACAGGCTCACTCCTTGGGGTCAGTGTTTAGTCCAGGCATTTTCAGCTATCGACCCTGCGGACAACCTCGAGGAATCTATCTTTATTGCCATTGAGATGATTCGTTTAGGCCTCCTCAACACCAAGAACTGGTTTTCAAATGTATCTGGCGGTCCCATGAGAGGGTCCGAAGACGACAAGACCTTCAATATGCTGGTTTCGCGTGTTGCGTGCGTTGCCAAGCTTCAGCACAAGAGCATCGGATATTCTGGACCTCTCAGCCGTCAACTTCTTTGCTACCGCTCTTTGATTTCCGAGGTGCGCTCTGCACTGAGGAATCTGATTGAGGTGGTACTGACTGGTCTGCTGCTCAGTGGTGATGCTGATCGGGACCGCAACGACTGGACTGAGATGGCTATCAAGTATGTTTCTTCTAGACTAGCTATACTGTATTTAGTTTGTTGTTCTAACCTATTCTCTTAGGCTTCCCTTTATTGATGATAACGACTGTGGGCTTGGAATTGCGGTTCGGACCTACCTCGACGACCTACCCCTACAGGCAAATCCGACCTCGCCTGAGGCTCGAGCGGATGTGAAGGCGAAGGGCAAGGAATGGTTCCAACACAGCGAGAGCTTTATTGGAAACTTGGATTTGGCGTTCAAGCTGTGGGATGCGGTTCGTATTGCCTGATGTTGAATATTGACCACAAGCTGATTATCAAGATAGGTTTACGCAGGCACACAGAGTACGGGCAACGAGTTCAAGGAAGCCAAGTTCTGGGGAGACGCAAACAAATGGCTGGCAGAGAGACGATGAGATGGGCAAAGCTTGCCAACGACACCAATTAACCACCGTGGGGATTCTGGGTTAACAAGCGGCAGCTTGCAATTGAAGTTTATGCTTACAGCTCCAATATTTACCCAAGGACATTCGATACTGGCAATTCTCCAGTGTATTACTAACTACCCAGACAAAACAAATCAAGAAAACGAACAAGAAACTCGATATTACCACAAAGGAATAATTAGAAACATAGTATACCGGAAGTACCTAACTGTAGTAGTATTACCTAGATATCTATGGATGTGGTATATGTTAAGACGTCAAGGAAGTAGTTAGATGGATCTGCGGAGCTGTGGAGTCACCAAGTGGCCTCTTCGGCTTTGTTTGTCATCGCCTCCCCGAGCTCCAACTCCGTCATCCAATTTCTTTTGTGAACCTCATACTTTCCCCGAAAGTATACTCACACCCAAATACATATACACAATGGCACGCTTGAGCTTCCTGCTCCTCGGAGCCCTCTCAACCCTCAGCGGCTTTGCCACTGCAAGCAACTCCGCAGTGAAAGACCTAATCCCCACCAACTTCGACGAAGTCGTCCTCGCCGGCAAGCCCGCGCTGGTTGAATTCTTCGCCCCCTGGTGTGGCCACTGCAAGACCCTCGCCCCAGTTTACGAGGAGCTTGCGCAATCCTTCGCCTTCGCCGAAAACAAGGTCACCATCGCTAAGGTCGACGCCGATGAGAACCGCTCGCTGGGCAAGCGCTTCGGTATCCAGGGCTTCCCGACTGTCAAGTGGTTCGATGGAAAGAGCGACAAGCCCGAGGAGTACAACGGCGGCCGTGATCTCGACAGTCTGACCGCATTCGTCACCGAGAAGACCGGCATCAAGCCTCGTAGCGCTACCGCGCAGAAGGTGGTCAGCAACGTTGAGATGCTGAACGATGCTTCTTTCAAGACCGTTGTTGGTGGAGATAAGGATGTGCTGGTTGCTTTCACTGCGCCATGGTGTGGACGTGAGTTGATTCCCCAATTGAAATGCCTCTGGTCCGTTTTGCTCATTGTTCGTCCTTCATTTAGACTGCAAGACCCTCGCTCCTACCTGGGAAACCCTCGCCAACGACTTCGCCCTCGAGTCCAACGTCGTTATCGCTAAGGTTGACGCCGAAGCTGAGAACTCCCGTTCCTTGAGCAAGGAGCAGGGTATCACCGGATTCCCTACCATCAAGTTCTTCCCCAAGGGCTCCACCGAGGCCGTGGCTTACTCCGGCGCTCGCTCCGAGGAGGCCTTTGTCAAGTTCATCAACGAGAAGGCTGGTACCCACCGTGCCGTCGGTGGTGGTCTTGACAACTTGGCCGGAACCATCGCCGTTCTGGACGAGATCGTTACTGAGAATGTCGCCGCCCAGAAGCTCGACAAGCTCGTGACTGAGGTTAAGAAGGCCGCCAAGGGTCTGCCCGACAAGTACGCTGAGTACTATGTCAAGGCTGCCGAGAAGCTGAGCAAGAACGAGGGCTATGCTGTCAAGGAGCTCACTCGCCTCCGCAAGATCTTGGCCAAGGGTGGCTCTGCCCCCGAGAAGTTGGATGACATCCTCTCTCGCAGCAACATCCTCCAACGCTTTGTTGGCCAGGACAAGCGTGATGAACTTTAAGTGCTTCTTATTTTTGGATGTTTGTATTGTTCCCTCTTGGATTATTGGCTCAAGGCTCTAGTCACTGTGATCCTAGATTGAGGACCGGGACTGCTATAAACCGTGGATTCAATGGAGATGTATGGATTGTATACGAAACTATTAGCTTGATGCTGTATATTGTGCGAATTGAGTGCCAAATTCGAGGTTTACCCTTTCAAAAGTTTCTACGTGATATATGACCTAGATCCATGCAAACAATTAAAGATATATGGTTCTTCTGTATGAGTATCCTCGTTTGATTGTAGGGTATCTGAAATCGTAAAAGCATAAGTATCAGAACCAGACACAGGCTAGTGACATGGCCGTTCAATGCACAACCCCAGAAAGCATCATGCATGCCATAAGTAAAGTGTATGTTGAGCTATTAGTATAGGGGTTCAGCAGAGCTGGACAGCCCAAAAATGCAGCGCTCATTGCTCTCCCGCCAAAAACGCCATATGATAAAAAGAATGCGGAATGCACAAGGTCAGAGTATGGGTGGAAAATGTGCGTATTTATTTTGCCTGATTCGGGGCGCCGGCACCAGAAGATGCAGTTAGAGACGCCTCGAGCTCATCAAGGCGCTTGGTCATGTCATCCACTGTGTATAAGTATAGGTCAGTATACAGTCGCAGGTATGTGATGGCGGAGGGTGATTGTGGTGACTCACGTTTCCCGAACATCTCCGTAGAAACATTGTCGAATTTGCTCTGGAGTTCATTGAGCAGATCGTCCACGGCTGCTGTAAGCTGGCCTTGGGAATCGGAGCTCTGGGGTGTATTTAGTTGGCAAGGCCGATAAGTGGGAGTGAAGCTTGTGGAGGGTATGTACCGGTTGGGATAGGAGAGACTCCCCCTCTGGTAGGGGAGAGAGCTTGTCTGGAGAAGGGGATTTGGAATCGTCAACCATTGTGAGACTATGCAATTGCTGTACAGATTGTTTGCGATATCTAGAGACAGAGAGTCAGATGACAAGGGCAGTGGACTCGATAAGGGATCGGGTCATGTGTATTTCCGAGATATTGCTATGTGCGGACTAGCGTGGTCTTATCGGCGGCGCTAGCCGGATCAGGACTGGTGCAATTTCAAAAAAATCCCGTAGATTCTCTGTTGCGGGTTTGATAGCAAGTCGCTTTCCTTTTTTCAATTCCCATCACATTACATAAAGTACAAATTTCTCTTTGTATTTTTACACAAAGCAACAATGGGCAAACGCAGCAAGTTACTCCAGGCTCTCGATGCCCACAAGGGCCGCGACTTTGACGCCGAGAAGCAGAAGAAATTGATCAAGGCCGCAGAAAAAAAGAAGGCGAAGAAGACTGCTGTCGCCCCCGAAGACAAGATCGTGGAGGAAGAGAAGGAGGAAGAGAAGGCCGCCAGCTCTGACGCCGAAGAGGAAGAAGAGGAAGAAGAGGTCGACCAGGACGAGGAGATGGAAGATGAGGAGGAAGAGGAAGAAGACATCCCGCTCTCCGACCTCGAAGAAGACGAGCGTGAAGATGTCGTTCCCCACCAACGTTTGACTATCAACAACTCTGCCGCTATCCTCTCCGCCCTCAAGCGCATTTCCTTCATCGGCCCCAACACCCCATTCTCAGAGCACAACTCCATAGTCTCGAAAGAGCCGATCGAGGTCGAAGACGCCAATGACGATCTGAACCGTGAATTGGCCTTCTACAAGGTCTGCCAGGCTGCTGCTACCCAGGCCCGTGGCCTGCTGAAGAAGGATGGCATCCCCTTCACACGGCCGGGCGATTACTTCGCGGAGATGGTGAAGAACGATGAGCACATGAGCTTGATCAAGAAGAAGCTTTACGAGGAGGCTGCTGGCAAGAAGGCTTCTGCTGAGGCACGTCGCCAGCGTGATCTTAAGAAGTTCGGAAAGCAGGTCCAGAACTCCAAGTTGCAGCAGAGACACAAGGAGAAGCGCGATATGTTGGAGAAAATCAACACCCTCAAGAAGAGTATGTTCCCACTTTGTTTTTACTCCTGATATCTTTCTATGGGTTTCGCAGTCGCTAACCTGATTTTTCCACACAGAGCGCAAGGCTGACGGCTCTGCCCCTACCGATGACGCCAATGATATGTTCGACATTGCTATTGATGAGGCTACCCAGCCCGAGAAGAAGCGTGGCCGTGGCGATGGCCCCGGTGGCTCGAAGCGCCAGAAGAAGGACGCCAAGTTCGGATTCGGAGGCAAGAAGCGTCATGCTAAGAGCGGTGATGCCGCGTCCAGTGGTGATCTGAGCAACTTCTCCGCTAAGAAGATGAAGGCTGGTGCAAAGCGACCCGGCAAGAGCAAGAGAGTCCAAGCCAAGGGACGCAACTAATCCTTTTTTTTAACGTGATGTGTTATGTTGTGACATTGCATTTGTATCGTGCATCATGTAATTATTTTTTCTCGCTTGGGTCTGGATAACCAAAAAATGGCAGTTTTGATTTATTATCTCTATGACTTGCAAATGTGAGACTTTGTAACTGTAGCCGAATAAGCGACACGAGGTGAGCTCCAAGAATGGACAGTTTTGAGTTGCAGATATTATACGCTAACTACCTAGGTGTTAGACATAGAATGCAAGATATGATAGTTACATAGTATTGAATTGGGTTGATATTACAGATAGCACGTCTATATACAAATGCTATATCATTTTGGCGACTCTATAGTCTATTGAGCTGCTTCGGATTCAACCTTGGCACCTCTCTTCTCCTCCCACTCTGACAGGAACTTCTCCACCTTCGGTCCCCAGACCTCTTCGCCGGCGTCAAGGTCCTTGTACTCCAGAACCTTGTCGGAAGAGAGTTCATAGTCACCTTGACGACTGCGCACTAGCTCGCTCATCAGAGCACAGCTACCGACAGCTTTACCCAGATCATGTGCCAGCGAGCGGACATAGAAGCCTGAGGTAACAGTCATCTTGATCTTCACCGCCGGAGGCTGGGGCTTAGGCTCATCTGCAGGGACTGCAGGGACCTCTGTGGTAGCAGGTTCGGGGGGCAGTAGGCTCAGGTGCTGCAGCTGCAGGTGCCGCCTCGGTCTCGGACACCTTTTGCTTCTTAGTAGCCTCCGCACTATCATCTTTCACCTCGTCCGCCGGGGGGTGGCGACTTCCGCTTGGTAGAAGAAGCTTCAGGAACTTGGCTCGTAGCGTCATCTTCAGCCGCTGGCGCAGGTGCCGAAGCTTCCTGATCAAGAAGCTTCTCGGCGACAGCCTTCTCATCGCCAGTCATCTCCTCCTCGGGCCATTTGTGCTCATGCGTGCCAGGCTCATACCACTCCACAACCTCCATGTTCAAAACCTCAACAGGCCGGTGCTTAATCTCAATCGGCGGTACCTTGCCCTCGCGCGCATACTCGTATAGCTTCTTTCCATTAACCCGCAAAGCGGAGAAAATGGGCGGCTTCTGCATGATATTACCACGGAACTGTTCCAGCGCCTTCTCGACTGCCTCGCGCGTGATATGTTCGTAGGGCGCGCGACGCACGATTTTTCCAAGGCGGTCGTAGGTGTCCGTCTCCGCGCCAAAGGTGACAATGGTCTCGTAGCTCTTGGTGCAGGCCAAGAAATCCTGGAGGCACTTTGTGCCCTTTCCAACTCCGGTGATGAGCACGCCTGTCGCGAGAGGGTCTAGGGTTCCGCCGTGGCCGATCTTGACGTCGAGGCGTTGGTGGCGACGGCGTTTGCGCTGGAATTGACTCTCACGATCGCGGCGGGCGCGTTCCTCTTCTAGCCATGGTCTGAATGTATTGGAGGGGTTGAAGTGTTTTTGCAAAGTGCGGATCACGTCGGCGGAGGTTACGCCTTGCGGCTTGTGGACGGCTGTCGGAGAAGTTAGATCGAGGTCTTCACTTTCTTCACTTTAGGGGGAGTCGCGCTCACCGAGTACGCCTTCGAGGATCTTTTCACCAGACATTGTGTTGCGAAAAAGTCGGAAACCTGGAGGGAATGGCATCTGGAGGGATGGGAGTCGGACCAAAATGGGAAAAAATGGTTATTTTGGTAGAGATCTGGCTCCCGCCTTTACGGCAGTTCTTTTGGACAAGGCAATCACCAATGGGAGGGAATATCTGACTAGTTGTAGATATTGTAGTCCTATACAGAGGAAAGTCTTCAGTATGATGTATTTTAATATCCTTGTAAATGCCATCTTTTATGTTCTTTTTCTTTTGTCTTATAGTAGATAGATAGTTAGAGGATGATAGACCTACGACATAGAAGTGAAAGCCAAAATGATAATTAAATTCCCATTTGATAATCAAGGCAACCCAGGACACCATTGTGGTTGACTATACCCTCTTTGAATACTTTTTACAGCTATGGGATACATAACTATGTAACTAGTTTGATTCTATACAGTTGGACCTGGAAGGTTGCCCAGGTGAATTCCATTTTATGTAATTATGGATTCCTGGTAAATCAGGCAGAAATCCTGTAACAAATTGCGGGTACCTGGGTACCTCTTCGTATCTGTAATTTACGGGTCGATGACTTCGACTGTTAACAACTACAAGACTCCCATACCAGCTCACTTTCTTCTCACTCTCTCACATCCTCAGTTACTTGACCTCACCTACCTTTTACTACTTCTACATACATTAGTCTCAACACCCACCATGCCAATGCCACCATGACGTCCCGCGAAGAAACCGTCCTAGCTCCCACCGATCCCTCTATTACCGATGAGAACGATTGGTGGGAGTTCGGCCTAACTGATGTGAAGGTCCTAAAGCCTGGGAAGATGCTATATGCAAATTTACTCGAAGCCACTGAACAGAACCCAGTGCAGGTTATCGGCTGCTTAGAGCCACTTCGTGAGAATCAGGAACACTTAGGTTCGTATCGATGCAGTTACAAGCCCGTTATCAATGCGGCGTTTATCAAGCAGCTTGCTGACCAGTCAATCGCTCACCAGTACTCAACCCGGACAACCCTCCTAAGCGCATTATTATTGATGAAGTTACACACTATGCCTACGGTCAAACCGAAGATAAGAGCATTGAGCTCTGGGTTGCTGGTAAAGCGGGCTGGTACGACATCATTTCGCCCGCCAAGGGTTTCACACCCACATACAATCGCATGGTCCAGGCTATCGACATGCTGTATTTCCTAGTCGATAGGCATCAGCAAGGAAAGCGACAGATCAATCCATCTTTTAGGAGTCTCTGCGAACAAGTGAGTCTTTTGATTCTGGGGGTACATGCTGTACAAACCGAGTCCTAACATGCATCCACCCTTAGTACACTTACCACACATATGGCTCATGTGAGACTCGAGAACAGTCAGCCGAGGTCTTTGCGATACATGCTGCCTTCTTGCTTCGGTGCATGATCCAAGGGGATGCAGATGTAGAATGGAAGAAGACGAATGTCTTCGTCCATCTGCGTCGCCAATTTAATGTAAGTAAAGAGGCACCCTCGTTTACAAATAGCCTAGGGCATACATATACTGACAATGAGCCTAGGATGATTATAATAGGCTGATGGAAGAACTTTCGCCCTCTGAGGAAAGCGAAAGCGAACCCCAAGAAGAACCAGAAGTGGCAACTCCTCGACACCAGCCTGTAGCAATCTCAAAATCACAAGCCGAGGCCATTTACCAGTTGCTCAAGGACCTCAGAGAAGAAGGTCACTTGGCAAAGCGTCGCTTGCATATTGACCTCCTGGGAGAACGTTTGGCAGAACGATTCTCTTTCAACAACGAAGATGCCCAGAAAATCATTGCGATCAGGGCAAGCGCTGTGTTGGAAATGATGGACGAAGAAGACTTTAGATGGCCTCGCTATGTCATCCATAGGGAGCTCACACATGCATCCACGAAATCCGCTCCTCTGCCAGCCGCACTCCTAACCCCCCTGGATTCGCAGGAGGAATCCAGCGACGATGAACGGTACGGCCGGACCCAGAAATCCGTGCTTCGTCCAAAGGTCCACACAGTCTCCAACAAAGTGACCGGCAAGCGAAACCGCAATTTCCCCCAAACCAGCAAACAATCGAATCCAACGACGAGGAAGACCAAGAGGACACCGATGAAATCGACGATATCGAAGAAATCGAGGAAATCCAAACACCTAGCAAAACCCGTGGTCATGAATTAATCCGAGATCCATTCTCAGCCACGAAGCCTCGGACTCGCTCGTTCGTGTCAGCCTCCTCGAGCGGCGCCGGCTCCTCTCTTATGAAAAGCCTGTTTAAGGACAATGTCAAGAAAGACAAACTCCAGACTCCTCCCGTATCTTCGTCGCCATCACACCAAAAGCTTCTGACTCCAGAGCGGGATCCAACTCCAGATATGCCACAGGAAATTGAAGAAGAATCCGTCGACGAGACATCTGATACCTGGACATGCCGCATGCCCGGATGCGAGAAGGTGATCTCGACCACCGACAGAATCGAGCGCAAGAAGCTTATTGGCGACCATGCCGGAGAGCACGAATGGGAGACGCAGATGAAGGTGGAGCTGATGGAATCGGAGAAACGCATGCACTCTTCCTTCCCCGTCAACAACCTCATGCAATACGTCGTTGACGCGCATGTGCTGCAAATGCGGGCTGCATTCCCGGAGTTCTATTCTGCAGGTAAAGAAAACGGCGCTACTCAAAACGGCGAAGACCAACTGAATGGAGAAGCATCCATCCCAGAGACCGAGGGATTAGAGGAGAATGACGAGGATGAAGAGGATGATGAAGATCAGGAGCTTGACGACCTTGCGAACGGCTATACCTGATCTGATCATCCCGAAATTAACGACCGTTATGTGCCACGACGTTCATCGAGATCGAGAAACACGGTTAAACAATCAAAACCTCACATCGCTGGACTTTGATGATCACAAAGCACAATGGAGCCCGTGAACGGGAATAGAACACAGCGCCACACCCACAGACCTCTCCTCCCAAGTATGTTATCAAATTCCTTATTTGCGGCTGTCAAGAATACTGTCTAACGATTTCTTTGCGGACAGAGAGATACCCACGAATTTCAAGCTTAACCCATCACCGCTTGAAATCAAGGCATTGGGTGGCAGAAGGGACAGACCAAAAAGGGGGAAGGGGGGGATGTCTTCTACAGAATGAATTTGCTAGACATGCACAACCCTAGGGGTTTGTTTGATGGACACTTTTGCTTTTGCTGATGATTTTTTCGGATTGGGCTTTTTATTTCTTCCACTTGATACCCCCCGCCCAAAGTAAGACAGAGCTTGAAATAGCACAAATGAGGCAAGAATAGTCGGCCGTCTATGCGGCCTTGTCAAGTCTTTTTGAATGTCTTTTATAGGTGTATACGAATACGTGTGCAGGAGAGTTTTCTGTGTATAACCTTTGATATATCCTCTACCTTTTGTTTCATCCTCTGGTCAGGGAAGAAGGCAGTAACTTGGGTCTACTTGTCTCCTCCCAAACCGACCGCACGACCCTGAAATCCAGTGTATTACTAGCAGCCAGCACAAGTCTTGAGCATGTGTGAAATCCCAATTCCAACTTTAGTATATACCAAAAGATAGCAATCAGAAAACATATTAGAATAAATGGTTCTAGAAGTAAGCCAAGAGAAGAGGAAGGAAACAAAGTGGATTGAATAGAACACCAACACCCTATGCAAAGGCATAGAGTGTGTATGCAAGAGCAAAAAGCCAGTTAGGAAAAGTGATCAAAAAGGAGGGGCAAGAAAGATACTGTCTGTCTGTCTGTACATGACGAAGAACAGTAGATTTGTATTGAGAGATGGGAAAAAAAGAAAAGAGAAAGGGAAGCTCTTTTGACTCGGAGGGGTATACCAAGAACACGCCACATATATCACAACACATGCACACCATATTGAGAGATAATAGAGAGAGAGAGAGAGTAAAGATATAGAGATACAGGGAGGATTGTAAGAAAAGAGACAAAAAATAGATGTCGGAGGTTTAGCAAGATGCGTGTGTAGTTGGGAAAGGAAAAGAAAAAGGGTGGGCGACGAAAGCCAGAAGAGAATGAAAAATGGAAGACAGGATTATCGGCGTGAAGAGTCCTGTCCTTTGACCAACTGGGAGGATTATTGCTGGTGGGCACTGTGAGCCTCGGTGAGAGCTGTATAGATGATGAGTTATTTATTTCTCGGGATTTCGAAGAAAATGCCATGGAGACTGAGATACTTACTCTGAAGAGCAGAAGCTTGTCCCTGTCTGGATTCGCAAGCACACTGAAGCGTATTTCCATCTAGGAAGTCGAGCAAGATGGTGTTGGGCAATTCCTGCATGTCTTCATCGGGAAGACAAGGAGTGCGGAACTCAGTGAGATGGTAACGTTTAGTCATGTTGCGGGTGGTGGCATCGTTGGTGCCAGGCGTGAGAACAACGTATCCCTGTTCATCGATGCGCATGACCCGACGCTTCCACAGAAGAGTTTCTGGGAACTGGACGTTTACTTCGCCAATGTCAATGGGTTCTGAAGTACGCGAGCTAGTAGACCCTGGAGCCTTACTAGACCCATTTGTGAGGGCGGGAACATGCTCCTCTTCCTTGACTGGAGAGCTAAGGGCTCCGACAATGCTGCGGCGAGAGTTGGATGTGATCGATGACATACGGCGCATGAGTCGCGAGGTGCGAGATATCTTCTTATCTTCGGATATGGAAGAGGCGGATTGGACGCTGTCGTCGGTCCTGGAGCGCGAGGAGAGAGAGGGACGGCTGTCGGGACGAGACGTCGCTTGGCGACTAGATGTAGTAGATGACATTGATGGGCTTCGGTCCTGGGGAAGGCTGGCAGGCTCGATGGACGATACCGGAGGAAGTGGCGCCTCGGCTGTCTCATGCTCCACAGTCAAAGGACTAGCCTGAAGCTTGACAACATCGGACTCCGAGGGCTCAAGTCCGGAAGACCCGGGGAGATATCTGCATCGCGCACGATACGGGCTGTCACGGAGACAGAGCTAGTTGGGCGCGTAACATCCACAGACACCTGACGGTTGTGTCGACTCAAGCTCGGCGCACGGGTAAAGTTGGCGGGGACGTGAGCAGAATTCATTGTGCTCGGTGGAGTGCTTTCGTGGTTCCCACCGGGCAACGAGATAGATCCGCGTTTGCGAAGGTTCTCGAAAGACGAGGAGGCTGATGGTCCACCTACCGCCGGACTCGCACCCAAGGGAGTGCCTTCGCGGCTCGAGAACTTTTCAAGAGCCTTGATACGACTGGAAATTCCAGAGGAGACGTTGATCTTCTTGGCCATGAGGACCGGCGTAGGCGGGCCATTTTCAGAGTGAGAGCTAGAAATGGACCGGCCCACTGTGAGAGCTTGCATACCCGACGGCGATCCCATTGAGAATGGGCTAGAGACGGCGCGTGAATTCCTCCAGGTGTGATCGACGCCGTTGGGAGATTTCACAGATACTGGTCTGGCCTCCTGAACAGTAGCTGAGGTCAATTCCTCCATGAATGAATCGTCGGAAAGGAGGTTGTCGTCGTCCGAGAACTCTAGGGTGGGCACTTGAATAGGCTCCAGGTGGACCCTGCGCCTCTGATCCAGGGTAAGAGGCTCGGCTTTCTCGGAAATTGGGTGATCAGGGGTTGGCTCATCCGCCTCGATTGAGACAAAAACGGGGGCGGTTGGGGTTTCCGTGCCAGTGCTTTCTGGAGGAGTAATAGAGGAGGCGGAGGAAGGAGGAACCGCCTCAAGGACCTCTGATGAGATAACCACCTCAGAAGGCTCGTCAGTTGGCACATCTGCAACTGGGGGATTTCGAGATGTGTTTCGGGGACGTCCCCTGACTCAGGTCGTTGGGCACCTAAAGCCTCAGTTTGGAGGGGAACACCAAGATTAAAGGTAGGTGGGGCGAGACCAGGGATTGCGGAGCCCTCATGCTCAGTGCGTGTTTCATCTTCAGGGGGTGTCTGCAGCGTTTCTGCCTTGACAGTCTCTGAAGGGGTGGCAGCGCAATCGGCTGTGACAGGACTTTCGGCACCTACGCCCATATGCAAGGACCCATCATTGGCGTTAGCACGAGGCAGATCAGCGATCTGTTCTGATTCAGCCTCAAGAGGCTCCGAAGGCTGCTCTAGTTCAGGCGTCATAGCAGACTCAACAATTGGTTCGGCGGCTGGTTCGGCTGGTTCGAGGACAGCCTCGGAATTCTCAACGGGCTTAGGAGTAAGTTCAGAAAGGGGCTCAGCAAATGCCTCTACAGGCTCGGGAGCGGATTCAACAATGGCGTCAGGGACGGATTCGCGGGAAAGTTCAAGACTGGAATCATGAACAGGCTCGAATGCAGGCGCGAGGACAGCCTCGGACGTTGGGTTAACAGGCCCAGGAGCAAGTTCGGGAATGCGCTCAGCAACTGCCTCAACAGGCCCAGGAGCGGATTCAAAAACGGTGTCAGGAACAGGCGCAGGGGCAATTTCAAGAGTGGGGTCATGAACAGGTTCGAAGGCAGGTTCAGGAATAGATTCAGCAAGAGGCTCAGGGGCGACCTCAAGAGGCACGGGTGACATGGCCGAAGGAAGCTCCTGTTGATCTTGTTGAATTGTCTCCGGCTCCGACAGCAGCATTTCAGAATCAGGATATTGAATCTGTATGAGATTTTCTTTATCCTCATCCATATCCTTGGCAATTTCCTTCACTGGTTTGAGCTCTCCTTCCTCCGAGACTTGCTTCTTCTTCGTTTCCTCCGCACGCTTGGCCATATTCTTTTTCCTTTGCTGCAAAGCCTTCATCAAACGTTCTTTCTCAGGGGTTAATCCTGAGGAGGTCGACAACGCGCCAAGAGATTTTGCGCCAGGGGAAAGTTGAGGTCTCGAAATAGGAATGGAGGGGGTGGGACCAGCAAAGGTGGGACTGGCGGGACACGACTGGTGGGCTTAGTTGCAAAAGTGCTCCCCTGAGATCGAGGGCGGGGTGCATCACCATTTTGCTTCCGCACAGAAGAAGTGCGCATATTTGTCGGCAAGGAGGCAACGGGGCGCTGGTCTACATTCCGAGAACTGCCTGATGTACGGGGTCTTCCACTGCTATCCACGGACGGTCGGGGTCCCAACTTAACCTTTGGGGTATATCCCGCGGCCCGTTCCAAATCTCGGAGTGAGGGGCGGCTGGATTGGGTGGACAGCCGGGCCTCTTCCGAAGGACGTGGGAATTCATCCAAGATTGTTCGGTACCTGGAACTAGATCGCGAGCGATCTGATTTTATGGATTTGGGGGACATTGTTGCTGATTGTGGTTCGATGGGACTTCCTCGAGAGATTGTGGCTCTGGAGCTCGCCCGGGATGGAGGTGGCATGAGATCGACTGATGCCTTTTCGCGTTCTGGTGAAATCGGGGATAGTTCTGGTTCAACGGGGCCGGGGGGTTCAATTGGTGACGGCACGAGGGTAGCTTCCGACTTAACGCTCCTTGGTCTGTGTCGGGCCTCCGACTGGGGAGGTGGGATTGGTTTCGGAGCCTCATCTTTTGCCCCATTTTCCTCGGCATCTTCGGTGATTTCCATCAGCCGACGGCGGCGAAGAGAACTCGAAGAAGAGGTAATTGAGGTCGAAGCGGTATGGAGGAGACAGGCGGAGGACAAGGCGCTTTCGGTGAGATCGGAGGCTTTGGATAGAGGCAGTACGGTGTCGTTTGGGGTGAACTTGTCGGTGACAGACTGGAATTGGACATTGCTTCGGGCTGGAACAGATTGATTAGACCAATTTCTATTGGGGGAAAAACAAAACCTCCCGGTTGACAGGCATACCTAGTATGAGCCGGGATAACCCCTCCGGCATGTAACGGATGATCACTTTTCTGCGCCGGTATTGAAGGAAGCCATAGAGGGGCGAGCATTCCTCGTAGCCCTCAATGGCATTCCGGATCTCGGGCACCCCGCCGGTGCCTCGTTCATGAAGGGCAACCTCATCTCTTGCGATGTAATGTAGTAGAAACCTGAAACATAGGGGTGTCAGTGGCGGGCGTTCATGTATCTATCGCAAGTTGAACACCGGGGAAAGGGGGTACTCACCACCCGCCCGCATCGGCCAAGGCACTTTGGTATGCTTCAAGGACGGGGGCAGTATCGAGCCCATTCAAAGACATGGCGTGGGCCGCATGGATGCCAGAAGAGGCACAATGCCGAAGGTAATTGATGTGAAGAAGAGAATAGGAGGAAAATTTTGGCCCCAGAAAGCGGGTAAAGACACTAAAAGTTGACTTGGGGATCGGATCTTAAAGATCGCGATGTGCCCAATCAAGGCCGAAGTGCCAGATTTGGTTTGTTTCATGAAAACAAAGTTGATTTAGGCGAACTCTTCAAATGTTCTCAGGGGAGAGGGATCCACCTTTTGATTATCCCAATTTAAAATATCCGAGTCTTTTATTTTATACCAAAGTACATAGTTAGTATGGATGTCCTTGAATTCATTGTTAAGGGGCACCTAAGTACATTTTGTCATGGATGTAGCCAAGAATAAGTTATACTACAACGAAACAAGAATATATGAATATATGAATATATGAACACACTAGTTACTTATAACTAAATAACAATAATAACTAGTTAACTAGTTAACTAGTATAATAACTAACTATATAACTACAACATATACTCCGTAATAGAACATATAAAGCCACCTGGGCACATAATACAATTCCCGCTGTTCTCCGCCTCGGCGTCCTCCGAAAGCGGAACTCAGATATCTATCGACTTTATATACTTCGTACAGAATACTTAATTGCAATACATTCCCTTTACAAAGTACATTGATATATAAACTAGTTACAATAACCTACACTATGGCCAACCTTCCCCCGCTATCGACGATCCCTTCCCTACCCCAAGAGACCCAGCTTCGGGTGCTCGATACCCTCTTTGAACCCTCCCCAGAGCTCCACCAACTGATGATCCCTGTGCTGGCCAACCAGACCTTCTCTTCATACACCAGTCTCATCGATGCTGTAGGGGGTCGTATGTCTGCACTCTCAGCCCCGAATTCTCCTACCGACCGGGACGTACTCTTTGGTATTCTGGGATCGCATCCGCGTCTTGGCCGGGCCCCAGCCAACCCAGAACATCTGAGCGAACTGAGTAAGAAGGAACAGGCCCAATTGAATGAAGGTGCAGAGGAACAGGCGGAGAAATTACGAGCACTGAATGCAAAATACGAGGAGAAGTTTCCAGGGTTGCGGTTTGTGTAAGGACCATGTCTCTTGCGCCGCTGTGTATACACATATTGACCTGAGATATTATAGCACATTTGTCAATGGGCGCAGTCGCGACGTGATCATGGTTGAAATGCGCCAGCGCATTGACCGGGCCAATGCGGAGAAAGAGATTGAAGAGATCATTCAGGTAATGTTTTCTTTTCATCGAGTGGTGCTTATATATATACTGACTGTACTCCGTAGGGGATGTGTGATATTGCAAAGGACCGAGCGAGAAAGCTTCAATCACACATTTAATGTAATTTATACTCTTTATTCTATCTTCTATCTTATAGTCTTATACCCTTATAGTCCTATAGTCTCATTGTAAAATAAGCACTTGGAGGGTCCAATGTCTCCACCCTCATCGCCCCAATTTGATGTCATCTATCCGGTCTTTGCCGCTTTACTTCGCTTCTTCTTTCTTTTCTTTTTGATATTCAAAGTCTTTTGTCCATAGTGTACATTTGCATTGTGTTTATTACCATCCATACCAACTCTTATACCACCCCCCATGCGACTGCCCATATGGCGGAGGGAAATAATCTCCAACTACGAATCGCGACGACCCCCGCAATAACCGATTTGACCCCCCTCGGGACCTCGACATTCCCCGGTAAGTTGGACTTCGGCTTTCTGGATTTTGAGTCTGGAATCCTACAAGAAGACTTTCCAAGCTTGAAATTTGAAATTTGAATCTGGTCCTAGCCTGGAAAACTCCAATGCGCCACTGCCCACTGGCTCTGGGCTGTCCCTTGTCACGCGCCAAAAAAAAAAAAAAAAAAAAAAAAAAAAAAAAAGAATAGAAGACAAACTTGTCAATGGAAGATGCTGACGGAACTCTTAGGCTCGGCAACATCGGATGTCCCCTCGGGCTCGACCCATAGTCTCCAAGATGCCCGAAATCCCAGACGCTCGGTCATTGGTAGCTCTCTACGAGATTCGACCTCGCATACCCCCCTCGAGAAGACCGAGTCAAGTGCCATAGATCCGTTATCGCAGGTAAGCTCTCAGCAGGAGACCTGCACCGAATGGACCGATGCTTGTTTGCCTTGTGCGACCCGCATCTGAGATGCAGATACGGAGATGCAGGAGCCAAGCTGACAGGAGGGCCGTGCTCTATCGCCATTGTAGCACATTATTCAACGCACCAATACCCAAAAATCTATTCCCCTGAAGTTACTGGGAAGAGCGTCATACGAAGCAGAGGCCGTGGGCTCCGAGTACGGCCAACCAGAACCAAGCCCGACACGAGGAGATGCATTGCCTACGAAACCTCCCAAAGAGAAGAAGTGAGTTTTTAGACCTTGTCAGCCTGCATTAGGAACTATAGTCGTGCAGACAGTTTGTGTCATCGACACTTGTTTGTCGAGAGTTTCTTTGCGCCTCCCCCGCATGTTCCATCCCCAGGACTCTAGCAACAATATACATTATATCACCAGCGACTGACCCGTGGTTCGCTCTACTTGAACTATAGAAAAGGTGTCTCCTTTCTCAGCCGCATCATTGGAAACAAGAAAAAAGCACACCTGTCGGAGGCGGAAGATGAGACCTCGGAATCCGAAGCCAACCGCATGTCCGTTGACACTTCGCATCCAGTTGGATTTATACCTCGACACCTTGCTCCGTCCAAATACTTGAAGGTACGAGCCCATCACAAGAAGGATAAGACGTTCAACCGCGTGTTCCTGGCCCAAGAACTGGAGGGGAGCGGCCCACCACCCAAACCCGCAGATAGACGGATATCTACGTCCTCGGCCTTGCAGAATGGCGACCACACCGGGAAGGCCGTCTGGGCACTCATGTTTTCCAAAGATGGTAAATATCTCGCCGCCGCTGGCCAGGACCGGAAGGTCCGAGTATGGACTGTTATCGCTACACCGGAGGAGCGTGAGGATTCCAATGGGGACGAAGAGGCAACGCCCGTAGACGCACAAGATAATTCCGGGTTGAGGGCACCCGTGTTCCAGCCGGAACCCGTTCGGGTTTACGGGGGACACACGGGAAGTATATTGGACCTAAGCTGGAGCAAAGTATGCATGCTCGGAACATTTAGCACGGTGGGAAATGGCTATGCTGACATGTGACCCAGAACAACTTCCTTCTTTCCTCGTCAATGGACAAAACAGTGCGACTATGGCATATTTCTCGATCGGAATGTCTTTGCTGTTTCAAGCACAGTGACTTTGTGACTTCGATCCAATTCCACCCGCGTGACGACCGTTTCTTCCTTGCTGGATCCCTCGATACGAAATTGCGACTCTGGAGTATCCCGGATAAGAGCGTGGCTTTTGTGACTGCTGTGCCCGATATGATTACTGCGGTGGCATTCACTCCAGATGGTCGATACTCCATTGCCGGATGTTTGAATGGCATGCTTAACATCTATGACACCGAGGGCCTGAAAGTATCAGCCCAGATTCATGTGCGATCGGCGCGTGGGCGCAACGCCAAGGGTAGCAAAATCACTGGAATCGATACGATGGCGTTTCCCAAGGACGATTCTAAGGACAGTACTGAGGGTGATATCAAGTTACTGGTTACCAGCAACGACTCCCGCATCAGGCTGTACGACTTCAATGATCGATCATTGGAGGCTAAATTCCGCGGTAACGAGAACACCTGCAGCCAAATTAGAGCTACGTTCACCAATGATGGCAAGTACATCATATGCGGAAGTGAGGATCGCCGGGCATACGTGTGGCCAATTGGGTCTGTGCAACGAGATTCCGAAAAGCAGGCGGTTGAGGTATTCGAGACACAGTCTGCTATGGTAACAGCTGCAATAATGGCACCGACTCAAACCAAGCAGGTCCTGGCGCTATCGGAAGACCCAATCTACGACATCTGCAACCCACCCCCGGTAGCCCTGATGGGTCCGGAATCAACAGACACTTCAAAGAAAACAGGCCCAGGCAAAGAAAACAGAAACCCCCATACGCGCTCTGCATCAGCACCCCGGCTATCCATCGTCAGCAAAATGGCCAACGAATCACCCTCGTACCTGGCCCGATCCAAGCATCCAGGCGGAGAGATAATCGTGATCGCCGACTACTCCGGGAAGATCAAAGTCCTCCGACAAGACTGCGCATATCAAAAAAGACGCTACGAGAACTGGGACGCCAACTCCACCATCTCACGCCGGATCCTCAAACGCTCCAACTCCGCACGCCGCAGCATTGCCTCCTCCGGAAAGGAATCTTCCCACAAAACCCCCTCCGAGCGCATCGTCTCATGGCGTAACTCCGTCATCCACCACGGCCGCTCCAGCACAGAAGGCACCCGCGCCGGCCTCAGAACCCGCACTCCATCTCCGCAGAACCGCCCAGCGATTTCAAGGCTAGCCTCGTCCCGCCCTTCAAGTCTCGGTCCGAACGAATCACTATCCGTCTTCACTACATCACCACCACCATCACCATCACGCCGATTCCGCTTCGACAGCAACCGCACTAGTGAAGACGTGAGCCGGGCCAATGGAAACAATAACGGTCGTGTAAACGCCTCGAACTCCAAAGCCCAAGCTCCTCCTAAAATCGCCTCGTCCGCAGCAGACATTCTAGCTGCCAACAAAGCACAAGACAACCCGCTCTGGCTACAGGGTGATCACAGCTACGCGTACTGGAACAAGATCACGCATGATGCGATGGCCATGCAGGCCCGGAATTCGAATGACTTGCTCAGTCCGGATAGGATCCCGCCACGCGAGCGCAGGCAGAGTACTTCAGCAGGTAGTGTGCTGAGCAGTGACTATGCGTCTTCGGTTGGTGATGCAGAGGAAGATGTGCTTAAGTGTGATAACTGTCGTGGGACGAGTTTCCGCGGTGTTAAGGGAAGGGATGGGAAGCAGAAGCTTATTTGTTCGGAGTGTCATCGGCCTGTTTCTTGAGTTATTTGGTCATTTATGGATGTCTGTGGATATACATATGATCTACGATCTATGATTTCTGGGATGTACGATAGTTTTTGGCGTTTTGTTTTGGGCATTTCCGGTACATATTGGAGGACGGATTGGATGGATACGATGGGTGTGTTGGATATTTACTTATGTAGTTATGATTGTTGATATGTTTGTTTAATGTGTACATTTCGGAGGCCTGGATAACAGGCCATGTACAGTATCAGACACAATGAGAGATGAGACCAGGCACATTGTATAGTCGTCCAACCTTCGAAGTATGGGATTGATATGTCTTCCTAACCTGCTTTCTCGCTCTCCCACGCCACATTTCCAACCCAGACTTCGTTCGAACTAAACCTTAAGAAAAGTACTATACTATATACTATAGTATCTAGGATGTCTTGGTCTCCTCAACAACCATAACCTTCATCCTCTCCCGATCCCAAAACCCCGCCTCATCAACCTCAATCATCACCTTAGCCTCCGGCGTATTCAACGCAAGACAGAACCTGCCAAAGGCCGCCTCATCCTCAAACGACATGGTCACAACGGCATCGTAGGTCTCATTGTCGCTTCCCGCTAGCAACATCGGGGTAGATTCCGCGTCGTGCTTTAGATACGACCGTGTGTGCGAGAGCGGTGCTGCATCGCCGCATATTTCCGCTACCATGCGCATGTGCTGCTCGTAGCGGGCTTTAAATTCCTCGTGGGTGATGGTAGATTTGCGTGTGGCGAAGACTATTACGCGGTATACCATGGTGTTGGATGTTGGTATTTGTGAGTGTTTATTGTGGGGGATTGTGAGAGGTGGTTATGATGTTAGTTGGAAGTGTGATATGATAGGTAAGGCTTCTACTACCGGAAACGGGGTTTCTTATATACGAACTTAAGATTCTTGTTGCCTCTTAGAGTTTCTTGAACCTTCTAGGGTGTTCTTTATTATTTCGGGTGACTTCGGCATCTTTTAACTAGGAGGTTGCTGGTTAGGCTGACATGTAAGCCCTAACTATATATTTGCATTTAGGGGACCGTGTGCATCAGCTTCCCTAGCCGGTAATAATGAACGTAGACAATCAACCTATCGCCTTCGTGTATAGTAAACAATATTATTGAAAGAATAGACTGGCAAATTCCAACAGTCTTGGGTAAAACCCGGCTGATGCCTAGTCTATGAACAGGTACGGCCATCATCCAACTAGATAATGTTTCGAGGCGCTTTATGTATTTAAATGACAGAGCATCAATGGGCTAGGATCAAATTGGACCTTACCATCTTTAGGGAAAAGCCGGCTGTTAAACTCTACGAGAATCATCGTACCTTCTTCTTGTCGTCTGAATAGCGTCTAGGAACGGGTTGAGTCGGTCCTCTGGAAGGGACGGTTATTGCGGAAACCCCTATAGACGCGCCTTCCCCTAAAGTGAGGGGCGAATCAGAAATGTTACGGCACTCGAACGTTTATCCACGGAATGGTGATATCCCACCTCCTTAGGAAGGAAAAGGCCTTGGTTTAGAAGAAAGCATCACCACATATCTCGAACGAGCAAACCCTATGTACACTATCATTCATTCCGGGTATATTAAGACTTTTTTTTACTATTCTAATTATATATGTTGTACCCATATTATCAAACATTCCTTCCTTTCTTTCTGGTTTTATGTAGTACAGTCCTCTCTACAATATAATTAAATTGAGATTCAATTCAGATCCAGTTCAGATTCAATTTACTTTAGAAGTCTCTATGCTTGTAAAGTGAGAGTAGATCTACATTACTGGCAATATGAACCAATAAGTTTTAAATCATGCCTTGGAATGCTTTCGATACAGTGAATCTAGTAGATAAAGATCGGGAATTATGTATCTCAAGACTTAGCATTCAGAAGTCACTCCCGCTATTCTGCTTTCGCACATCGTGCACCACTCGAAACTGTTAGGGAAGTGAGTCATCTGGACACTTCCCCAGCCAATGCTAACTTTCCGGTTTATGTTTGGTAATCTGGATTGTTTAATCCATCATCCTCTGTAGGTTTATCCAGAAGAGACAGGCCAGGCGACTCTCATTTGTTTCTCACCACACCAGGAAAAGACCTACTGGTATTCGACAGTGCCAGTTGAAAATGCACATGAAAGGGATAGTCGCAAACTTGTAACATGAGGTAACTACTTAGTGTAGTTGATAGTCTTCGGCGGATTTCCTTCCAATAGGCTCACACGCACCACAGTAGTAACCGGTGCAGCCTTCAATATCTCGAGGAGTCGATTAGCTTTCTCTCTGAGCCGTATGATTTGATCGTAATCTTTAAGAGATAACCTAGCGTTGAGGAATATCTCATGTCCTTGGATTCTCTTATGAGGAAAGTTGTGAAGGTGTTTTCGGACGGCTTTGATGGTCTCTAGTCCTCGCCATTTTACGGGCATTCGGTTAGAGATTAAACGGAAATAGAGCCACTTTAGACTGTCACGAGCACCTGAAATTCGAATCTCGTGTCGCATTCCTTTGTAAAGGTGGTCGGATATCTCTTGGTATAGGTAGCGGCTGCATCGTAGAATGGATAAGACATGGGGCGCCGTGTGTATGTCATAGAAGAGACATTCCCATATCAACAAGCGGATTTCAAATGGTAGCTTTTCGAAATTTCCTAGTTGGGTAGAGCAGGGGACTTGAGGATGTTGGTATTCGTTGACATGATCCATGGCGTTTTGTTGATCGTGTTGTTGATAACTGTTGATGAAATGTGATAGATTGTTGACGAGCAGCCTTGGAAAAAGCCCAGCGCTTTATATGTCACCAGTTGTTAACCTATTAGCTTGGAATGGTCTAGTCAAGCTGTGAGTTCCGAATACCGAAATGGTTGCGGCCCTCTAAACCTTGTGAGGGATGAGCCTTTACCTTTGATGCATACATTATATTATGCATATACCTAAGAGCTCCATCATGGGTATACTACATGGCTTGTAGGGAAAATTTTGAGGACCTTTCGATTATCATCTTTGTGTAGTGTGTTCAAATTGAGTCAATGAAGTAGATGCGGTTGACGGTAGACTTAGCCCTCGCTCCCATTTAGGACCAATGATCATATTCAATTAGATCCCAAGTGGTGGGCTTAGCATAGGATAATAGATAAGTATCATTCGTATTCCTCCCAATCATGAAACATCTCATTCAACGATAGTCATCTCGAAGTGTACATGTATTGCGGAGTGAACCCAGATTGATGCCAAGACATGGAAAAAGCCGCCAGCACACTGATAACACCTCCACACTCTCTCTCCATCCACCAACTCACCCACCAATTCCTCTTCCAATCCTTGAACCTCAGCGGATATTTCCCGTCGATCCGCGACATTTCGTTCTGATCATTCCCCGCGACACCAAGACACCCACCAACCTGCGCATCCCACCACACCTCTCAACCCCAAAACCGCGAGCTCTACAGACGCTCACCACCACTCCAAAATGCCCTACCTACCCACCTCCCAGGCCTACCTGGAACAGTCAGCGCAGTTATTACAAGCGTACCCAGACACAGTAAGCACCCGAACCTACCTACTCCCCATGCCAACCCGCCATGCAATCCTCCACACCGCGTCCGTCCCGCCACAGCGGGCAACAATGAACACACCCCGAATCCCAATCCCAAAACCAAATAATACACCAAACTAACAACAAATTCCAGACCCGCATAGTAACAAAATACTCATTCCCCACAAACCGACGAGGAAATATAACCCGCGCCCATAAATCCCAAGTCCGAAAAGACGCCGCCAAAGCCACCGATGCTCCATCCACCACACCCGCACAACCACCCACCGCAATCGCAACCCTCACGCTGAAAACATTCAATCCAACCACCGGAATCTGTCTGCACTACCGCACAAACAAGGCACAGGAAGTCAGTCGCCTGATTACGAGTCTGGGCAAACTGGCTGCCGGTGCTGATGTAGCGGGGTTGGGGTTGTCGGCTGCGGTACCTGCTGCCGGCGCCGATGTGGAGATGGTTGATGCTCCTGCTCCTGTTGAGGAGGTGACGCCGGCTGCTGGTAAAGCGCAGGGTCAGGGACAGAGTGCGAAGGGGAAGAAGAAGGGTGGGAAGGGGAAGCGGTAAATTAATTTGGGTTCTTTTTGAATGAGATTGGTTTGCTTTCTGTTTCTTATGCTTCTTTTCGCTTGTTACTTTTTATGATGCATTCATAGATGTGGGAGTGAGGTCTTTTGATATCGGGAATGAAATACCGGCTTCGAGTTCGGGCTGGTTATGCAAATCCACAGATATTCTTGTGGATTAAATGGAGTTTCAAGAGTCTGAAGTACGGATAAGAGCTGAGACTGGACAATTGATAATGTGTATTTTAGAAGGCCATTGGCGTTATCTACTATATCTACTATATCTACAAACAAACATATTCAGACACATTGGAGAAGTGATTCGAGGATCTAGATACAGAGATTCCGCCATTCATCCATGGACACCCGAGTCCAGGACAAACCAGAAGAACAAGAAAGAAAAAAAAAAAAAAAACGCCAGTCCCATGCGAGCCTTCAAAACGGAAATTGCGTCAATCAATAAAAAACAAAATAAGAAAAGCATAAGATCACGTGAAAGGGGAGAGGGTATAAAACAACACAAGAGGGAAGGGAGAAGGACGGCGTCTAGAAGTCCTCATCGAAGTTGAGACCATCGCTTACGACCTTCTCACCCTCAGCGTTGACCTCCTGCTTGGTGCTGGCCATGACACCAGCCTTCTGGTAGTCACCGACACGCTTCTCGAAGAAGTTGGTCTTGCCAGCCAGGGAGATGGACTCCATGAAGTCGAAGGGGTTGGTAGCGTTGTAGTACTTCTTGTTGCCGAGGGCCACCAGCAGGCGGTCAGCGACGAACTCGATGTACTCGCACATCAGCTTGGAATTCATGCCAAGCAGACCACAGGGAAGAGCGTCAGTCAGGAACTCCTGCTCGATGCCGACGGCCTCGACAATGATAGCCTCAACCATCTTGGGGTCGGGGCGGTGGTTCATGTGGGAGAACAGCAGACAAGCGAAGTCAGTGTGGAGACCCTCATCACGAGAGATCAGCTCGTTGGAGAAAGTGAGACCAGGCATCAGGCCACGCTTCTTGAGCCAGAAGATGGAGGCGAATGAGCCAGAGAAGAAGATACCCTCGACAGCGGCGAAGGCAACCAGACGCGAAGCGAAGGTTGACTCACGGTCGTTGATCCACTTGAGGGCCCAGTTGGCCTTCTTGGCAATGCAGGGAACTAAATGTCAAGTTAGACAAATGAACGACTTTTAAAGTCAATTTGAGAAGTACTTACTGGTGTCAATGGCATCGAAAAGGTAGGTACGCTGCTTGGGCTCCTTGATGTAAGTGTCGATGAGCAGGGAGTAGGTTTCGGAGTGGATGTTCTCCATCATGATCTGGAAGCCGTAGAAGCAACGGGCCTCGGGGATCTGGACCTCGGAACTGAAACGCTCGACAAGGTTCTCGTTGACAATGCCATCGGAGGCGGCGAAGAAAGCCAGGACGTGGGAGATGAAGTAACGCTCATCGTCGTTCAGGCGGTTGTGCCAGTCGTGAAGATCCTTGGAGAGATCAATCTCCTCGGCAGTCCAGAAAGAGGCTTCGGCCTTCTTGTACATTTGCCAGATCTGTTGGATTGAGGGACATGGTTAGCTTCAATGTTCATGACAGGACATCCTTGACGATATCCACTTTACGCGTGAAACGCGTCGACGTGACTTACCTCGTGGTACTTGATAGGGAACATGACGAAACGGTGGGGGTTCTCTTGGAGGAGGGGCTCTGAGGCTTCTATCTCCTTGATGGTGAGAGGCTTGGGCGCGAGAGCCTTCTCGGTGGGCTTCTCAATGGAGGCGTCGACAGCCTTGAGAGACGCAGGCGCGTCCTCCTTGCCAGCCGACTGGAAGTCGAGCTTCTTAATAGGCGAATCGCTCATCTTGAGGTCCTCGAGGGAGGAAGCAGCCTAAGAAAGAAGAAATGTTAGCTCAAACGAATTTCACGACGCGTCTGACGCGAATAGGCAAGAGGCGAGAAGCGTGACATCACGTACCTGCTTTGAGGGAGTGACTTGAGCGGCCATTGTAACAAGTATGTGAGGAATATATTATCACAGAGCAATTCTTGAGAACAAACACAGCATGTAAGAATGAGATAGAAGCTTTGAGATTGGGATGGGAAATTTGAAGTTGGACGAGGGAAGAGAAACTCGATTAAGTACTGCCGATTTCTCTTTAGCGCGACGTGCTAAGTCACGTCACACGTGACTACGCGCCCCGCTTAGGTAACGTCCGGCGCGTCCACCGGCCTTTTTTCCCAGCCCTTCTTTCCTAATTGGGCGATTATTTTCTCATGCCACTTGGATCCCAGCAACATCCGAAAGGATAGTCCTTGGCCGTGCTCCATTCCAGCTCCATTCTTGTGCATGTTAATATGGATTTTGTACTTTGAATGTAGATTTGATAGATTTAACTATTAGATTCCGATCTTATCTTCTTACACATCTGTATATCACTACTTCTCGAAAGAATGATTTTAACACTTTCTTCTGATAATGGTGAATATCTAAAGAAATATAGCAATTGCCACGCCACTACCGCCACTACTCCGTACCTCCAGAAGCCTACAACCTAAGACATCAACAACTCCCACGCGTCTCCAATTTTTTACAGTCCCCACTATTGATCATGATCAGATAAGCCAGAGAATCCACACCAACGCGCGACGCGACAAGGAAAACAATTCGGATTTACGGATCTAATTGGTTTTGTTATTGGTCTAGATCCAGGCGTTAGCATCTCATTCGTCAATTTATAGCTCATTTTCCATGGCATCGCGTAAGGGTGTGCTCAGCTCCCCACACGCGTTCCATCTGCTGGACGGAGTACTCCGTACCTATGTTAACATCCTCCAAGGGTTATTCTCATCCATTACTTTCAACATAATACATAGTTAGGTACATAGTCTGTAGCATTTCAAACAGGGCTAATAACATGTGGCAGCTCCTGTCAAGTCTCAGGAATGAAGGATCTTTTTACCCTTTACCCCATAGGGAAGTTTCTGGGAGTGGACCCGTACAAGAAAACAAAGAGCGCCGATCATCTTAGCTCCGTCACGTCTAGGCAGCCAGTATGTTGAGGTTAAGGGTCTTTCTTTGACCAGTTTTTGAGTATATATTCAAGTTGCATTGGGATATATCTACGGGGTATGGAGTACAAGGGCCCAATGTTGTCTCTATTGTACGGTATATTGACACTATTCCCAAGGGTTGAATGCAATGTGGCGAGTACTCCCTTGCAAGTGCCCATCAAAATATCTCCACCTGCCAGGTTTGAGCTCCTGGTGCACCGGCAACCTCCACATACTTTTAGTCTAGTAGACTAGTGGGAGACTAGTGGGAGTAGCAGGGGAATGCCTTGCTTCACCACGTGCTAGCGCGTTCTCGTGTTTCGTAATTTATGCCAGGGAAACCAATTGTCAAGGGAATCAAATAATGCCAATGCACATATCCAAAATATTTCTCAAGGCTTATATGTGAATAACAATATATACAGACTCAAAAGGTTACTCTACCAAACGCCATATATATGCCCAGTCAGAAGCAATTGTGCGGCACAGAACATTCGAAAAGAAACCACAGCCAGACAATGCAGATACTGGTAATCAAAATCTATCCAATACGTTGTTTAGATTCCCTCACGGAATGAGTCGGGCAGGACCCGGTCCTCGACACGGCGCATCAGCTTATTAGTCTGCTCGGCCAGACTCAGAGTCAAGATCTAGAGGCGGGATTAGTTTATGAATGACAAAACAAGACTCAACTCCTGTCACTTACGGTGTGGGGAAGGATGCGGGCGAGATGGGCAAAGAAGCCCTTGTAAATTGCAAGGGGACCCTCGGTGCGGATGGTCTTCAGCAAGCAATCAAATACACCACCATACAGGTTACCTGTCTGGTTGTACATACGAGCCATGATCGTGTCTAGAGAGAAGAAAGTCAGCGAAGAACATATAGCTCATGTTCGAGACCACATACCAGGGGGTGCATGAAGCAGCACACAACGAAGCCAGAAGCTGCGCTACTGGCCAGATGTAAAGCAGGACCCTCCTCCATACCCAGGTGGCGGGTTAGACGGCGCTTGGCAAAGAAGTATGTGGGGAGCTGCACAGCACTGCCGAAACTAGTGCGGATCATAGCAGCACCGACACCACGGTAGATACCCTTGATACCCTCGCCCTTGTAGATCTTGTTAAGGCCATCGAAGGAGTTCTTATAGTTGTGCTGGGTGCCGACGGGGAGGAATGGTGAGTAGGACTGAAGACGGGTCTTGACAAGGAAGAAAGGCGAACCCGCTGCGGCACCAATGACGCCTGAAGCAGCTCCAGCAACGACATTGGCAGCGAGGGATTGGACCTTGGGGTCACTGTATATAGCAGTTGTGAGGTTCGAGCGGATAGGTTCGTAGAAGCCCAGACGGCAGCCGTTAAGCAAGACCTGGTAGATATACTATATGTCCTGGATGTTAGCTTGGTGTGCCTTTATATATAATTGCGAGACGATATCACATACGGCAGATCCAATACCTCGGAATAGACCCCGAGGTCCTTCATTCTGCAAAATGACCTTGATGCCGTGCAACGGGCCCTTGTACATCTTCACTGCCTGATTTTTGGTCTGCAATTCACCCTGCAGCTGAAGTCTTGTAACCAGTCAGTATTATGACAGCAAATTCATAGTATTAGGAAACCAACCGGATCTTCACCGTCTCAAAACTATGGGTGACAGTGACTGCACCACATGCTGCAATGCCACCTGCAATGAACGCACTATTCCCCAACAATTGCTGTTAGCGCACGCTCTGCACATCTCCCACGCATAGACATAACATACCCTCCAGTAGTAGACATAGCGCCTTATATGTGATCCTTTGACCGTGTGATGATACACTCAGGTTTGTCGGTTAGCGGAGGAAGATCGGACCCGCAGGATGAAATGAATGCGGCCAGTAGCGGGAATTCTGCGGAATATGTGCAAGTTATCGAGGCGGTATAGCCAAGTCAAAATTGAAATGTGAGGGAGAAATATGAATGAATACACAATAATTTCACCCAGGGCCAGATATTGAAGAAAGTTGAGTCAATACGCGCCCTGAGATAACCGTGGACATAAAAGCTTACATGCGGCGAACTGGAACTCGGTTAAACGCTCATTGGTCAATGGGCCCAGGGCCCTCCGGCGTCGGACCCCGGAATTTTCATGTCAGCCGAGGCGGTGAGTCGCGCAAAAAAGCCCAGTCGCGGAGCTTCACCTTGGAGCTTGTGATTTCTATGCGGGCTCCTCTTTCCCTCTTCCGCCCATTCTCTTCGCTTTATTATTGTCTGCAAGTTGCAATCTACACTCTCAGTAACCTCTCGCTTCTCCGCTTCATCGTTCGACCACACCACCATGACAGAAGGCCAATCGACGCCGCAGCAGGGTCCGCCCGCCGCCCTAGCCCAAGCTCCCCTCAAGTCGCAGAAAATCACGGATATTGTGGACATTTTCCGCCCATCCAAGGTAGGTTCAAGTTAGGATTGAAGCTATGGTGCTATTCTGATGGTCCTGTTTGGTAGGGTTTCCACCCATGTAAAAAAGACCCATCCAAATACGTGACTTCTTTGGACTTTGACGACCAGGGTGATGTTCTGATCGGCGCCGGTAACGATGACAGTATGCATGTTTATGACGTGAAAGAGGGCAAATTCAACAAATCCGTTGCTAGCAAGAAATACGGTGTTCATCTTGCAAGATTCACACATCACTCCCGCCAGGTTCTCCACGCGAGTACCAAGATTGATAGTATGTGACTGGATGGTCTTGCTTTTGGCTACGTAGCTCACCATTTACAGATAATTTGCGGTTACTCGACCTGCATAATGAGGGGTACATACGATATTTCACTGGCAATAACGACCAAGTAACTTGCCTAGCTCAGTCCCCCGCCAGCGACGCCTTCATGTCCTGCTCCAAGGATGATACCGTGACATTGTGGGACCTGAATTCGAGGAATGCGCAGGGCAAGCTCAACCTTGCAACACCATACCTTGCTGCCTTTGACCCTTCGGGTTCAGTTATCGCAATCGCGTCTCAATCCACAGCTGCAGTGCTTCTTTATGATTTCCGCAACTTTGACAAGTCGCCATTCTCCACCTTCGACCTTGCGCCATATGACGAGAGATTCACACCGTCAACACGGGGACGAGCATGGACTCGATTGGAGTTCTCCAACGACGGAAAATATTTGATGCTTGGAACAGACTACCATGGTCACTATGTTCTAGATGCCTTTGATGGCACACTCAAGGCATTCCTGGCCGGCAAGAGTGGAGTGTCTGGTCGTGCTGCACCGGTGTCCACGACTGGCAAGCCTCTTGGACAAGGTGACGCTTGTTTTAGTCCTGATGGTCGATACGTTTTCGGAGGAAATGGTGATCAGCACGGTATGCTCGTGTGGGACTTGGGACAGATCGGCGGCGGGGACATCACACTGCAGCCCTCGGCTAGGTTGCCTGCTCCAAGCTGTGCGGCTATGGTGGAATACAACCCGCGTTACAACATGATCGCCAGCGCGGACAAGGAAATTATCTTCTATGTCCCCGACGACCACGGCAAATCTTCAGAGAAGTAAATCAAATGTGATGGCGCGATGGAAAGGACTAGGTCTCCGAATTTCTCTCAAACTCTCAGCAAATCACCGTCTACAAACACACAGGATGACTGGATGCCCTGTGGAACAATGGCACCGTGTTCAGAAAGTATCAAGGTCATAAAAAGCGCTTTCTATTCCCACCGGTCTAGCAGATGAACCTCTATGCTTATACTTTCCGATCTTTGTCTTTGCCCACCAAACTCCTTGCCGTGTCACAGATCCAAACGTCAGGGCCTTCTAGGCCATCATCGCCTTTCCGGTTGTCCTCAACGGTGGCCTCGATTTGCTTGTCGATTGTGCGATTGCTGGAAATGGTCGTCAAACCGGTGACCCAGCCGTACAAAAACACGCTATGGTTTATATCCGATAGGTCTTTCCCAACTTCATGTACCACTGGATGAAGGTTACCCTGTGTCTTTCCCGCATCAATCGCTTGCTGGGATTCAACCACTTTGATGGGGAGTTTCCAACGTGCGGGCACCTGGTAATCAGACAATTCTTGAAACTTCTGCAGAAGAGCCTCACGATCGAGTTGTTCGTATGGCGGGTCTCCCAGCAACATGCGAGTCCGGCTCTTCTCTGTCTCTGTCCCAATGGTCTCGACAATTTCCCGGAAGCGCACGGCGGCTTCTGTGGTGGATAGAAGCTCACGACCATCCATTGCCGGCCAGAGCTCGGAAGTGAGCAGTGGCTTTTCCCGCTCAACTTCGATTTGTCGAATGATGGCTCTATGGAAATGGGGTGATAGTGGGATATCCTTGACGTGAGACAGGTCAGACACCAAGGCAAGGAGTAAAGTGCAGTCGACATTGAGAGTCGAGGTGAAGTTTTTGAACGGTTGAGGCAGGAGATGGGCTAGCCCGGTGCGAGTCTCTGCTAGCAAACTCCCCTGACAGTCAACCTGAATACCATAGCTCCGCATCTCGTTTAAGACAGCGTCAATTTCAGGAACACTTCCCTCTTCAATCTTAGGTATAACAACCCGTAGCCGAGGATGTCTATATCTAACGCGCGTGGCATCAGACGCCTTCCTTAGATCCCGGGCCAACTTGATGAGCTCCAACTCATCATCTTCGTCCCCATAGTCATCTTCCTCAAAATTCTGTAGAATAGTCCGCCCTTTACCCCCATCGGACCATTCATCCTCATCACTATCACCCTCCCAGCCCTTCTTCGCCATCTCGAACAAAAGACGGCTTTCCGACATAGTAGACACCTTCACCCACTCCTCCCCATTATCAGCCACAACATCCACAAACACACTCTTGCGCTTATCTTTGTTGGGTTGCTTCTCCACGCCACCAGCCTTCCCTTTCCCACTCGCACTCATCCTCTCCGTCGCCTTCGTCTCCCCACCCCAGTAAAACCTCTTCCCTAGCGCAACCAACCCAGAACAAGACCCCCTCGCGATTTTCCAGACAGCCTGGTAGAACGGCAAATTGGACGAGCGAAGCGCATGTACCAATCGCATTTCTAGATCAGGGTCACGCGACTCTTTCGGACGTGTCTGTGTCGTCACCCCATCTTCCGTTTGACTTGTTTCTGGTCCTGTACTTGTCTCTCCGATTGCCTCTTTAATCTGTCGTCCGAGCTTCTCCAGCATCTTGAGCTCGGAGGCTACGCTGGAGCGGAATTGGCGTACCTCGACGAGCTGTGGGTTCCGCAGTGTGGATGCGAGGAGGGATTGATAGCTGTCGATCTGGGAGAGTAGCTCGTTACATTCTTGGTTCAGCTGGGATGAGAGGGTTATGCTAGTCCTAGAGCTGGATTCTGCTGATTGGGGTTCTGGCTTCGCGGTTGCTGTGCTTGTGTTGTCATTGTCGCTTTCTTTGTCGGATGTGGAGGAGGGAGCTGTGGGGACGTGGGGATGTATATCTGGTGCCATTGTGTATTGCTTAGGCACCAGTTGCGTATATGTGATGTTTGTGGGATACTGCCTCGCACATGCAGGTTAGATATTTGCTAGTGTCATTTGTGTTTGAGAGTCGGAGCTGTTGTTACTGTGGGGTTGCGGTGATAAGATTCTCTTATCGGTTGGTCGAAGTATAGAAGGTATAGAAGTATAGAAGTATAGAAGTATAGAAGTATAGAAATCAAATCATTTCAAGGTCCTCTTCAACAAAGATTAATTTTGCATCCTTGGAATGAATCAATTTATATCTTGTCTTGTATAATACTTGTAAGGTTAAAAGAGAAGGGATCCACATGAGGCTCCGGATGACTCAAACATCGAGGGCTAAACCTCTTGGTTCTATCTCCTTCTAGCTCTAACGCTGAGGGGAAAAGACACCCCCAAGAAGAGAGGTTCCCAAAAGATTCTCAATATAATATTTCGAATATCATCTTGACTATGCTAAATGGATCAGGTTATCGGTAAGAATTTGACCTGTTGCTACAGTTACCAAACTGTTGGGGGATATGATATGACAGCAGACCCAAAATGACCCAGTCTCCATGGAGTCTTCCATCCGCGGAGAAAGGTGGTGTTACTGAGAGAGAAACTGTTACTCTATCAACTTGCTTTTATGGTCGTTTAGAACTTCCAAAAAAAAAAGCACGACGTTTTGGAGAATAACGAGTCAGAAACAGATTAAGGATACCGAGCTCCAAGAGGTGCTAGATTTGAAACTTGCATGCGGACGTATTCGAACTTTCGCTATCTTATTGGCTTGGGGTTATTGGCTTGAGGATATGTATTTGGGAATGGTTGTCGCTAGGAAACACGTATAAGCCAATAATATAACTAAAAAGTGAGCTAGGAGAACTAAGTATTTGACATAAGTGTGAAGGAAAGACCAACGCCATGACATGCTTCCATCCTTGCTCCAAAGGCAGGTTGTACATTGAGTGAAATGACAACCCTATCAATTTACCAGATGCCTGGTCCTGGTTAGATCTTACACTAACCAGGAACAACAACAACCGAAAAAGAAAAAGAAAAAATGAGTCAATCTTTAATCTAATCCTTGTCTTTGCCGGTGAGTCTCTGTCTCTCGCTTGAATTGCGAGGCGACTCTTCATCATCGGACCACCTCTCAGCATCCTCTTCACCGACTGCGAATATTGTCTCTTCGTCGAGTGACTCACGATGGCGGGGTGCTGAGGAGAAGGGCTTGGGAGGAACTGGGGAGAGATCCCGACGGCCCTCGGCCGCTGAGCTGCCAGGATAATCCGGGGGAGCATCATAGGCATCTTCTTCATCCAAACCACTGCCGAATGATCGGATCTCGAACCCATCGTCGTCTTGAGCAAGCTGTAAGAGATATTAGTACTCTGATTTTGCTCTTGGTTATTTAGGGAAGAGCTCCATACCTCATCACTCATGGCGAAGCGGCGGTTGTTGACCGTTGGTCGCCACAGATAAGCCACAAATGCGATATCAAATAAGTAAACCAGGTTGAGCCAGCCATCAAGAACGAACCATCTTGCCTTCCAGTGCTCGGGCACAAAGCTGGCGTCACTTGTTCCAGCGAAAGCGAACGAGTTGATAAAGAAGAAACCGAAGATCACAATGATGCTGCCGAGGATACACCACCACAGCTTCTTGTACATCATCGCCTTGGTCTTTTGCTTTCTGTCGATAAGGTCCTTCATCGTCGCGTTCAGGGAATTCAAGGTCCACACGTAGAAGGCTGTCAAAGTTCCGGCAAGGGGTAGAACGATCAGAAGCACTAGAGGACCGGCGCTATCAGGGGTGATCGAAAGACTGGCAACCGAGTAGACGACCGCGAACACGAAGTGAGCAATGGCCAGGATGCGAACATAGATCATGGTTCGGCCTAATGAATGCTTGACTACGCCGTAACCCATGCAGACAATCAGGAGGAGGAAGAAAGAGAAGGCATTTCTGCCCGCGTTGAGCACTGCTACAGTGACCATGAGCGCCTTTGCGCCGCCATTTAGGCCATGGCGGTTTTGGTATTCTAAAAAGATCAGATAAGAGTCAAGCAAGGAATCGATTGGTGTCTCTTACCATAGAATCCCCACGTCATAAGCTGCTCAACGATCAAGAATACCACAATGGCAGTGATATAGTTTTGGACGGGCACTATTCTGTGTTAGCATAGCTCGAATAGCCACAGGGAACCAAACACAACATACAGATGTCGTAACGGTTCTGAACATAAAGGAAGGCCCAGAATCTAAAATCATGCGTAAGCATCTACTCGGTAACTTCTCGAGTCCATGGATTCTACAAGTCACATACGCTCCAATAACAGCGTACACGATGGCCAAGGCCCCATAAAATGGAAGCTTTGCGATTTGTGCAGCGGGAAGCTCGCCGTAAGAGTTCCGGAAGGTAACCACTGCTTTGTAGTCCTGCCCGGAGTACGCATACGTGCTCACACAGTAAAATCCAGTCTTTCTGACGGGGTATTTCACGGCGTCGGGGTTGTTTAAGTGGATTGTCTTCGAGATGATAGGGCTTTTGGAGACGTCGGTGGCATTGCTGGTGAGAACAAAGGAGCCGATCTGTTCTTGAGTGCAGATTTTTGCTTCGACGTTGGAGGCATCGCAAATTGTTTCCTTGACCTAAACCCTATAATTAGCCGTGTCGGATGTTCCCACGGAGTTGACAGACATACCTCAGCATCTTCGGATCGGTACTGGCCAATCAATCCCTCATCTGACCATTCAAAGATCACCAAACTAGCTAAAGGATCACTTTCCTGAGCTTCCGACTTGGTAAATTTAACCAAAATGAAGGGGTCAACATCTCCTCCCCAAGCTTTGCGACTGTACATCCCTGAGCATCGTTGTCGGTGCGCATCGTCGGATTTCTGCAGAACAACGTTAGCCCCCGACATTTACCAATTGAATGAAGTGAGGGGACATACTAGTTCAGCGTCATTAGCAAGCGCATGGCTTGCCAATAGGGCTGTCAAGCCCAAGGTCTGAAGCCAGCCCTTCATGGCGACCGTAGAGTTAAAGCGAGACTATGCTCTTGGATTCGAGATGAGGTCTTTAAGACCACACAGTATCAAAGGAACGATATAAGAAACAAGATAGAGGGCCGAATATGGTCGTTGTTTGTGATTCCGTTAGAAAATTGTAAGGTTAAGGTGTTCTTGTTTTAATGCGATGGCCCCAAACCGGGGAAGCCGCGCGTGGCCATTATCTAAGCGGGCACCGCCACCTGGGCACTAGTTTTTAGTTTCCAACTTTGGCCGACTTTTTTTCAATGTCCAGTCCAGAGCCCAGGTTTTAATCGTCACCTTTAGAGCAGTCATTATGCCAGCAAAAGAACTGAACAAGTCATGCATGGAATGCAAGGATGCAGAATTCGAGCTCACTGTCCGCAAGAGGCAGCTTTGCAGGTACGCGACAAGTCGACAATCTACAACCCCTCCAGCTCATAGTTTCTGACTTTTTTCTTTTCTTTCTAGGTTGTGCTTTAAGCGCTTTATAGCACACAAGGTTCACTCGCGCTTGAGTGTCTACAGAGCTTTTGGTCTAGACGGCCCCAAAACCCAGCTGCTTCTTCCTGTGTCTTTCGGTGTTTCCTCCTCGGTCTTGTTGCACATACTGAACACCGATCGGCAACATCGCCTGGACAATGGACGCCCTCTGGGGTACGACTTTAAGATCTTGGTCATTGAACCTTCAACAGTTGCGGCTACGGGCATTCCCTTCGATAAAAACTATGAAGCTCTGGAAAAGAATTTCCCGATGCACACTATTAGTCGGATACCTTTTCATAGCATCTTCGACCATGTCTCGGAGATGGAAGAGATTATGCAGGAATATGCAGGATCGAAATTCATAGACGACAGCACTCGGTCGAATGAAGAGCGCTTAGCTGCCTTTCGTGCATCCATTTCCACCCCCACTTCCAGGACCGACGTCGACACTGTTTTGCTGACCAGACTGATTGTTGAATTTGCAAAGAAGTCTGGATGTGAGTCTGTGATTTGGGGTGACTCGGACAGCCGTCTCGCCGCGAAAGCGCTTGCCGGTGTGGCCAAGGGACGTGGGGCTTCCCTCACCTGGCAGGTATCTGACGGCATGTCTCCTTGGGGCGTGAGGTTCGAGTATCCGCTCCGTGATCTGTATAAGGCTGAGTTGCTCCAATATGAGAGTGTATGTGCTGAGCTCTCTGATATCGTCATACATGATCAACCGCCCTCCGACAATGTTCTTACCAAGAACCTTTCTATTGACGAGTTGATGCTGCGATATGTTCAGAACCAAGGCGCAAAGTACCCAGGTGTTATGGCGAATGTTGCCAGAACTGCAAACAAGCTCAACCCCTCCACTTCCGATAATGCACCAACGTGTGTTCTTTGTGCTGGTCTAGTCGGAAATGTGAAGGGTAATTCTGGAGTTACTGTTGCAAACCAGGCAGAGGATAATCACAGCTCTCAATTCTGCTATGGATGTATGCGGTCTCGACCTGAGGAGCTTTGTTGAAGAAAAGAAGTCTTTATTCATGACAAAATTAAATGAACTAACGGCACATCCCACATTACCTAAAATTATCGACATACAACCATGGGGTATCTGAAATTATGGTCTCAATATCTTCATGCACCACGCTCTACCTCGCACCACCTCGCTCCAAATCGTCTTCTGGGTGACTTGCTCCGCCAAACCACCTTCCCAATGACTTATTCCGGGACTGTTTGGCCGGCTGTGGCCTGGTTGGACCATGGGTAGTAGTGTTGCTCCTTCCTCCTTGGCCTGATGATCGCGCTTCATCATAGGCCGGTGGACGGTCGCCCGCAACTCCATCCTCTTGTCTATCAAATGCATCGGGAAGACTGTGGTCAACTTCGACTATCGGCTCCTGCCTTCTGCTCTGCTGTGAGGCCGCCTTGGCTCCCTTTTGGCGCAAATGAGTTTCGAGAATGACAGCGTTTCGGGTATTCGCTTTGTACACTGCATCGGCAAGATCACCGATGAAAGGGACGAGGCCAACGATGAAGTCGAGTATCACATTGATCAACATCTTCATGCGTAGAGCAGGAGGGAGTCCACCGTCAATCCCTTCGCAAGATCTCACTACCATCATTGCGAGCGCAGCATCGCCAACGTCGCCGATACTGCGGTTCATTTGTTAGAATTGGTCTCCTCCCGCTAGTGCAATAGATCCTGGCGAAACTCACAATGGAATAAGTCCAATCACACTTCCCCAGCCGAAGCGGATCCCGCACAAGCTGAAAAGAGCATAGTCCAGCTGGTATGCTCTGCGTTTGACCTTGGTCAGGACCTTGGCATCATGCTCAGAGAGGCCCGGGGGGTTCGCTTTGCGACGCTTTTGGGTCTTTTTTCCAAATGTACGACCGAGGCGTGAAGCAGGAACTTCTTCGAAGTAGGGATCCTAGGTAGATAGGAAATATTGGGTTAGCCTGATTTTTCTTTGCAATGCTAATTGAATATTGGTCATTCAAGGGTAAACTCACCTCAGTACCAAAATGATTCTTGGCGGTTTCACCGAGCACCTTTTTGCCAATCAGAGACACCAGGACTTTCGACATCTTTGTTTTAGACCACAGTACTTCACCGGAGGTAAATGTAGTTGTGGAAATTGAAATCTTCCCGGGAGAATTGCCGAAGAAATAGATGAACGTCGAGCAAGGGCAACTAAAATAGACTATGTATAGTCCTTGATCCTTTCAGGCCCTAAACCCTTCCTGGTTGGATAGACAGCGGTTTGAGTAGGCGCTCGTTTCACTTATTTTTGGGGAGGACAAAGGGCGCGTAAAGGTGGTTGAAGAAAGTAGTTGATTTTTGATCCCAGATGGATTAATCTAGCAACCCCCAAAGAATGTAAGGGATCCAAGGAGATCAATTTCGCGCGACAAGACGTCATCTTCCCGAGAATCCTGGAACCCATGGCATAGCCACATCAATATGTGGCGCATTCTTTTGGATTTAGATCATCACCGCCACAAATTACCTTAGTCACCCGATCACCACCTTGGGCAGCTCCGATCATTGCTCTGTTTCCCAACGCCTTCATTCAACTCTTTTCTCTGGCTTGATTGTAACCTTGATTACCTTCGTATACTGCACATCCTCCTGAGTTTAGTCTCTGCCCCCTTCCATTCACCGTATCCACACAGCCCTGGGTTGGTCTACCCTCCCTGGAAGCTGCTACCTCCACTGTTTCGCTTGCTTATTTCGACCGTTTGCGCTGTCGGATTGAGTGAGCCGTTATTTCTCAGCCACCAAGGTTTTGAAATGCCAGAGCCTACCTACCGATATGACCGAAACAAATATGCGGTTAGAAGATTGTGAGTGCCTGGTTGCTGATAGATCGGAGTGACGACAGGTTGCTGACCGAGGCCGGTGGGCCGTTGCTAACAGGGCTGGATGATCTTTGTGTCCGTTTCATCATAAACCTTCCGCGCGAGGAGCTTGAATCGGTTGAACGGATATGCTTCCAAGTCGAAGAAGCACAATGGTTTTACGAAGACTTCATTCGTCCGCTCGACCCTGCGCTACCGTCAATGAACCTGAAGACATTTGCTATGCGCATTTTCCAACATTGCCCGCTTATGTCGTCATGGTCTCATTATCATCATGTGGCTGCCTTCCAAGAATTTCTGGATTACAAGACACGCGTTCCGGTCCGTGGTGCGATCATGTTGAACCAAGATATGGATGAGGTCGTTTTGGTTAAAGGTTGGAAGAAGGGTGCCAACTGGAGTTTTCCCCGTGGCAAAATTAACAAGGGAGAAAAGGATCTTGATTGTGCTATTCGTGAGGTCTACGAAGAGACCGGGTTCGATGTTCGGGCCGCCAACTTGGTTAAAAACGACGACGATGTCAAATACATTGAGATTACGATGAGAGAGCAGCACATGCGACTCTACGTCTTTCGAGGTGTGCTCCGTGATACTTACTTTGAGCCGCGCACCCGGAAGGAAATCAGCAAGATTGAGTGGTACAAGCTTTCAGAGCTGCCGACGTTGAAGAAGAATAAACAGCATGATGAAGGACTCGCAGTTGCGAATGCGAATAAGTTCTACATGGTTGCCCCGTTTCTTAGTCCCCTCAAGAAGTGGATAGCGCAGCAGAAGAAGCTTGACGCGAGAGCCCAGCCTGGTACAAACCAGGTCTCACAGGCTGAGGGATATGCTTCTGTGGATGAAAATGGCCATACCAATGGTACGCCAGGCATGTCCCTCGCGAAAATGGCCATTCCAAGTGATCTTCCTGAGGTGACCTCAGCGCAAGATGCTTCAGATCACCTCAAGCGCCTTTTGAAGATCGGCGCCGCACCAGTGCAAGGCCGTACACCCGGCCTCGAGTCAGTTGGAGCTTCTGCCGTTGACCCGTCTAAGGCGAATGGTCTTCTTGCCTTGTTGCAGCGTGGACGTCAAGAGACATTCCCTCAGGACTCTCACAGTAATCTAATGGCGTCACCTAATACATCTCAGTCCAACCTCCAATCTGCAGAACAACGGCCTCATTTGGGCCCGAATTTCTTCCCTGGCTTTCCTCAGCAGCAACAGAATATGGGTCCATCCCCTTTCATGCGGCAGAACTCGACACCATTCCACACTATTCCATCCCAACCTCATATCGAACACTCCCAGAATGGCCCACAGGTTCTTCCTGGTAATGCATTCCAAAGTCCTGCGCATAATTGGTATCCAAAGCCCCACGCGATACCACAATTCCCTCAAACCACCATGTCTCAATATCAGCACCATAACCAGCCTCCTATGGCCCCTGGCGTTCTGAACCCAAGCAATATGCCCGCGCCGTTTCAACGAACAGGAGACCCCGAGTTCTCTGAATCCGCTCAATTATCTCAAACTCGGGGCCCAGTCGTCCCGCCTGCGAGCAAATTACCTCCCCCGAAGCTCACAAGCCATTCCCTGGCGCTCTTGGAAGTCTTCAAGGTCAAGACCCCCAAGGGTCCGAGTCCAGCGATGTTGGCGCCTCCCACCCAGGGTCCTTCCCACGACCGTAAGAGGTCTCAGCATCAGGATAGTCTTTTGGGTCTGCTCAAAGATCCCCAAACTGCCCGTGTTTCCGAACCAGCGGAATTGTTAGGCAATCCTATTGTGCCCTCTGCGGCTCCTTCAGAGAAGCAGATTCTTCAGCGTCCTCGCGATCACCACAACCAGCCCACGCACCAGGCTGGTGCAGGTCAAACATCAGCTACCGTGTCTGGACCGTTGAATATGCCACAATTTGATACATTTGCCAAACCGCACAAGTCAAATCCTGCAGCTTCCCGAAAGAACCATGCGAACAGGCGAGAGCACCCCCAGCCACAGCAGCTATCCTCGCCCATTACCATTCTATCGCGACCTCATTCTGCCAAACAGGAGGTATCCTCGTCGAGACCTGTTGCACAAGCAACCCAGGTTTTGCCTGCGAAGATGCCCGAAGCGCCTGAGCCTATCAAGAATTTCCAACCGCAGATTCTACGTCGATCCGAAAAACCTGGATATGAAGCATCGATGGCGACAGCTCCTCAGGCAGAAGCCATTGAACGCAAATTGAGTTTGCCCGGAGCTGATCCCGAGGGCTTGGCCCCACAGGGCAACTTCGACCGTCGACCGAGTCAAACTGCTGAGCAGAAAGCCTCACTTTTGTCTCTCTTTAGCAAGGCACCTGTCTCTCCGTCGCCCGTTTTTGCGAGCCCGTTCGACCCCCGAGCCGTCAACCAGCAGCCGGCAGCATACTCAGGCTTTGTCAGCCCGATGTCGTCCCGTAATCGTCCGAGCAGCGGGGATTCTATCTCTCGTCACGGCACGCCCTCTGATGGTGGTGCGCACGCCAGCGGTCAACAGGTCTCCTCGCCGAGCAACAAGGCATTCTTGCTTGAGTTCTTGGAGGGAGTGGCCAAGGGCAATAAGTAGGCCCGTGATCGGCTGGCTTTTCAGTTTCCCCTAACTGGGCAGCTGTGGCATACATAGCAATAGTGTAATATTGGAACCAATTATTCTTACGTTTAATGGCTGTCTTACAATAGAAAGCTACAAAGTGGCATCTGGAATTGCAATAGTAGGTTGCACGTTCCCTCTATAATATCTATTTCTGCCACAATTCACCGCTCAACGTCATCGGATGCTTTGTAAAGAAATAGACCAACTCACATTGGCTCCGCTACACCAACTCAGCCATGATGCGCCCGAGCCCCTCGGTCTGTAACCGCTGTCTGGTCCGCCGCAGGCAGTTTTCTACCACAGCGCAACGTACTGAACGGAGCCAAAATGCCCCCTTCCCGCCGACGGCAGGGTACAGCCGACTCACAAACCGCGGACTGATCTCCATCACCGGTATCGACAGCACAACCTTCCTCCAGGGCCTGATGACCCAGAACATGCTAGTGGCCAACGACCCGAACCGAAGCATTCGACGCACAGGTGCATACACGGCATTCCTCAATTCGCAAGGCCGGGTCCTGAACGATGCATTCATCTACCCGCTTCCCGGCGCAGAGGCCCAGGGTGTCGACTCAGGCTGGCTAGTGGAGGTAGACAAGGACCAAGTCTCGGTTCTGCTGAAGCACCTCAAGAAACATAAGCTGCGTGCGAAGCTCAAGCTCCGCGCCCTGGACGAAGGCGAGCGCACAATCTGGTCTTCCTGGAAGAACCACACCGAGCCGCAACGGTGGGCTGCATACAGCCTGGAGTCGGAATCGCCGTCACCCTTCTCACCTACCTCCGAAATTGCCGGATGCATTGATACACGTGCTCCGGGCTTCGGATCCCGCATTATCACGCCCGGCTCGGACGGTCTGCGCACTTACTTCCAGGATGAGGCGCAGGTTGCTGGGCCCGAGGTCCAGCTAGACTCGTATACCGTCCGTCGCATACTGCACGGTGTTGCGGAGGGCCAGGCGGAGGTTATTAGTGGATCGGCTTTGCCTTTGCAGTGTAATATCGACATGGCTCGTGGTATCGATTTCCGCAAGGGCTGTTATGTCGGCCAGGAATTGACGATTCGCACTCACCACCGTGGAGTTACGCGGAAGCGTCTTTTGCCCGTTCAGCTTTATGATTTGGGTCAGGATGGACAAAGTGCCCCTGATACCCTCACATATGACCCGTCTTTCCAATTGAGTGTACCTTCTGGTGAAGCGGATATTGTTAAGGCTGGTGTCACTACTCGCCGAAACCGCAGTGCAGGGACGTTCCTTCATGGCATTGGCAATATTGGACTTGCGCTATGTCGTCTTGAAGTTATGACCGATGTTGCGCTAATGGGTGAGGCTCCTGCTCGTCCTCACGAACACCACTTCAAGCTATCCTGGGCTCCGGAAGTCGAACAGCCTAATGAGGTCGGAGTACGTGCCTTCGTTCCACCTTGGCTTAGAGATTTTATCTCCGGTGGCAAAGAGGAGAAACCCGCTCCCCGTAATCCTGAAGCAGAGGGTGAACGGGCGCGGGAATTTGTCGGGCAATTAGAGGAAGAGGAAGAGGAAGCGGAAGCACGTCGAGACTAAGACGTCGAAGTGTCTAATCACTACTCCTGTATAATATAGCACAACACAAAATGATATGATATGATGTAAATATCTTATCTCTATTCAACTCAACAATGCAAATAACTACAACATGTTCTAGGGTATCTCTTAAATCTAAATATAGTGGCAAAATTTGGCTGGACCTTCTCGAAAACGCAGAAATGAGGCTAGCTTCCTTGAAGCTCGAGAACTAGGTGCCTTTCGCTGCCGCTGCTTCTGCTGCGTCCGCGGCCTCGTCTTCTCGTGTCAGTTGTTCTTCGAGGGCTTTGCGCTCCTTCTCACGCTGCGCGTTCTTCAACCGCATCATCATCACTTCCTGTAGACTAGGTGCGGCCGGAGCCTTGGTGGATGTATTGAATGACGTTGCACTCGGGGCAGCTGCCGCAGCAGATGCAGAGGCGAATGAGCCAAACGAAGGCGCTTTATCGGATGGGGTTGCTGTTTTCAAGCCTTGGAAGTTGAATGATGGTTTAGGGGGCCTGCTGGAAGTGTCGATAGAGGGTGCTGGTGGTGCAGGTGCGGGCTCAGCCTGGTCGGGCTTAGATGGTATATCAGGACCTAAATCAGGTTGGCTGCCGGAGGCCCAGAAGACAGACTCGATGAGGCCCCATTCGCCATCTTGACCAGCATGTTGACGAAGCTTCTTCTCGCTATCGAGAACGGCAGTGTGGGCGCTCACAATAGACGTGAACACCACCACACCCGTGGCAACCGTCTTCTTCTCCTTGTTCTCCCCGATCCGTTGACGCTTATCCTTGAGCGCAAAGGTATTCTCAATCTTCCCAAAAGGCTTGAACAGCACCGCCAACTGCTCAATATCAAGTTCCAGCCCCCGACCCTCCCGGACCCAGCGTACTTTCACCGCACGCTCGAGCTCAGGGACCTGGGCGCCACCACCCTCCTTCGAGCGGTCCACGCGCTGGCTACTGCGGTCTGCCGCCATTCGAGCCTCCTCTTCCTGCCGCTGTATCTTCTTGTTTTCCTCCTCAATCTCCTTTTTGACCTTGTCCTCAGCCTCGCGTCGTCTTCGCCGCCCATCCTCCGCAATCCTGTCAATCTCCCGCTGCAGCTTCTCTTCCGCATCCTCGTCCCCATCCACTGCCCACGATCTCTTGACACCCTGCTTGGCACCGGCGCCACCCATTTCGGCGGCGCCTGCCCTCTCCCGCGCTTCTAGGTCTTCGCGCATCTTTCGTTTCGCCGCTCCCATCATGTCCCGCTCGCGCTGTTTGCGCTGTCGCGCTTCCCGCGCATTGTCGTACAACTGTCGCACTGATGTGTCGGAGAGGACATCGTAGGCAATCTGGAGGAAATGGAACTTGTCGATGTCTGCTGCGGTGGGGTTTTTGATCTTGTCGGGGTGGTACTTTAGTGCAGTGCGTCGGTATGCGCGCCGGATCTCGGTTTCGGTGGCTGCTGGTTGGATGTCTAGCAGAGCGTAGAAATCTTGGTTTGAGGCAGCGTGTGCCTTGAGATCGTCGTTTGGCATCTTGGTGGTTTATGCGACTGGATGTCGCCTGAGAGGTTTGTGGAGATAAAGTGGAGGGTTTGCTGTTGCGGTTTTCGACTCTGTGGTTTTTGGGTAATGACGTGGAATAATACAGAGCACAGTGATGGCCCCAAGGGGGAAATAACCCTAAATTCGTGGGTTTGAAAGTGAGGGTGTTGTTGAGATGGGAATTTGTAGGTTCAAGTTCGGAGCTTGGGCGGTGGATCTGTTTCGCCTCAGGCCGCCAACTGCTATACTATAAGATCAAAATTCATAAGGAAAGCTATTATTTAATTATTTACTATAATAAATTGGCCAAATAAACCATTCGGTATGTAGTTTTGTCTGGCTTTCGTCTCTTTTGTAAAAAAAAAAAAAAAAAAAAACATTGGATTGTTATTGTGGCTAGGATCGAGGCGGATATATATAATTGGCACATCCTGGAGTTTCTGCTGTTCAATCAGTAGCTGGCAACCTTTCTACCCCCAGCATGACCAATTCGAGTCCATCCACAAGATGACAGGAACTTCACTGTCTAAACCTGGTGTTACACCTCCAACCAAGCTTCAATTAGCCCTAGCATTGGCTGTTCTCAAGGGAAAACCACCAGGCCAAAGCGTGAAAGGTTAGGCGAACACGAAGTTTCTATGGACTCAGACCATTTATCATTGACCATACATGCTAGACTACATTTTGCAAGTTCGACAGTTCATTAAAAAGACCAAAGATTTGGACCAAGGTGTTATGACGGACAAGTTCTTTGACAGCGTCTCCTTCTGGCAACAAGCATACGAACGATCCGAGGCAGGACAAAGCAAGCTACAAGATCAAGTTCATGAACTTAACCAGCGTATTGAGGGCCTTCTTGCCAAACTGCATGCCAAAGGCATTGGAAATGAAAATGAGAGTGTGCCGGCGAACAAACGAAAGGCGCCTGCAGCTGCCAAGAATGCGAATAGTTCGAATACGGCTAGGAAACGCACAAAGCTACCCAAAAGTCTGCAGAAAAGCATCCCATTGATGGACGGTGAAGATTCAGGAGAAGAAGATGATGGTACTTGGTTCCCCTTTCGCAAACGAGTCACCATGATAACTAATGTCATTGTAGTCTTATGTCTTAACAGACAGCTGCATACTGTCCAGAAAGCCCTACAAAGAAGGGCAACCAGTAGTGCTGAAACCAATTCCCTGGCCGTGGATGCAGCTATTCTCTGCAAATCTGCAGAGCAGAGACTAATCCAAACCATCCAGAACGAGATCAGTATGACGGGACAGAAACCTTCCCAAACCGAGCAGGCCAATACGCCGGATACAGATACTGTTATCAAAGGTGTGACAGTTGCTTTCCATCTCACACACAAAGCGTTGCACAAAATAGCTGGAGCCGAGAATGGCATACAGCACCAAGGTCAGGCCATCTTCTACCTAGTAGGTCTTTTTGAATCAACCATGACAGCACTCACTCTCCATTGCACTGCACTATCCAAGCAAAAACCAGTCACCAAAACCAAATCGGGCAGAGACTCGAAGTCAGTCACCGGAACCGAGGAACAAAACAAACGTACAAAAGAGAAGAGTTCACCTACCAAGAATGAGATAGCCTCCCACCTCGCAGACCTGCTCTGCACGATGGCACTATCCCTCAATCTAACCCGTACCGAAGACAAAGAAGTAATGGAAGGGTTTCTATTTTTGGTCCTCGATCGCATGGGCAAAGTGCTAGCTCTCCACGTCTTCCATGACCTGCGACTGCCAATGGGCCTCTGCCCCGGGATGACATTCCCAGATGGACTGGAAGCAATGACCGACGAGGGTCTTATGCCGAACGAGGCACAACTGGAAGCCAAGTATCTCGTTCGGCTTCTCGATAGAATGCTTAACTCTGAATCCCGTGAATCGGCCCTCGAGGCATCGGCTGCTCGTCAATTTGTTGGAAATGCCAAAGATCGTCTGCAAAAGACTCTCCTCCGGGCTGTTTTCGGACCTGATGATCGTTTGTTTCGGGAGGGTCTGCGGCGTCCGCATACCCCGCCTCCTCAGGTACTTGATGATCAACATATGGATCAGGAGAAGTTTTCGGATTGGCTTACACAGGAGCTGTGGCGGCTAGTTGGTTGGGATGTGTTGAGGACTGTGCTTGCTTCAACCTAAAGCCCTTGATCATGGAATTTGTGCTCATGGTACTATATTCGTTTTACGTTTGTTCCCCTTTATTGCCTTAACCCCAGTTGTTATTGATGTGATTATATCTGCAGACCAGTATAACGATATATATGCTAGATAGTATATGTGCTTATTCAAGTTTCAAAATACGAGCAGCATTGCCACCCAAAACAGCAGCCACAGCCTCTGTTTCCCCCTCGAAAGTCGCGTCAATAGCCTTATAATTGGTCGTCACACTGAGCCATTCCTTCTCACTCTCATTTAGAGGCGGGAAGAACGGATGATCGGTACCTGTATATATTAGCTTGATACAGCCATAGTAAGACCTACAGTAGAACTAGAAAACTTACCAAACATAAGACGATCGGTACCTCCCCCGGCGGCAACGGCAGCCTTGAGCCCGGCAGTCCCATAAACGACAGCATCAAGGAAGATATTTGTCTTCAAAATCTCCCAAATACTCCTTTGTGGACCAGGCACATCACCACCATTCTCCACGAACTTTCGTTCATGCATAATACAGCTCTCGATGCGTCCCGCCAAAAACGGCAAAGTGCCACCCGAATGCGCCAGCAAGATCTGCAGCCGCGGGAACTTGTCAAAGACACGAGACAGTAGCATGCGGGTAACCGCAATAGTCGTCTCAAGCGGGAACCCAAGAGCCAAGGGGAGGACATGACCGTAACGCTTTGTCACCTCAGCACCACCAAACGCCTCATCAGGAAGGCCATAATGAGGATGCAAGAAGAGAAGGAACTGCGTTTCCTCCAACGCAGCCCAAACGGGACCGAGCTGTTCATCATCGAGACCATTTCCCAACCCGGAAGTCCCCATAATCACACCACGGATATGAGGTAGGGTCTTGAGTCTCTTGATTTCATTCACGATGATATCCGCACTGGGAGCGCTCAGCGGCAAAGTTGCAAATGCAAATAAAGTCGACCTCCCCTGTAGAGGAAGATTGTTGTCCGGATCAGAGGATTTATTGTTCTGGGCACAGGTTTCCTCTAGATCGTTGTTGATGCGCTCGGCCCATTTTTGGGCATCGGCGGGATCGAGGAAGTCCAGCCAGGGATTTGCGAGGGAGATCACGCTGCAGTCAATGCCGTGGTGTTGCATGAAGGTTAGTTTGACATTGATGTCGGAGTAGGATGTGTCGACGGGACGGCCGCGCTCATCGATGGGAATCGATGGGTCATCGTCTGATGAGAGGATTATCAGACGCGGTTCTCCATTCGCTGGGTCGTGGATGTAGGGGACTGTTTTGCGAGCGCGGAGCATCGCCATGTATGATGGAGGGTAAACATGAGTGTGAACGTCGACTACTAGTGGACGAGACATGTTTGGGATATGTAGATGGAATAGAATTAATTGCAAGAGAAAAGGAAGAAGAGAGGAAGAAGAGAGGAACACTCGAGACAGGGGATAGCCAAATGAGGGGATAATTATGTACTCCGTACTTACATACAACATAGATAAGACCCTGTGAAGCGGGGATGCCCCCTCCCCTGAGTCCTGACAAGAATCCCCCAGGTGATGTTACAATTTCTTTTATCTCAGATACATCTGTTCGTCTTTTGATTGTTACGTATTTTATTGGTTAAAGATTCGAAATTCCAATTTGAAGGAGATATACACAGTTTCTCTTTAGAAAGGCCAAGTCCCTTCAAGGTTCGGCCTTTATAATCCAATCTCATTGATTCATTGATAACATGCATTGAATAGTCGCTATACATCAATTTCAGCACGCAGACACTCATCAGCATAAAATTGCACATACATTCTCGACCATCAATCACAGCTGAGAACCAGCCAAAGTGACAGCCTTCACATTGGTGAAGTTGGGGATATCGGCAAACACCCCCGCAGTGCCAGGATTCTGCAGAGCAGCCTGCACGGACTCCTGGCTCTCCCATTCAAGGGTAGCCATGATCAAAAACTGAGATGGGGAGCCATCGAGCGCAGTGGGGAACTTGGTGACACGCCAGCTGATCAGGCCGTAGCTCTTCCAGGTGCTTTCGACAAGTGGCATGTGGGTTTTCATGTAGTAGGACTCATCGAACTTGATGCCGGCCTCATTGGGGTACATAACAATGGCAGTGTAAGTCATTTTGACGATTGGGAAATGTAAATGTATTTGAGGGGAAAAAAAGAAGAGATGTTGTATCTTGGAAATGGAGTCGAAGGAAGAGAAATAGAAATGGAATGGAATGTTTTAGAGCTGTGACTCCCCAATTGAGCTTATTAATAGGTTGAGGTCCACGGGTGGGAGGTCCGGAAGCTTGGGATCTTCGCCAAGAGCTCCCTAGACCTCGGAGAACATCTCGGCCTGGTTCATTTTAGTTATATAGCCATGTATGTACTCCATAGACTGAATGGTACCATACAATATCATACCGCATACTTCTTGACTCACAAGAGGATATTGGATGGCGCATACAAGCAGGCAACGCACCCTAAAACACCGTTGTTTGCGACAAAGTATGTCACCAAAGCTATTATTGCCGGTAGAAGATTACCTACAATATAAGCACCTCTTTGTAACATGGGGCTTTCCTTATCTTAGCAGCCGCCGCTTTACGAGGGCGCTTAGAGTCAGCTGCCCAAATACATCACGTGATAAAGCCGGAGGTGAGCGCTTAGTGATTGTGATTGATTGCTGTCTTCTACAACTGTTGTAGTAGAAATTTGCCCTGCAAAAGAATGATTACTACGAACTATAGTATATGTCCCAGACACAGTCCCAAATATTGTGATCATCCTGAATTTCCACTCTCGTATTGTTACGGAGTACTTTCTCCATAATTGGTAACCTCGTCGCCAATCACTTACAAAGTTGATTGATCGGGTGCGTGCTCAACCGCACTAAAATGCACGGATCGCGAGTCTTCGTTAAGAGGGCCGAAAACAATAAAAAGCAACCATCCCCTTCACCGCAGAATGATTTAATCTTCTAGTGTTTCACAATGAAAACTCCCATTCCCTTGCCGGGGAAGCGCGAAATACGCAACATATGGGCATGGGCTCGCTCTCTAGCCCCTTCTCAGCGCTACGATGGGGCAGCACACAGCGATCCACACGATACCGAGCTCCTCGTACTTCCCAGCCAACAGTCGCTGTCTTCCGTCTCAAAAATCACGACAAAAGAGCGAGCCGTCGAAGATCCGACTCTTGTCACTCCTATGTTAGGCGAAGCAACAGCTACTACCGACGAACATAGAGACATTCCAGCACATGTTTTGGAAAATAACAGTCCTCACAAATCAAAAGCCTCCTGGATTAAAGGTGTATACCTCTGTGGATACGCAACTGCCGGCCTCCTACTATCAAATGTCATATTTGTTTCTGTGACTGCCGGATTGTCGTCCAAATTCCCGGGAACAGGAGGATCCTCCAATTCAAAAGTGATATATAACGGTTCTTGCGACGTGGCAAGTCGGTGGAACACAGGTCTCCACATTATAATCAACATTATCAGCACCTGCGTTCTTGCAATGAGCAATTATTGCATGCAGACTCTTGTCGCCCCAACAAGAGACGAGATTAATATTGCCCACGCAAAACGCCGCTGGCTGGACGTTGGAGGTTCTAGTTTTAGAAACCTCTTCGTTATACCATATACCCGACTTGGTCTATGGATAGTCTTGCTACTTTCTGCCACGCCGTTTCATCTACTGTATGGAGGTATACCTATTGTTCTATTTAGTTACAGCGTACTAATGTCACCTTAGTTATAACTCACTCGTGTTTAAGAGCCTATCTTACAACCCTCACTGGACCTTCGCCGCCCCACATGATTTTACGCCTGAGGACGTGCGAAATCTCACGACTCCTGCCTTGCAGGATTGTTTTGGGATAGGCACGGCATACGTAGAGTATCCAACTCAAAAATCATCTAGAATATACGACTGGAACCAACAAATTCTTCAGATTGAAGGATCAAAGAGCGAGAAGATCTCCGCCGAGAAATGCTTCGAAATAATAGGTTCGACCTGGAGCAAAGCCGGCTACGAAGGGATAATTATCCTAACGAGCAACCGAAGTATGAGCGATGGCGGAAATGAGTCCGTCCTTGGATTCGGTGGCTCGAGCCTTACTCCCGGAGAAGTTTTTGCTGGTCCGTTTGTGAATTCGGATCCAGAAACAATACAGGACCATCAATGCATGTTCCCCGATACCTTCCTCTACCGTGAATACCAAGAAAACAACACAATGCACATAACGGAGTGCCTGGGATTCGAGGGAAACAGTAATTGCCGACTGTATTACAACCCTATTATCGCTGTGATCGTTATTGTTGCCACGTTCGTCAAAGTTATTGCGATCTTCTTGGCCGCCCAAATTCATAAATTCCGATCAACCCCTCTCCTCACGTCAGGTGATGCGATAGCCTCGTTCTTAGAGGACCCAGATGAGACTACGAAAGGCATGTGTTGGGCGTCGCTGAACAACATCAAAAAGAAGAACTGGATAGCCTGTCCGAAAGGACAGGAACCACAACAGCATTCCGTGAGATATCAACGCCTTACCAGACCTCAGCAATGGAGAAAAGCATCCAATCCAGTCCACTGGTTTGTAACTGTGTTGATGTGAGTCTCTTGAACCCTATATGTAACTTGAATGCCACGAAGCTAAACAAAATCTAGCGTCCTTTTGTGCATTGTGGCTACGACTTTAATATACCCGTTCTTTGCTGTGAACTCAGGCAGTGGCTTAGGAACCGTACAACTTACATGGCAAGCAATCTGGGACATAGACTCCATCGCAAGAGAAAATGCTAGGGCTACCTCTGGTGTGTGGAAATATTCAGAACTGCAAGGCGTGGTGATTGTGAATAGCGTCCAATTGATAGTCACGTTCTGCTATTATTTCTATAATAGTCTTCTTACGAGGATGCTATTGAGTGCGGAGTATAGCTCTTATGGCGTTGACAGGAAGCCACTTCGCGTCACTTGGCCTGTTGAGGGGAGCAAGCAGCGTTCAACCTATTGGCTATCTATCCCATATCAATACGGAATTCCAGTGATGGCCCTGTTTACAATACTCCATTGGCTTGTCTCGCAGGGAGTCTATTTTCTTCTGGTTATTCCTTACAATACAGACGGGAATCCAATGTATGCAGAGAAGAAAAGCACTCCAACCTACTCATATATGCCGTTAATAATCGCCGGTGCACTTCTCGGTGTCCTGGGTATCATGGTTGTTGGCATGTCATTCCGGAGACTCAAGTCAGCAATACCTCTCGCGGGAACTTGCAGTGCTGCTATAAGCGCGGCCTGCCATCTGCCCGAGAACGTTGGTACAAACACCGTGGCGCACGGGGAGCTGATGTGGGGAGAGACCGATCTGCCATGGGCCTTGCGCAGCGGGGATGATGATGATGATGATGACGACGACGACGATGATGATGAAAGCGACGACGCAAAGGGACATTGCAGTTTCACCCCATCAGAAGCAAGGCAGCCTTCTCTGGACAAGTTATACGCTTAGATCATAGAGTATCTTGCCCCTACGCTGATAGAACACCTATCCACTGGTCAGTTCTACTCAGTGAGCAAAAGGCGGCAAGGCCTGAGCACTAAAACGGAAAGGGAACGCCAGGAAGTGGCCGAGGAAATCATGTACATAGGTAGTATTCACCCCTATTGCCTAGCTACGTAGGGACTTGTGTGCCGGGGCGCTAGAGCCCCAGGGGTGAACTCTGCCCATCAAGGTACTAGTTGTTATATAATTGCATCACCTGTATGCACGCTGTACATCGACATAATCGACACCGACGTATACTAATTTGAAAAACAGAGGAAAGCCAGTGAATTAATATTAGCAAATGTGACCAAAGTCCCGTATGGCACCCGATTCTTGAAGAACGATGGCTTGATAGACGATCCCGTGAAGTCCTAGCACCGCTTAGAATAGACCTCTCAATGGCCCACAAATGGACCCAAGCCCCAAGCCCCCGGCCCAACCCGCAGTGGGTGGGGTTACATACTTGGCAAGAACCGGGTATGGGGAAGCTACCTAGGTATTGATAGAAAACGAGCGTGTGACTAGCATCAGACAACAATGATATCATATTGTATCTATAATATTCTATATGATATTTGCCTACGGGTGCCCGGGTTGGATGTTGTGAGACATCTGATAATGTATGGTCTAAAGATATCCATGTAAGTCTGATATATGGTTAAATAGTTGATAACATACCTCACACCATTTCATGGTATTTCTTGGCACTGACTCGTCCCGGAAGGGATCCTTGTCGGCCCGTTTCCCTTCAACAAGGTAAACGGGGGATCCCCATGTCGACGGGGCTACGAAGACGTACAACATATGGGGGCCCGGGTTCAAAACCCCTTTTGGGAGGGGTTTATGCCTGAATGCCTTAATTTAGAACGGCAGAAAAATTAAAATACCTGAATTACTATTACATGCGCCTTGGTAATCCAAGTACCCCAAAAAATGAAGCTTTTGACCTCCATACAAATCAGGTAACTCCATTTTTTGGACTTGCAACCGCTATGAAATATATATTCAATTCGGATTTACCTCAGATTCAGTTTAGATTCAATCTAGATTCAATTCAGATTCAATTTAGTTTCAATTCGGTTTCAATTCGGTTTCAATTCACTTTAGAAGTCCCTATAGAGATACCTAGATTTGTATGGTGGCCAAAGGCGTATAGTTACAACATAACTATGTACACCAAACTAGGAGTATTCCCTCTTATATCCATCTCTGAGCGGTGGCCAAATCAGGTCCGTTTCCCTCGGCAGATATTAATGTAGCGACAGTGGGCCTTTTCATCGACTTTGGTAGGACATATAGCAAACCATAATCATGCACGCTGGCTCCAGAGCGCGCCCTGCGCAAATCACGTCGAGGTATCCTAAAAGGACCGAACCGATGACCAACCGCAATCGTTATTAATCTAACTATGGGTTTGTACGGAAGAATATCCACTATATACCTTCCAATTAGTGGTAGTTAGTAGATATGAAGGGTTTAATTCTCTGAAATCATTCCAAGTGTGGAGTAGTTGGTATAGGAACCAAACTTACCTCGGCCCTCAAGCTGGCTGAGTTTGTGGGGGGAGGAGGCGGGGCTTGAACTCTGTCGATTATCCTATATTCGTACTGGCCAGCAAATCAAGCCTTGTGGTAAGTGACGTCTCAAACTCACTGAGAAGGAGTACTAAGTTTGGCATTTGCCGACTAGCCAGCCGGTTCTTTGCCGACTTAGAGCTCTGCCTCATTGGTACAGATCGTCATTGTGTACGATTACGTTCGAGCACCATAAGTTAAATTTCGAAGTCATTACCTCGGTACATGTTTGGCTACCCAACACAGCGTAAATCTACCGTTCCGGAAATTCGTGACTTATAAAATTGCGTAATATATGGCGTCTTGGTTGCAGGAAAAAGGCTCATAGGTATAAGATAGTAAAGAACATATTAAAAGAGCGGCTTCGGTACACCTGTTCCTCGGCGAACCCACCAGCTTAGTCTACTATATACGACTGTCCTTCTCGGCAAATTCAAATCGTAGAAAATCACTCATCGCCACTGACTTGAGTTCGAAGACTTAGCGTACAATGTACCTCTTCGGGATCGTCCTCTTTTCGCAGTCCAGTCGCTGAATGTATAGATTCCGTAGGGGACACGATCAGGTTGGATGAGACCTAAAGCCCTAAAGCCCTAAGCAGAGACCTATCATATTGAAGTATAATATATACCGTAAGAACATATACCTATATTAACGAAGATCCTAGTAAAGAAACACCCTCCTATAGTCTTTAATATCGAAAACAGACCTTTTCATGCCCTCTTTAATTTCCTCGAAACCCAAAATCGTCAAGCTGTTTGATGGGAATGCATGCTGTTATTGTAGTCTATGCCGCAAGTTGTACCCTTAGAATGCCATGGCGAATATTCCTAACAATATCTCTAACTAGTCTCAAATCAAATCAAATACCGGAAGCTCTCGATCTCCAGGTCCGTCCTGTTTGACAAGGCGTGAGCGCGCTCCTCCTCGTCCGTCAGCTGAGTTGGTGGCCCATACTTCAAATCCCGACGGCGGTTTTCGAAGATATAATAAAGTAATAGGCATATGAGGAAAAACGCACCCAGTGCTAGGCCGGAAATTGATGCTTTCATGCCAGTCTACAGGTATACGAAATTAGCAATCATACTGATGGGAAGGGGTAAGCGGGGCCCGATTTACAGGGTAAGTTGGCTCTTCTGTAGTGAGGAAGAGCTGAGGCCCAATGATGTTTCCCACACAATATGCCACGAAGAGCAGGGTGCTCGTCACGCTGCGCTTTGTGAAGCCAGCGACGTTGGTGCTGATAACACTCAATGACAACGGGATGTTGACGGCGAATATTCCGCCCAGCGTTAACCCGACCATGCGACCGGTCTGGTTGTCTTCGTCCAATTTCCAAACCAGTAGCATGCCGATCATAGAGATCAAAACGTTGAATATCATCATGATAATACGAGCTCGAGGAAACCAGGTCGCAACGGCGGCGGTGATGAGCAAGAAGACCACCTGTGCACCACCCACCGGCATCTGCATAAGGAGGGAATCCAACTCGCTGAAGCCAAAGCTGTTTATAATAATTGAGGAGAACTGAGAGTGAGAGAACAGGTCGTTAGCTAACCGCTCACTGTCGAGGGTAAGGAAAAGAGGTCTGTGAACATACACTGGTGACACCCCCATTCCACAGGTTAACGCAGAGGTTGTACAACACCAAAAACCACGTCTGGGGGTCGCGGATGGCCTGCCATGCCTGACCCGGCTTGAAAGCACCATTGTCCATAATACCAGTCTTGTTCGCCACTGTACGCTGTATGACTATCGCCTGCTCTCTTTTGGTGAGGAAGATGACGTTCTTGGGCGAGTCGGGAAGTAGGAAGACGAGCCAGAGGACCATCCCGGCTGTAATTGTTCCAAAAACGAGGAAGAGAAGCTGCCAGCTATTGAGTACAGTATTTTCAACAGTGCCAATGGCATAGGCGACAATGCCACCGATGATGGTTGCGATGAAGTTACCTAGGAACCAAGCAGCTTGTCTAGTGTAAAACACGGGTTAGGAACGTACACTCATCCTGCCTTTCATGCTCAAGATCGCTCACCTTGCTGGCTGTTCCTCCCGTTTGTATAGCATGCCAGTTATAAGAGCAAAGCCCGGGGCGATAGCAGCCTCACCAACGCCCAGGAAAAATCTCACCGTCATCAACCCCCCAAAGTTCTTTGATGCCGCGTGGCACATCAGGACCCCTCCCCAGACAAGGACACTGGCAGTGATGTATTTACCAAGACGAAGGCGAACCATGAGATAACTACTGGGCCAGCTCCATGTAAGGTATCCAAAGTAGAATGCGGCCGAGGCCCAGGAATAGTCGGATCCTTGAAGGTTCTAACTATCGTTAGTGCTTGCGTAAGGTGCCCTGGGATGGTGAAGTGGAAACTCACGAGATCCCCTCGAAGGTTGAACAGAGTTGCTTGACTCAGAGCCAGCTTGTCCATGTACTGCATCATATAACAGAGGCCCATTACTGGGACTAAGCTGGTACAGTGTCAGTATTTCCCGTTCCTTGTTGATCGGAAGGCGTTAACCAACATCATGTCCAATTTACGAACCACTCTGCTTTCCTCTTCTGGCGTTGAAGCCTCTCCCATGAGATGGCCTACCTCGTCATTTTGGGTTTCCAATTCCTCTAGGTATGGCTTCACCTCACCCACATTGCCCACCGCTGACGAATCTTTGGGAACTTGCTGTGATTTATTTTGCATAGTTGGGCCTGTGCTGGGCGTTTTATTTGCGTAAGAGGATATACTGCTGGAGGACCAGATCTTTTGTACTCTGACGGGTGGCCAACGTACATCGGCAAATGGCCGGCTATCCAACAACCGTCTTGGCGTCGGCATAGCTTCAATGGCAGGGGATGATGATGTGGGAGATGGGACTCTATGTCTGTTCTCCACTATCTCCAAATCCTCGAATCTCCAAGCGTCCAAGATCAGGGCTTGATCGGCTGTTGCTCCAATCAGAAATGTGAGCTCGGCAATGCTAAAATTTTATTTTAATCGGGGCCGTCGCAAGCAGCCTATCAGGGGAACCGGATCAAAATAATATTATGTGTTGTTTGTAGGCAATTTCCCCGCAAATTAGTCCGGTCCGGGGAATCCCAAGACACGTACACTTGTCAGATTGACGGACAGACCAGGCACCAACAACCATCACAATGACTCGTGTTCTTAGCCTGCGAGCTGGGATATGGGCCGCGATTGTGCTCGTCCTTGGAATTTTGTACAAAACCTATGTGCACAACATCATTTTTCTCACAATTGGTATTGGCCGTGAGATCCAATCAATTGACGATTTCCCATGGACCTGCACTCGCCTCCAGCATCCTCTCTTAGAAGGATGTGAGGATATGTGGCTAGACGACCAAGAACGAAAACTGTACGCAGCATGTAATACTGTAGATTCCAGGAAGGGATGGAGTCCCGGTGGCAGCAAACTCAATATCTCCGCGAGATCCCGCACGGATCATATCGCAGTGTTGAATATCGACCAACCCGGCTCGGACGGACAGTATGGCCTCCACAAGCTCAAATTCGGTGGCTATCTCGACGATCTAGATCTGCATGGATTCGACGTGCACAGTATTGAAGGCAGACTTCGATTCTGGTTGATCAACCATAGACCCCCAGTTGATCCTACAACAGGGGAGTTCCTTGATCCACGAGCTGTTGGAGCAAATTCCACAATTGAGATATTTGAGTTGGACAGTGCGTCAGAGACACTTGAGTATGTCAAAACTATCGCCAGCGACGCGATCATCTCGCCTAACAACCTGGCCGTTGACAAGGATGGTCTGGGGTTCGTAATCACCAATGACCGCAACGCCAAGGTTGGCACTTTCGCGGAGTTGGGCATGTTGATTGGCGGAGGAAGTCTCACCTATTGTCGCTCTGACACAGGGAATTGTCATGTCGCTGCCAACAAAGGGTTCTCCTTTCCCAACGGGATCGTCCACGAGAACGGGCTTTATTATGTGGCTCATTCAGTGTCTGGAATCGTGACTGTCCACAAATTAGTTGGTGACCAGCTGATTCAAGTTGACAAAATCTCCACGGGATACCCAATCGATAATGTGTCCCTCGACGCAGATGGGAACCTCCTAGCTGCTGCATTTCCGGACTCCATTGAATTTGTGAAGTCTATGGAGGACCCATACAGGGTTGTTGCTCCTGCCACCGTTCTCGCTGTCAGAGGAATAGCCACTCAGCTGAAAGCTCGCAATGGGAATTGTGAGGTGTCAAAGCTTGTGGAGGATAGAGATGCCAAATGGCTTCCCAGTTCGACTGTTGTGGTGCAAGATGTGAAATCGCACCGGTTGTTCCTTGGGGGAATCTTATCGCCATTCATAACCATATGTGAGCAGCATATTTAGCTTTAGTACTTCTTTGCTTGCTCTTTAGAGTTGTATGAGGGGGATCAGCGCTATTCTTGGTTTTGATATCACGGCCCGAGGATTGATATGCCGTGCTGACAATGCAGGGTCATTGTGCAGGGGTGGGGAAAGGTGTGGTTGATCTGCGCTGTCAGTTCAGGTCCAGATACTGTAGTCAAACGAACATTTGTCTGATAGCAGCCAGTTGAATAAATGTCAATACATACAGTCCAATCCAATGTAGGTGTCACCTTCAACGCTTATCTGATGGCTTATCTGCCTGCATGTGCTTATCTTTTTGATGTATGCACCTGACCCATAATCTTCCCTTTCTCCGACTTTCCCCTCTTCTTCAGATCTTTCCTTTGCATTCGGACAGAAACCCACTTCACAGGCTTTTTCCTTGTCTCAGTTTCATCCTGACGGTCTATACCAATTACCAGAGGCTGTGCAAGCAATGGCCTCCAACAGGTTCTCAGACAATGCTGCGTCTGCTCCGGTAGATAAGGATGATCTGATCATACCTGTATGCTTTGTCTTCATTTTATTTCAAGCTACGACTAATGGAATCTGTTCTAGCTGATCGACTTCGGCCCATTCTTCACAGGAACCCCATCCGATAAGCATAGAGTGGCTCTCTCCATAACAAAAGCCTTCAAAACATCCGGCTTCCTCTACCTAAAGGAACATGGCATTCCACCATCCATTGTTTCTGGAGTATTTGCGTCATCTGCCCGTTTCTTCGCCCGTCCCCAGAGTGAGAAGGATTCGTTGGGCTGGACAACCCCACAGTCGAACCGCGGTTACGTCGCTATTGGGCGGGAGAAATTGACCACCGTCGAGGAGACAGCTGGAGTCGAGACTCTGCGTGCGTCCGCACCTGATATCAAGGAGACTATGGAACTTGGTCGTGAGGGAGTTGAAGGCCTGCCTAATCGCTGGCCCGACCACCTGGACGGCGAAGGAAAGCGTTTCAAAGAAACCATGCAGTCATTCTTTGAAATGGGAAAGACCCTACATAAGCATATCATGCGAGCCATTGCATTGGGGATGAACTTGCCGGAACACTTCTTCGACGACTCCGTCAATGCCGGCGACAATACTCTCCGTCTACTGCACTATCCTGCTGTTAGCAAAGAAGTCTTCAAAAATAACCCTAACCAAGTCCGTGCCGGCGAGCACAGCGACTATGGCTCAATCACTCTGCTTTTTCAGGATCGACACGGTGGGCTTCAAGTGCGCAGCCCCAAAGGAACATTTGTTGATGCGACTCCTATTGCTGATACCATTGTTGTCAATGCCGGGGATCTGCTTGCTCGATGGTCCAATGACACTATCAAGAGTACCCGTCATCGGGTAATTCAACCGCCCATGCCCGAGGGCTCTGAGAACGACGCTTCGGAGTATCCCGCTCGTTACAGCATAGCGTACTTCTGCAACCCCAACAGCGATAAACTTATTGAAGCACTCCCGGGAACATTTGGCGGCGAAATGAAAGCGGAGAAGAAATACTCGGCGATTACTTCAGGCGATTACCTAGTCCAGCGATTGACGGCGACTTACTAAATAGTCGGACCATGGATTTGGGGTTGGCCTGATGAAGATCACTCTCGTTTTCTGCGTTTTATTTGCCTTGCACCCATGAGCGATTGAACATCCATTTCTGCGAATCAAGGAATCAATCTACATATTTCTATCTTTATTGAATTTCAAATCTGTACGGTCTATGTATACCAAACGGCACTTAGCCCGAACAAAACAACCCTCAGTAGACAGCAGGCGAAACAGAAATTCGGCCACCATCAGTAACCAAGATATTACCATTGATATAACCACCCGAGTTACTAGCCAGCCAAACAATCAAACCCGCAATATCCTCCTCACTACCACCACGAGTAGCAGGAACCATCTCCTTGGGGAACGAGCCATCAGAAATAGCCCGACCCTGAATACCCGAAGCCTGGAAGATATGGTTTGCCATATCCGAGTAGTAAAGACCAGGCGAGAGGCCATTGACCCGAATACCGTAATGAGCAAACGAAGTCGAAAGCAACTTAATCAGATGCGTCGTAGCAGCCTTGGAGGTATTATACGCAAAGCTAAAGGGTACTTTGCGAATAAACCCTGCAATTGAGCTAGTGATAATAACCTGTGCAGTCGGAGCAGCAAGAACATCCTCCTGTGGCGCAGGACGTCTCTTATTCGCCGCCTCAAGCAGAGGCAAAAAGGCCAACACCGTGTAATACGACCCGGTAACATTCACATTCAATACGGTGTTAAACTCCTCCATGGGGATATTAAAGAGTTCGTCGCGGACTTGTGATAGAGGCGGGAGGGAGCCGTCTGCTGCGGGTTGCGGGGGGTTTCATGAGCGGACCCATTATGCCGCTGTTGGCAATTAGGAGGTCGACGTGTGTTGTTTGGGCTGCGACGGCTTGGTAGGCTGCCTCGAGAGATTCCTTTGAGGTGATGTCGCATTTGATCGGGATGACGGTGCCGTTTATGGTTTGTGATACGGTTTCTTGGAGGGCGTCCTCGCGTCGGCCTAGGATGAAGATCTTGGAGACTTCATTGGCATCCAGGGCTTTGGTCATGATACGTCCGAGACCTTTTTTTTTTTTACCTATTAGCTTTTATGTACATTGTTTGTATCTTTGGGATGTGATGGTTTGGTTCTTACCACTTCCGCCTCCAGTGATCACGACCACTCGGTCTTTGACTGAGAATAGATTTGATGCTTGGAGATGGGCCATGACTGTTCGTTTGGTAATGTAAGAGGTGTGGATAAAAAGAAAGACAATTGAAATCGATGTTTCCTATATCAATAAATCCCTCTGCGATAATCGTCATTGTGGAGTTTCCCCTCTTTGGATCGGCGATGTTGCCGAGAATAGATTGTACGGCAGTCGATTTTGGCCAAATTGACAATGCTTATTAATACGTAATATTGAGGGCCCCTTTTGTATTCCGTACCATGCAATACCTATAATACATATAATACGTACCAGTTCAGGTATTAGCGGTGATTACTAAGTTTCTGCGTGCCCATTGTCAATTTGACCGATTTGGACTGCCGTAACATTATATCGGACCGATGCCGACTTTCCATTTATTTCAGCCTTTGACCAATGTGCCTTCTGCAATACATGGTTTTTGCAGACAGTTAAACTGAATATTGAAATTGTCAGTACTATTGCATATATTTCTGGAAGATCCATACTTCTCGCCTTTGAGTAGGGTATTCATGCCTATGTACGCTTCCTATTCACAACTGTGAAGACCCACTATGAAGGGTCTTATGAAGGGTATGATCAGAGTGCCAAGGGCATATACAATACGAATTACTACTGCGAAGCAATTGCAACTAGTACTACGTATATATTCAAACTGAACTATGAACCTTTGTCCATAGTTCCAAATCCACTAGTTATGCAATATACGCAGCCTAAGCGAGATCATATGCATTAGACCCATATATCTCGTAGGCCATTAATATATCTACGTAGGTCCCGAAGACCTCCGAAGGTCTACCTTAAAGGTGCTATCTCGGGTCTAGGCGGGTTCTATACCTTACTTTATATAGTGTAGGACGTGACATTACCTCCTTCCTTTATACTCGTCGACCTCGGCGTGCTTCTAGGTTCCCTCTATAAACCTATCTCCTTTATCCGGCGCGGTTCTTCTTTATTAAATAGGATATTCCGAGGCTTCCTAGCCGGGTTTCTATAGCGGTAGCGAGGTTTTTTATCCTTTATTTAGCGTACTAAGTATAAGGTTTTTCGTCGACTACGAAGTTCTTTATAACTATAGGTTTATTTAAACGCTATTTTTACCCCCCTTTTTCGAAGGAGTATATCCTTATACTCGTCTTTTATAATATAGCTTTAAATAATAGGACTACGAACTAGGTTTTTAATCCCGTACCTACGACTCCCGCGGAGGTATAGTATATACGCTACGTTAATTCGATTATAAAGGTTCCTATAGGTTATATTAATTCCCTAGCCGGTAATAAATATAATTATTACTAGGTTAATCAGTAGGCTTATATTATAGTAAATACGTTTTTTCCCCCTATATATCCTCTCCTAACGTTATCTAGGTCGATCCTTATCTTAATACTATAGCGAACGTTATTATTCTAGTACCGAATATCCCGGCTCGGAACGCTACTTATAGAACTTTTATTAGTACTCGTAATACTCTCTATTCTTAGATTAACTAGGGAACTACTCTAGTATTTATTATACGAGCTATTTTAGTACCGCTAGTACCGCTAGTAGTATTACTAGTTACTTTATCGGTCGTACTACCGGTTATATTATTAATCGTATTAATAGTCGTACCTCTATTACCGCCTATAGTAGTATCTATAATACCCCCTATCGTACTATTTATTATACCGCCGCCCCCTCCGGCTCCTCTATCTTTATTATTAATAATATTCGAAGTATAGGGAGAATAATTTAATAGAGTATTAGATAGGTTTATATAGCGTTTTATAGATATTTAGATAGGACCTATAAGGCTTTTATATACGTTCTTATATTTTCTAATATCTAGGTTATTTTTCTTAGGCCTTCTATAAAGTATTTACTTATAGGTTTTTATAAAAACTATTATTATTCTTATAATATAAGAAGCTTTTTATAAAGACTTTTACTCCTATATCTCTTTATTCTTTATAAAGGCGATATATCCTTTATTAGTCTATCTAAGGATTCGTACTCCTTACTAATCTTTAGGGTAACGCCTATTTTATTAACTATAAAGCTATAAGTTATCTCCTCTAATAATATTAGCTTAGTAGGTTTATTATAGGCTAATTATAACGAGAGCCTCGTTATAAAGATTATTATTTTTATATTTCTACTAGCTATAATTTATAAATAATACTTAGGATAGTTTAAAAGGGTCTACGAATTATTCTATCTCTCTTTTAAATCCTATTAAGACTTCTATAACTTCTTCTAAGTCGTCTTCGGTAAATTAGATTTTTAGAATTAATCTATTATAATTATATCGTCTAATATACTACCTAGTTCTTAGATATTCTCGCTATCTCTATAGCCTTTCTAACGTACTAGATATTAAAAGCCTCTACTCCTCTTTTTAACCTATAGAATATAATCGATTTTAAACTTAGATTCTCTATTAACTTCGATAAGATCTAGCCGCTCGCTACAAATTAGTTTATCTTTATAGGGTTCTAATATAGAGATATACTATATAGTATAGATTTTCCGGTATAAAAGGGTTAATATTAATTAGTATACTTATTATCCTACTTTATAAACTATTTAGAAGGGTTCTTTATAACGATTATCTAGTTTTTTAAAGAGGCGTCCTAAATTAATATACTTATTTCGAAGTAGTACCTAGTCGGTTACTATAAAGATTTTCTCTATATAATTCTTATCCGTAGCTCTTTTTATAGTATCTTTTATTTTTTATAACCTCTTCCTAAGCTCTTCTCGCCGTTCTATAAGCTTCTTTATACGTTCTTTCGTATCTTTATAAACCTCTCTATCGTCGTCTTTAACGCTTAATTAGAATTTAGATCGGATTCCTATAAAGGCTTCGCTTAGGGATATACCTAGAGCCGAATATATAGTCGTATTATATACGTATTATTTTGCTAAGCGTAAGCGAAGCAAATAATATAGGCAATATAGTCAAGAATACTATGCCAAAAAACCCGCCTTGCGAATTCTGAGATCCTGGCCTCTGATTGGCTGGAAAATTGACTCCTTATGTGATCAGGGTAGGGTTAGTCACGTGATTCGACTTTGAGATATAGATACCTTAGTGCCTAATAAAGCACGTGACCTATATAATCACGTGATATATACCGATCTACGCCGGATTAGGCGGCGATTACGTAAGTATTATATAGAAAGCTATTATCGTTATCCGGCCCGTATATAACCCGGGTTTAGCTAGGCCCTATTTTTATTTATAATACGGTCCTATACCGCGTCGTCTAATACTAACTCTCTACCTTATATACTAACTTACCTCTACCTCTCGCTAGAGCTCTATTTCTATATATCTATAGATATCCTCGCGCTATAATAGATCTTATTACTTATAGTAAATACGGTTATACTAAGCCTACGGGTAAATTTGACGTATCCTAGGATCCCCCGGCCGGTACTAAGTCCCTTCAAACCTATCTTAATTATCGTACTCGGCGTAATTAGGTATCTATATAATATCTTATCTATATAATACGCTATTATCTAATACTTTATAGCGCTATACATATAAAAGAGACGTACTAGCCGCGACGTTAATACCCTATAAACCGCGTCCCCTATCTAGCCCGTACGTCGAGATTTGTAAGAATATACTGTTTCAGGTGTAAGGCCTGTCAACCGGGTAAGATACGTTGGCTTGGGAGGAGGAACAAAGGTATATTGGGCTGTGTGTGCTAAGACTAATTCTTGCCAGAATTCAGGGGGTCCCGGGGGACCTAAGATTAAAAGGAAATATACGTGCTAAGGCTCGGCGCCGATCGGGTGACGAACCCCGCACGATTCATATACGTATCAAAACTTCTATAAATATATATATCGCCTAAGTTCCTATTTCACCTTTAAAAGGACCTTTATCCTTTACAATTATTCCCCCTTCTCCTACGAGGATATCTATATCCGAAAATAGATTATAGCTATAAAGCATCGGGGAGATATCGGTAGTACTCTATAATAAAGAAGCTATAATTAGAATAGTTCCGAATCTTTATCTAATTTTACTATATCTTTATAGTATTAAGGCTATATAGCTATAGATATATTTATAGTAGAGAACCCTAATTTCCTAATTATCCTCGATATTTAGTATCGATTTTACTATACCCGCTATTTATAGAAATTGAATCTATTTAAAAAATACGTGGTATATAAGCTATCTTCGCTTAATAATTATTCGTTTTACCCCCGGAATAAGCGTAGTTCCGTTTTCTATCTAGTATTTCTTATATAAGGCTAACTCTAAAAAATACTAGCAATATAATTAATAGAAGTCGATATATAAACCTCCGTTAGAGGGAATATAAGGAGATCGCGTTAAATTAATCGCGATTCTAGAGTAGATAGCCTAGTACTAGTTATCTATAAATAGATATTATATATAAGATATAGTATATCTCTAGGAGATAGGTAAGGGGGTTATTAATTTAGTAAAAGACTTTGATACTACCTATAAAGCGTATAAGTCCGATTATAGGTTTTCGGATAAAGACCGGAAGGATTCTATAAAGACCGAGGTAGGTTCTCGGAAATTATATATCCTAATAGTAATTCGCTAACGACCTATTTTAGTATCGTAGCTATCTCGCTAGTCGCTATATAATATATCTAAACCTTATCCTATACCCCCTTATTTCTTCGACGGAAGAGTAGTAGAAACGGTTCTATACTAAAACGGGGTAGCGTTTTTAGATAGGAGATAATAGTTTTATCGTTTAGACCTAGGATAAGTATAACCTTTTAGTAGTAATCTAAAATATATATATCGGATACTTTAATCCTATAGTACCGGGCGTTATTCTAAGAGACTTAGTAGAGGATCTAGCGGATTCTTTTCTTATTCCGCTTTTCGAATTATAGGCGGGAAGGTTATATATTAGTGTTATTTTAGATTTTAGCTTTTAGCTTTTAGTAGGTAATAGATAGAAATAGAAGGTATAACTTATATTCCTAGATTTAATCCGTAGTTTCCTATTTTATATAGAATCCGATCTAGACCT